AAAACAGTATGGGCATTCGAAGGGTCTTTGGGCAACAGAGGCCTTAGGTGGTGGTGGAATGATACTCGTGTCCTGTCCGCCGAGCAATGTAGGCGCATATGATGTCTGCGAAACTCCAGATTCTGATGCTGTTTCTTGGAATTGACTAATACTGCCTTCATGAAATTCTGTTGCAGTAGTCTCCGAGAGCGCTTCCGGTGCTGGGTCAGGTTGAGCAGCTAACATTGCATCGATTCCCTGGCTAAGCTTTGCATGGTGCCTCTCACGGTATTTTAGAATTGCTCTCTGTCTCGCCATGGCTGAAGAAATGCGATTTACTAAAGCTAAGCTGGCCGTAAGGATAATGATCGATCGATAGTAGGAGTAGACCGAACAACCCTGTCCTAGTTGATAACTCAATGGTTGTGCTCTCCCATGCCATCCTTCCCTTCATTGTATGCCTTGTGGTTTCTTATAAATTCATATATTGGTTGTGTGCTCCGACATTGTCGGATATCGGAAACTCCATCAATATTCAATATAACTGATCCATTCGCTAGTCGTTTTGGTCGTTCAAGAGTGAAATCGGCCCAGCATGTGATTGTCTGTATTAAGTTAGAAATAATTAATTGAAGAAGAAAAAAAGACTTGCCTTTCTCAGATAATCAAAGCAATGTGGCCAATGCCCATCATCGCGATAATCCACTCCTATGTCTACACCTTCACGCGCGTCCTGGAGTGCTTTCCGCATTGCTGCTAGACAGTGCAGTTGATGGAACCTATCCTCCATCAGTTCGCCAGAAAACTATGAGCTTGTGGAATGCAAGCATACATGCTGATAGAAGCAGGACTGCCAATATCATTCCCCTCCACATCAACCAGGTTCTGCCCGTCGCCAAGTTCGACAATCTTATCCTCGCCGCCGCTCAGGTCCTCTTTCCAGAGATGATCGTATTGATGATCTAGGGACATGTATCTCTCATCACTTCCGAATTGGGTTTCAAATTCATTCCCCGAATTCGTAACTCTTGTTGTCGTCGGCTGGTTCCTGTGCCAGGCGAAGATGTCGATGACGAGTAGAATGCAGAGTAAGGTGGTCGTGACAGACAGATAAATGTTTAGGTAGTTCCATTGGCGCTTTGGTCGGCGTCGAGGGTGGATATTGTCCAGGTGGTCATCAGGCTCACTTCTGGAGTCATAGTCTTTAACAGGCACGTATGACATGATTGAAGACGCAGAAAATAATCTGTTAAGGCGCTGGGTTCAAAGGAATGATCCGCAGTGTGAAATATGTGATCAGTACGGAGTACTCTGTACTCGAATAACTCGGTAAGCAGGAAAAGCCTAGTCACTTCACAAACGCGTCTCGATCAACCCCGGCTTTGTTGAGCTAGGCTAATGCCATCCTGTATTTTCCAGAATACTTACAAAATAACACTTGAGGTAATAGCATTGTCTACTTAACTAACAAGCAGATTGCGCATAGCGTGGAACTCCATAGCATCGAATAGAAATCCTACAGCTTGTTGGTTTTCATTTCTTTTTTTAGTTTAGTCTCTTTCGCTTCGTGATCAACATCTCTCTATCAAGCTCGTCAAAAACCAACAATCCCTCGCGATGTGATTCGCAAAGACGGGCAATTCTTCAGTTCGCTATTCTCTAACCAACTGCAGTTCTCCTATTACGGAGCACGGAGTACATTATGGTTCCTTTGACAGAGTGGGGGTCAAGTCGAAACGGAAGATAAGCCTTGAATTTAGCTGAATGTAGATAGGTACAGAGTAGATCGTATCGTATCGTATTGTATCACCAGCGCCGCGTATTGATACCAGTACATACCGTTACATAGTGTTGGTACGGAGTACAGCTCCGTAAAAACCGCTCCAAGCGTTCTTCACTTCTGCAGCTCTGAAAGCAGGCCGATTGAAGATCGATCGGAATAAAATGTAATTCAGTCTTCATTATTTTCCTTCCTATTTTCTACCCAAATTATTGATGGAAAGAACAGCGCGACAATCAACAAAATGCATTCAATTACCCATATCATTTTATTGATATTACTTTCCCTCACAAACCTCCCCCTCGCAGCATCATCGCCCTCCCCGCAGTACTGCCATGTCAACCCCGTCGAATTGAGCGATTTCTGCATCGCGCTCAATACGTTCCACAATGAGACCAACCACAGCGAAGATTTCTACGTCACCGTCTCGGCCAAGTTTGTCGATGGCACGGGCTGGATCGCGTTTGGCTCGGGGTATCTGATGCATCAGTCGTTGATGTTTGTCTTTTATCCGGGGAAAACGCCAGGGTGTACGTATGCATCGAGAGAGAATGATTCTGGGGAGGATGTGACTCACTTGAATATTTCTTGTAGCGACTGTTTTCGGTGCAAGATCCACAAAGTCAGTTTTATACCAAGCCATGCGATTTCTCTTTTGTACTAAATTAACCCTGTTAGATACCATGACCCTCCAAGCCATACCGCCGACATCCCAGACGTCAGAGTCGTCAGCACACGGTCTGAAAACGGCTACTCGATCCTCAACTTCATCTGCTACGCTTGCAATCGCTGGGGCGGCACTCGTCTCGATGCAGACGCTGTCTCGCAACCGTGGATTTGGGCAACAAATCCGTTCCAGGATGCTAATTTGGATGATCCGTATAAGCCGCTGCAGATACATACGTATTATGGTGAGTACTCCGTAAGAGGGCACAAAAATCAAAGGCTGAAGAGATGCTGACGTAAAAAGATTACTTCTATATGAACATGAAGAGTGGACAGGTCGTCGATCCTGTTGAGCCCTACTTCCCCACGATATCCACGGACCGGACGTCCATTGCTGCTGGACACACGCGCGACGCAGCGGGTGGTGTCGCGGCATCGAAAATATGGTTGTATCATGGTATTCTGATGGCGTTTGCCTTTGGGGTACTCTACCCTCTAGGCGTGGCATCGCTCGTGGTGTCAGTCAAGTACCACTGGATTGTGCAAAGCATCACGGCGGGATGTGGCATTCTCGGAATTGGCGTCGCGGTGTTTGCGACCAAAAGTGTAAGGACTGCCTGCCTAAATGCATATATACACGTATACTGACACCTGGGGCTATAGATATCGAGTTTTTTGGGACTCCACCAAGGCCTGGGTTGCCTTGCAGGCCTTCTCTTCGTCGTCCAGTATGGCCTGGGTTTCCGGCATCATGTCCTTTTTGTCCGGGCAAAGAGACAATCGGTCAACATGCCTCCTCCACAAACTGGGCTGAAGCAATACCACATCTGGACAGGGCGGGGGTTGTATTTCCTGGGTGTTTCGAATGTTGCTCTGTAAGTCAAGCCCTTTCCCATCTTCGATTTCATCTTTCTAATTCCAAATTCAGAGGACTTCTCTTAGCGCAGAAGCATCGTGCATTGGTAATTCCATGGCTTATCACTGTCGGTCTGGAATTGGCAGGATATTATTACGTCCTTGTTCGTCGCAAGCGACAGATGCCAGTAGAGCCATTGTCCAAGGGGTCATACGCGTATGATCCTGTGAATGACTCGGAGGAAGCTATGCCTCTGAATGAAAGATGATATAGTACACTGAACTGTCATGAGTGTCTATGAGAAGTGTTGTATGTTAAAATGAACAAACTTTAGACATGTGCATGTAGAGTCTTGTTATGTCAGTTGTTTCTACAGATCCTAGACATATAGAATTGAGACAGACTAGCTACTCAAGTCTCAACAAGCGGCATTAAATAACGAAGATTGATAACATCTAGATTTTTAGGCCATCACGGCTCATACATACACACCTTGGTCCTCCACGACAAACTCAACGGCACATCGCTCTGGTTCACTGCTCTCGGCCCCGGCGGAAACATGAGCTCCTCCAGCATGGAAAAACAATGCCTCATATGCAGATAGTCAATGTCCCACGGACACACATGCCGCCCGGTTTCCTTGGCCTGCCAATACCGGCGCAGCGCACGGATGCAATGGCCACGATGGAACTCCTTGTCCGTGGGCAGCATGTAGTTGTTCGGATCGCTCAGGAAGTCCAGGTTGTACCACATGCCCGAGTCGCGCAGCTCCGCTTTCTCCGGGTAGCGCTTGGCGAGGTACTCCTGGTACCGCCACTCCTGCTCGTCCATCAGCTCGATGGGGACCAGGGCCTGGTCGTCGATGCGGATGAACCATTTCTCGGGGTCGTAGTGCTTCTCGACCCACTCGGTGACGTTCTCGGGCGTCAGCAGCGCCGTGTATTTGGGTCCGATGCTGTCGCCGACGTTGTATTGGATGAGCCTGGTGTCCGGGCGAGTCGAGTAGAAGAGTGTCGCTGCGGTGAGGAGCAGGGCTGCCACGAGCGCGAGAAGTGCGTAGGTCCATTTCTTATGGACCGCGGAAAACTTGGCCAACTGTCGAACGAGTTTGCGGATCGCGTTGCCATGGAGGATATCGGGTGCGGTGCAAGGAGCCAGGACAGCGAGATACACCCGCCTTTCTGCGGTCTCGGGGATATATTCGAACGTGCAGTCGACGAACGCATTCTCTCCGTTGTCAAAGGCCTCGGTGAGGTACTCGACAGCGCGGTCGAAGGTCAGCGATCGTTCCGATTTTGTTGTTGGACAGACTAGAAGGACCGACGGTCCGCGAGTCGGTCGATCCAACACTGTCCGCGATAGACCATCTTCCTTCACGGCTTCCAGCAAGAGACGCTTGATGTCGACGGGCACGAGTAGTGCCGACTCTCCAGTGGAGGAGGCATCGTCCCAGACGGGGAGTGTCTCTGCTGACTTTTCGGATGCCATATTGCCGCAAAGCCGAGATCAGAGGTGTATGGCTGGAAAGAAGACAAGTCGAAAGGAATATCAATCTGGGGACAGGAAGAAGAGATTCGTCCCCGATGTTTCGTCCGCAATATCCATAATACAGTCATTACAACAAGACACATGCTGTTGTATTGTAATTCTATGTCACAACAATGACGACCAACGTGATCAACAGGAACGCTTTGCAGATCGGCATACAACACCAACAGCCTCACTTCACCACGAGTCGAGATCTAGACCGTGGACACGGAGGAGAGAGCGCAATGACGGCATGACGTGAATGGGGGCGGAGACGTAAGAATCCTGTCTGTATTGCGTACTTGCAAATCCGTATTTCGTGTACGCGTATTGTATTTCCGCAAGCACTGCCCCAAACAGTCTTTTGGCAACGGAATGGCTCATCTTCTCTCAACACCTCCTGTCTGTCTATACTCCTCTTGCCTCGACTCCATCTTCTCCCAGTCGTCAGTCACCAGCACGATGATACCCTCCCTGCTCTTTCTGCTCTTGTTCTTCCAAAGCGTCTTGGGGGCACCCATCCCCACGAGCCCCTCCTCTTCGACGCGCATCCACCTCTCTTCAGAGAGCTTCCGGCCATTCGGAAAGTCGCTTTCGGCAGCGGAGAAAAAGCGGCTGATCGAGGAAATCCTTACACCGGAGGAGTGGGAGCTGTATGATGGTCTGCTTGTGGACAGAGATAAGAGGCTGTATTGATTGGTGAGGGCGTTCGAACGTTTGTCTTTAGATGGGTTGGGATGCTGACTGACTTGTTCCAGAGTTCGTCAGAGATAACCATAAGGAATAAGCATCGGAAATGAGGATGGGGACTATATGGCGCGAGCAGTGATATATTCTTCCTATCAAAGGCGGATTCTGTCAAGATTACAATGTATCATGCTCTATATCTAAATCAAACGCAAAACTCCTTATTTCTCCATTATCCTGTACAAGCATCAACAAGATAAAAATTCCATCGACAGCCTCATCTCGCCAACCAAGCCACCATCTCGCGTAAAATTCGCAAACGTCTCCGCACACTGCGCCGCAATCTCCGGCGATAACCACGGTGCCTGAGCTGGATCTCCCTCATCCCGAGTTTGAGTAATCTTCGCCCAGATGTAGAGACACCGCTCGACAGGATAGTTCCCGGAAACCCACACGTCCATGAATCGGCCCGTCTCGACCAAACTCACCCGCACCTCGCGCGTGCGGTCCGGGTCCTTGTACCATGTCGTCCCGCCCTTGCGGAGGAATTGTCGGGATAGCGTCTCATTGAAGCAGTGCGCTGGGACCCAGGCGTAGAGCATCGCGTCGAAGCTGCATCCTGCTTCCATGGCGTCTTCGGGGGTTGTGCCGCAGTTGGCGACTGCAGCTGCAGCAGGTGGTGCTGCTGCTGCTGATGTTGTTGTCTCTGTAGTCGTGATGCATGGAGGAGCGGCATTCCTGGCCCTGCCGAGTTCATACGAAGCGATCATCAAGAATATCGTAATGACGACGGCGCAGACCCAGGCGTGAATCTTTGAGCGACTGCATGCTGTATGGCGGGTGTTCTTCTCCGGGGTAAGAAATGGAGATTCCTCTTCGCGATCTTGGGCCATGATCAGACAGACGATCAGACTGGCTGCACTCGTTGTATTTGGGAAATGTCTATCCACTGCTCTCTCAGAAGTTGAAGCAGTTGCTTTCACAAGATTTGTGCCCGAAGACTTCTCGAGAGCCTTCGATTTGCAAACAAATTTTTGTATCAAATAAAAGTTAGTTACATGTACAGAACGACGCGCTGTATCGTAACATACAGAAACAAGTACCGAACGGCTCTACAGTCCTATACAAGACTATCATCCTGACGGCGCAGCCCAAGCTAAGCTAGCTAAGCCGGCTCCACATGGCGACAGACCCGCAGATAAGCAGATCCTTTCTGATGTTGGAAACGCAACAATCAGCCGGGGAGAGCTGTCAATGTTGGTGCTCGCGGATTGTCGTGAGAGGACTCGCTTCTTGGGTCCGTTTCTTGCGGAATACAAGATAGAAGCTCTTAAAGCATTCATTCGATCCTCCGTAGCCGGTGCACCATATACACCGTCCATCATATTCATATCCACTTTTTTGATAGCAATCTCTAATTACAGCTCTACTACTATCTATTATCACTCTCACAATGAAGGTCCTCCAGCTCGCGATTGCCTTTGCTGCCCTTGCGGGTATGGTGAGCGCTGCTCCGGCTGCGAGCCCGGACAGCGTGGATCTCGACAGGCCCACTGTGTACGCGGGGTACAGGAAGGTCAAAGAAGAGAAGCGGGATGTTGATCTCGAGAAACGACCTACCGTGTACGCTGGATACAGGAAACTCGAGGAAGACGCTACTGAGGAAAAGCGGCATGTCGATCTCGAGAAACGGCCTACTGTCTACGCTGGATACAGAAAGGTCGAGGAAGAAGCTACTGAGGAGAAGCGAGACATCGAACTAGAGAAGCGTCCTACTGTCTACGCGGGGTACAGAAAGCTTGAAGAAGAGGAGAAGCGAGATGTCGACCTTGAGAAGCGTCCCACCGTCTATGCTGGGTACAGGAAGGTCGAGGAGGAGCAGTGAGAAAAGAGCTGCAACGGTAAGATTTTCCGCAGCTTTTCGAGGAATTGTGACGTCGATGACTGATATCAGCCTTAGAAGAAGAATCAATGGCCGTTAAAAGGGTGGTGGTGCAGAGGACGACGAGGATAGCCAGCTGGAAAGCTGAGCTGGTTCGAGGGAAATAAGGAATTGGCAAACTTTCAAGGCTGTGTGATTTTTTTTTCTTTTTTCTGTATCTATCTAGCGAGTATCAATCACATTGCTCGAAAGAGCCGTTAACAAATGTACTACGTATGTGTTGTGTTATGCGTAGATTTGGGATATATCTACTACTGCGTAGAATTTCGTAGAAGGAAGGCTGGAAATAAGGAAGTAAATGTGCTAAAAAAAAACAGTTAGTTGATCATGACCATGAGCCAATTTAATCTGTTTGTTTCTAAGGCCATGCGCTGGTCCCAGCTGACCTATCTCACTCCTAATTTAAACCTCCACGTGCAGTGCGGATATTTTGTAATTCGACATTCTACAGCCCACACTGCACGTGTCCAACTAGACAGACAGAGAGACAGACAGAAAACACGACGAACGACTCTTTCAATATTCGCACATATGATCATTCCAATGTTCGGTCGCAATCCTTCTTCTTCTCACCGGTACGATCCCCTCCCAGCGGCAGAAAGCGGGGACAACAAGGAGGAACCCGCGCAGCAGAGTGATGAGGCCGCAGCACTTCCTCGTCGACGATTCCCTCTCTTCTGGACACTCTACTTCGTCTTCATGCACTGCGTGATTCTTCTTCTTCTTTTGGGACTGCTGCTTCTGCTGTGGTCAACATCTCGTGGCCAGAAAGGTCAAAACGCTTATTCGCTGCTTGCCTCGGAACTGCGTGAGTTGCGACATAAAAAACTAAGTAGATGTGCCATACTGAACGACACAGCTTTCGCGCGCGATTCTACACGATACCTCGAGACAGTCTTTTCGCCATCAGGCTTCTCGGATTCCTCGCAGCAGCCGAGTGCGTACTATGGCGAGCCGACGCCGGAGAAGGATCGGCTGTGGAAGAGTCTGTATGATGGTATATACACATTTCGAAGAGTTGAAATGATTCAAGCTGACTGTCGCATCGCAGTCGGCATGGTGGTCATCACAAAAGAAGAGTACGAGCAGCTGGATGTCGAGACGACGACTTTGGTGGGGGATGAGGATCATTATCTGGTGACGCTGGAGGTATTTCATCAGCTGCATTGTTTGGTACGCACACACTCTCTCTTTCGAGAAGCTTGTTTTCTGCTGACTTTCTGCTGATGACAGGACTATCTTCGGAATACCATCTATCCTCTTCTCAGCGGGGCAAAGACGCACCATCCTGATGAGTCGGAATGGGTTAAAAAAACGCATATTGGTATGTTGACCATATATTTTATCAAAGACTGGAGTTTTGATTGACTTCTGACTGATTGACAGACCACTGCATCGACTACCTTCGACAGGTACTTCAATGCCATGGGGTAAGCGATTCTTCTTGCAATATATTTTCCCTCTGATATCTATCTAACACAAGCAGGACCTAACTCCTATCACGCTGGAAACCATCCCCGGAGTCCCCGTCCTGCCGCCGCCGAATCCGGCGCCGTACAAGCCCAACTTTTCCATCCGGCACACCTGCCGCGATTTCGACGCCGTCTACGACTTTGCGCTGAAGAGGAATTCGTCGGGGTATAAGGTTGCGTAGAATATATTCCATTCATAATGACCATATATACTATATCTATAGAGGATAGATGGATAGGTAAATGGATCATTCAATATGCACTTCCGAACCCCGTTCCACCGCCCATTTGTAAATGGCATCGAAATTGCGACAACTGTGAACGACTGCATGGTCGAAACTGTATCCGACGTAGGAATCGTCGTACCAGAGGGCGATTGGCGTGAGGTCTGTTTCGCATTAGAAAAGCCTGCAAAACGAGAGAGAATAGAGAGATAGGTAAAGACTTACCGCCGTGACACTGCACGACTTGTCGGAGGTAGTCAATGCAGTGGGCTAGATGCGTGCGTTAGAGGAATTCATTCGAATTCATTCGCAGGGTTAACCATTCAGAGATAACTCACTTTTGTGCTTCCTCCTCGCTTCCTCATCCTCGTTGGGGTCATCTCCGGGTTGAAGATCCAGTTGGATTCGGAGGTAGTTCTGCAAATAAAAATCAATTAGCCAGATATACCTTTTTGTTTTGTTCGAAAAGTAAAAATCTTACTATGCAATGAAGCTGATGAAACATCCCAATCGCCACCGGATACACGCCCGGTTGCCGTATCGACTCGACCGACGGAGTCGCCAGCTTGCTATTCTGCTCTGCAGTGAGGCCAATGACACCGACTGAATCATCATCAAATCGTCAGTATAAATATTCACACAGAGCCTTCCTTTTTTTTTATTTTCCCTACCATGCGTAAGATTCCACCACGCGCGATCAACCTCCGGACCCGGCGGCCCCTCAAAGATAGTCCTTGTCTCGTCATGCTCATGGAACCCGCTGGCCGCAAACTTGACGTCTTCGTACTTGACGATATCGGCCGCAAACTCCAGCTCGTGTTTTCGCAGCGGCGAGCATGTCGTCGTCGTGGACTTGGACTTCCATGTCAGCAAGAGCGCTGCTGCAACCGCAATCTCGAGGAGGATGATGAGCAGATGCACGGCCCAAATCCACCATGATCGGTGGTGACTGCGGATAGAGGCAGCCGCTTTTCTGAATTTCACGGGCACGACGTCGTCGCTGTCATTGTCGTTGTCGTTGTCGTGATACTTTTGTTCCGAAGCGAGCAAGTGTTCCTCCAAACCGTCCATGGAGGAGCTTGCTCGGTGTGCTTTGTCGTGGTTCGACATGTTCAATAATCAATCGATCGAGATGATCAAGTCTGTCGAGTCTTTGCAAAATCGCGACACAATTGTCTTTGTCAATCTTTCTCAATCTTCTGCCTTCTTTCTGGGTGTCCACCCCACGTGCACGCACCGATACATCGGCCCTCGCGGACTTTCGAACGAACAGATCACAGCTTCGCACCAGCTGAGCTCTCATGTCGACATGTTCTGGCCAGATCCTCCGGGCATGTTGGTACGGTACTAGCCTTCAAACCGGCAAAACGACAAAAAAGGGTGCTGATCGCGTGAGGCGGACCTTGCAGAGAGATAAGCATCCTTCAAGCTAGGCGAGGCGACCGGGCTGTCAACGGCGTCATCTCACCAATCGGCTTGGATACCAACACCAACAATTGTCAATCCTGGGGGCTAGCTTAGCTACCTACCTAGGTAACTAGCTACCGTCGGCTAGTAAGCCTAGCAAGAGCCGGGGTTGGCGCGTGGGATGAGGTTAGTTTATAATTTTCCTAGTAGGGTTAAAGCTATTTTTGACCGGCGCCGCACTAAGAGAATCCCGAGAGTGTATTATATTGATACCCGAGGATACCGTATTGATGTACTGTAAGAAATGTACTGTACTAGCCGTTTATTACAGTTTTCGCCCTTCCTTCGCTTCAGCCGCTCGTCGATCTTTACTGGATATAAGTTGGAATTGGAATTCCTTCGCTGGAGATAAGACTGCCGGCTTCTGTTGGTTTCAGTCTGTGGATTCAGTTGACTGAGGGATTATTATTTTGCCAAGCAACTGTTTCTGTAGCATGACTGAAAATGAGTCATATTCTATTACTCTCGCGCTTCAGCTCCTAACTCGAAAACATGAATCAAGCTAGAATCAAGCTAGAACCAGAATGCAGACCGTTCAAGGACCGCTATTCGAATCCATCGGTAGCAGATCATCTACAAGAACTGTCAGCACAAAGAAAAAAAATCTTCGAGAAGAATATCGGCAAACGTACTAATCGTAGGCACATTCGGCACCCCATCCGGATACGCAGGACCGTAGATGGGATGCTTGATAAACCCGGGCTCGTGGATCGGCGCCTTGCGCGCACGCATCCAGTCGCGCAAGACATCCCACTTGACGCACGTGTGCTCGGCCGCTTTCCACACCGGTTGCGGCCGCTTCATGTCCCAGTGGTAGGTCATGAAGCCGACGTCGCCGTGGCACATGGCTGCTTGGAGCAGGTAGTCGAGGCAGTGGTCTGTTGAGTAGCTGTCAGCGCTTGTATGTACAGTAGTTGAGGAGTGATACTTACCAACATGATGGCGATTCGATTTCTGCTGCTCGGCTGTTGCGTTGGGCCAGTAGTATTCCGGGTGGCTGTATTGGTAGAGCGTCATCTGTCGGAGTCAATAGCACGATAGCTGAAGTGGTCCATGTATGTACTCACCACGCAATGAATTTCGTGATGGACGTTCATGAGACCAACGCCCGAGCCGTCATCCTCGAGAATCACCGCATCTTCCTCACGGTTAATCTTGCGCAAATCCTCCCGGGATAGTCGTACGAAATTGCCTGCGCGGGTCAGTCATTCTCTCCTCCCGATGACACGAAGGCAACAAACCTAGCAGGAGGTCTTTCCATCGCTGGTCAATCTCCGGACTCGGGGGTTGGATGTAGTAGCTCTTCGCCTCGGAGCTGTATTCGTGTCGCTCATGTTGGAGGACTTCCAGGGCCGGGGCTGCAATCCGTCAGTCCCATCCGATCCAGAAGATTGTAAATTTTCAAGACTGCGTGAGAAACGCACAGTGGATGAGAGAAGGAGTGCAAAAGGACGGTCTCCGAAGATAAGTGATCACCGCGACTGCAAGCAATGCGTATATGGCCAGAAACGAGGCGTGCAGCTTCAGTGCTCTGGCTTTGTACCGCGACCAACCCTCAGAGTTCGGCCCTGGATCTGGACTGTGGAGCAGTTTTTCTTCCTGTGATAGCTGATCATACTGCGGCGACCAGCTTTTGAAAATTTGCTTTGCTGAGGAGAACATCTTGCGATTGTTCCACGTAGAAGACGAGGTTTGGTGGAGTGAAGGTGGAGGGAGATGAGGATGGCGGCGAAAAGTCTATAGAGCTGACACAGACCAACAAGACAGCAGGCTAGATATGGAATTGGAATTATACTCATTACGGAAGTATTTAGATGGAATTATTTGATGGAATTATGCTCATTACGGAAGTATTCCATTGAAATATTCGATTTGAGATTATTCGCTATAAAATTACTCGCTACAAATTCCTGCAATCTGCAGTTTGATGACATTATTTACTCCGCCTTCAGAGGATCCTTCACTCGAATCGTCATATCAAACGGCTCTGCTTTATGCGCCCACGCCCACTCGGTCACTTTATCAAAATTACGACACGAATGCCGCACATCCCTGGCGGCCAGATGCATTTTCATGCCCTCATCCCAGTAGACCCAGTTCACGCTGAGATCGGACGCGCACATGATGCTCTGCCGGAGCTGATCGATGCAGTGGTCCAGATGCTTTGCGCTGAGGAGCGACATTCCCTGTCCGCCCATGTGGTCTTCGGGCTTGTAGCGTTGCGGCCAGAGGCCTTTGCGGATGTTGTCCTGCGTCGCTTTTGTCAGTGCTTTTTTTTCCCCAGTTGACAGTGGTGTAAACCTACCAGACAATGCAGCTGATGGAACACATCCAACCCAATCAGATAGTGGTCTTCGTCGCCCGGGATGTTAATCGTCAGGTTCGGAAGCAGAGCCGCCTGGTGTCGTGGAATCTTGCTCCACAGCAGCGCTAGAATCTGTCAGGTGCAGTCTTCTCTTTATTCTGTTTCTCTCAGAGTGATTCTCACGTTTATAAAGAGCCTCCCACGCCTCGTCAATCTCATCCGTAGGGGCGGGTCCATCGAGCTGATATCCGACCGACTTTTCGCCCGGAAGATAGCCCGCATTGAATTTGCGTACCTCGTACTCGATCGCATCCATTGCAGGTGCTAAAAAAGCTGTCAGTGCGGATATACATACGAAGAAGCCGGATGCTCACTGTAGAGAAGCTGAGTAGAATAAATTCCCTTGTCCTTTCGAAACAAGGCAAGATACACGATGACGGCCACCAGCACCAATTCGACGATAATATGGCCCAGGTGTATGATCCAGCTGCGCGCATGGAATCGTCTTGTTCGCCGGATGGGCTGGGGGAAGGAAGAAACCGACTCGGACTCCCCGTCCTCGCTGTTGCGGAGGAGCTTCTCCTGGGAGCCAGAGTCCAAGCTGTCCCGATCGGAAAGCATCATGTTGATGACGAGCTGTGTACGGAGGAGGAAGATACTGGGCTATGAATTGATTCTCGAGATACGGGTCTCAGTCACGGTCACCGACAGACAAAAAATTGCGAGGACCAGCGGCGGTAGGCCTGGACTCGGAGGCGAAAATGCCCCCAAACACAGCCTCGATGTAAGCAATAGATGCAGACACTTATCTTGAGGTATGTACCCCGTATTCAATAGAAACACAGAAGTTCGAGAACCAACGTTGGGATCACCAACATAGCACGAAACAACAGGCTAGCACGACGAAGACTGCTAAGCGCCTGTACTCCGTAATCAGTGAAACCCAGCTAATGACGGAATAATTCCCCTGCTTCTCAATTCTGAGGGTGAAGGAAGGGAGCAAAGCCGCCAAAGCGGACAAGATGGAATTAGAATTGGGGTCCGAACTTTGAGGTGGATGATGGTCTAAATCTACATATGTATTGTTCGAACGTAACGGTACGGTCACCCGTAATATACCGTAATGCGTAATGTTTTTATTACGCGAAATTTTCCTTTTGAATACCAGTTATCGTACCACAGATATGACGGCAGATATTGGCGACAGATATGGCAACAGATATGATCGGTTGCATGAATCAATCCCACGAGGGAAATTAATTGCATTGATAGAATGCGGCAGAATGTGGCAGCCACAGGTGGTACTTTGTGAATAAGCAAGGGCAAGTATATCAAACCGTAGTAGTCTTCATCCCATACCCCGCTCCTACAATCGTAGCAATCAATGCAGAGCATACCGCAGAGTTCAGCTTTCTAATCTGGCACAATGTTCACTTTCCCTGGAAGTAACATGAGGCCAAAAAAGTACATGGCAGTCCCTTCAGAGGACGTCGAGGTCGACGAGATCGTCACAGAAAAACTGCGCTTCCTCCGGTCCAACAATAACTCGAGGAGAAGACGACGAGCGCTAATAGCCCTCCTGATCGTTGCTGTCATAGCCGTCTTCATCGTGGGACTGTCCACTTTGTGGGTCTATCACGATCACCGACAGAAAAGCACCACCACCACCACCACCACCACCGTCGAGGAGGCTGCTGGTGCTGGAGACTGCGTAAAGCCAACCCTTCGACAGGAATGGCGCACTCTGAGCAAAAAGCAGAAAGAGGAGTATATCTCGGCGGTGAAATGTCTGCATACGATCCCGTCACGACTGAATCCTACGGGAAAAGTGTCGGATGATTTTCCCTGAGTGCATATCTGGATGAGTGGGACGAATACGTTGGCCAAAATCGTTGGAGGAAACAGTACGTGTACTGACTGATTCGACGGCCAGCACATTACACTCCGACATTCCTTCTGTGGCATCGGTATTTCATACATCTGTATGAACAGTTTCTGCGGAATCTCTGTGGATATAGGGGTTCATTACCGTGAGTCTCCAATTAGGGACTTGTTTCTTTTTTTTCTCTGGCCGCTATACTGACAGATTTTCTTCCAAGATACTGGAACTGGTCCCTAGACTGGCAAAATCCCACAAAAGCACCCGTCTGGGACCCCTCGGACGTTTCGGCGGCGACGGCGACATCAACGGCCCCATCACCGTCGCCAACGGGTCGTGCGTGCGCGATGGGCCCTTCGCAAACTACGAAGTGACCTACGCCAACCTGGAGACGCAGCCGCATTGCCTGTCCCGAGGCTTTGGTCGCGAGCACTCTCCGCCGCACTTCTCCGGACAGGACTTCGCGCCGGGTGTGGTCCAGGCGCTGTTCGCGCACACGACGCTGGCGAATTTTTCCATGGTCCTGGAGGAGACGACACATGATGCTATTCCGAATGCGATTTGGGGGGGATTTTGCTTTGTTTACGGCTCCAAGTGGTAGGTCGATCAATCTAGAGTAGTTCGTACTAGCGAATGAATCGAGCTAAACCGAATATAGATCCCGTCTGGTTCCTCCACCACGCGCAGATCGATCGCCTCTTCTGGTTGTGGCAGTTGGATGATGCGCCCCATCGCGTCGAGTATCAGGGCCTGATCGAGACCAGTCCTGAGTTGCAGGAAGCTCTCGACGCCCCGATGCCGATGAACGGGCTGGCGGCAGACCTTCCGGCGCGCGATGTCCTCAGCACGGAGGGAAAATTGTTGTGTTATAGATATGTCTAGAAATGAATCGAGATATGACCACGTGCATTATATGCGTTATACTAGCTATATGTAGAAGAAGTTAGAGTATCTTGAAAGCCAGACAATAGAAAATGTCAATCACATCGGACAAACTGATAGCTTGGGACCTTGGTCCAGCTTCTCGGCCACCAGCTGATCTTCACCTCTTCGCCGCCTCGCTTGACATACATGGTAAAAGACCGATTCCAGCCGTCTGCGTCCGACAGGAAGCTGTATTTCGACGTGACCATGTCGCCTTCCCGGAGACCAGCTTCTGCCGCCCTGGACTGCGGATCCAGGCCCCGGATCACCGCAGGCTGCGCGGAGAGATTCTCTTCAGGAAACCCTAGGTAGAATTCCTCCTGGTCCTCGCGCTGCAGCGTCCATTTGGCGTCTGGAATCCAGGTACTAGCCACGTCCGGCAACAAGACGATCGGTTTGGCGTCCGACATGTCCCGATAATCATCCCATGCCGCAGGACCAAGCTCTTTCTCGACGAGCGACAGCCAGACTTTGATCCCGTGCGGCTGGCCCGCGGCTCGCAGTCGGATCATCTCGAGGATGAGGTCGTCCAGCGATCGTTTCCCCTCGCGATGGAGCTGGCACGCAAGCTGCAGGAAGTACATCAACCCTCGCTGATAAGGGATGCGATTGACGCGCCCGGGGAGCCAGAAGCGGTCCTGGACGTCCCTGTTGGGCACGGCACGATCCGGGTTGGTGTAATAGCCCGAGAGCCGCCAGTTGAAGCGCTGGACGAATTCCTCCTCGCTGAAGATGCCAAACCGATACGGCAGGATCAGCGAGTAGTACTCTGCGATGCCCTCGTTGAACCAGCTGTCCACCAGATCCTCCGGCCCGCCGGTCGTGAAGCCCAGCCGCGGCCAGTTGTGCACGATCTCGTGCAGCAGGAATCCCTGCACCGTGTCCGCGTCCTTGGGGAAGATGGGCGTCCATGCAAAGACGAAGCCGCGGTACAGGCCCCTCCCCGACGCGCATTTGTACTCGTTGCGCCGCACGAAGATCCGGAAGAGCTGCTCGTCGTCGTGGAAGAAGGCGGCCATCCGGGGAACCAGTCTCTCGAGCTGTTCGCCCAGCGCGCGCGCGTCGAAGGGCGGCTCTGCCAGCCAGTACAGGCCAAAGGAATTGTTGGTCGTGACGTTTGGATAGCTCTTCAGCTGCCCGACGGCGAAAAAGCACTCCGCCAGCACGGCGACCTTCTCGCGCACGGCGACATGCGGCCCTTCGCCGAACGTACACACTGCTCGCGTGCCCGCCGGGGCATACGAAAGATCCCACTCGATCGTGATGTCGTACAGCACGTCCTCAGGCGTCACGGGGATCAGCAGAAAGCCCAACCCCGCGCCGCTGAGGCCGCATGTCTCTCTCTCCAGCGCCACTTGAGGCCCGCAGGGGGTCGACTCGTCCACCTCGCGCGGAGTCGCGCGATACTCGACCGTCAGCACTTCGCCCGCAGCGACGTCTCTGCCGACGCGGAATTCGCGGTGCGTGTTGCGTCTGGTGTCGGTGGTATGGAGTGCAATGGCGTATCCGTGGCCGTCTGTCAGACGCACCGACTCGGCTGTGTACTGTGTGGTGGGCACGACGGCGCGCTTCAAGGCGTGGTCGAACAGGACTTCATCGCGAGTCTTTGCTGCGGTATCAAAGACCATGCGGACGTCGATTGCTTGCGCCGCGCCGGCATCGTTGAACGCGGGGCGGAGCGTCAGTTTCAGAGCTGGCATGATCGATGTCAGGAATGCTGATGTATTCCAGGCGATCAAGTCGAGAGTGATCAGCGTAGAGTGGACTGCTTTAAATAGTTGTTGTTGAGGGGGCCGTATTGTTACCCCATATCGTACTAACAGTTCGCTACTGTACCCATCAGATCAACCGTCTAATAAGGAAACGACAATACTTTATATTGTCTATACTATATTTTGCATTTCTAGTAAATAACAAGTATTGATATGGTCTGTTTACGACTTGATTAATCAAGCAACTTATTCTTAATATAAACATATAACGCTAAGGCTCTTGTATATTACAGTATTATTAAGGCTTACCTTTTTCATAATTCAAACAACTTGATTCCAGCATAATAACAATCTGGTAGAAAATATCTCTCTTTATAAATTCGAATAATCCAATATTATCCCGAACCCGTACAAGGTACTGTTTCTCTTAACTGCGGTCCATTCAAAAGAACAGAAAGATACCATGCTTTGACGTCATCGGCAGTGTGGCCGAGTGGTCTAAGGCGTCAGACTTGAAATCTGATCCCTGCGGGGTCGCCGGTTCGAATCCGGTCGCTGTCGAAATATTTTGTTTTTGCCCTATTCAGTAATTTTTCTTTTTCGACAGTACGCTGTACAGAGTAGGCTGGATGAAGGTCATTCTTCTTCTTCGTCTCTCTTTTTTTTTAACAATCAGCAACATGCTCACCCGGGATCTATGAGAGGCTTATATCGTCAGTATATCATGCATTACCCGTCTCCTCATCCCGCAGCCTCGGTTCGCGGGGATCGAGCTCGATCCAGTCCCCAGTGTTGTTATGATTAGTTGTTGCTGCTGTCGTCTCTGGCATCTGCCAATCGACCTCCAGCGTTGGAGTCGGTGTAGTACTCCCAGACGCGGCACCAAATCCCTTTGCCGGAGCAGGTGTGCCAGTCTCTTTCCCTGCCGCGTCAGGAGTGACCATCGCCTCGTCCGCACCTCTTCTCGCCCTCTCATCTACTTCATCCTCAGGCGTCCCCTCCCGGCAGGCCCACGCGTCGACAAACCTGAGCACGTCCCGCGGCCACCAGCGCTTCATAACCAGCAGACGAAACGGCACAAGGGCGACGATCAGGACCGGGAAGGCCGGTGCGGCACGGCTGAGGGTGAGAATGAAGATGGCTGTCGTGAGGACGATCTGCAGAATGGTGTACAGATGGATCGGCAGGTAGGACGGTCTCTCAGGCGGGGAATCATCGTGAGCGCCTGGCTCAGCAACACGTTTTCCTAGAGAAGCAGGAAGAGGAGGTAATTCCGATGGAGGCGTAAGAAGATAGAAAAATCTATACAGAATCGGACTGCAGATATTGTCAGCCAGCCTGCTGCATGCCAAGGAAATGAAATGGAATGGAATGAATTCCGTACTTTACAGACAGGCTCTGCTCCCCCATAAAAAGGAACAACCCAGCAAGGACGCTCGTCGGAGTCAAGCCGAGAACTTTCATGAATGGTGGACTGACAAAAAGCATGATTCCGCCCGCATGCAGCAACGCGGACCATCGCTGCTCATAGACACGCCTGACCTCGCGTTCCTCGGTCTTCTCTTCCCCGTCGACAGTGATCGTCTGTTGTTCCCGTTCCGTGTGCATCAGGGATTCAGAATGAAGAGGCGCTTGAGGGAGCAGCCCGTTGGCAGGTGGAATCCCCAGGATCCCGCATAACGCAGTGGTGGTGCCCAGCAAAGCAATGTCCCACGCGAATCCTCCCGGCTTCCGAGTCCCGTAGCGATCGATTGTGCAGATGATCGAGCTGACCTCGTGGTCGAAAAAGAAAAGCACGGTGATGATGATACCGGGAACGACGGCGGCAAAGATCCACCCTATCGGCAACTTCCAGAATTCGACAAAGAAGGTCTGTCGATCCGGGGACGTCGGCCTGAAGGAGGTGCTGACGTTGAGCGTCATCTTGTCCAGAGTGGCCAACTCGCCGACATGGGGCAGGGCAATGAACACGACGATCGAGATTGCCGCCGCATACTCGGTCAGACCGAGTCGAATGTACCGGTGGAACAGAGGCCGCCAGCTCTCGGCGGTCGAGAGGAAAATTGCCAGCAGCATGGTGCCAACTGCGCCGATTATGGCGTAAAGGAAAGCCGCGAATGACAGGTTCGCATGTGCTCTTTGGAGTTCTTGGATGGCCTTGTGGAAATAAATAACGCTGTTCAGAAGAGAAAAGATTTCCGTCGAAAACGTCGTCACATAACGCATCGTCCAGTCGTGAGCATTAATTATCGCGAGCAGATAATGGAGCCACGCCGCATGAATGAGCGACCAGGCCATGAAAGGAAGAAATGGAATCTGACCAATTGTTAGCTTGGCACAGGAATGGTGTGAGGATGCTGACCTTGAATGACTCGGTGCATAATGCATATATGTTCTCCGCCAGCACGGAGAACGGGCCCGTCACGCCGAGGATAGTCAGCGGTTGGATTGAGAACCTAGCTGAGTTAATAAAATCTATTTCTTAAGCGTTGAAAATCACCAGGAAGATGATCGCCACCGACTACGGAATACCTACAAAGAGAAGATAATCCCACAAATCGCCGTGCTAAACACAACTTCAATCGTCCCCCAATTGGCCCCCGTCGAGACATAGAGGTCACTGGCAAACGTGATGCCAGGCAAAAGATTAGTGAAGAAGACGTAGACAGCACTGGCGATGATCTGCTGGTTGAACACCGTCCAATCGGAGACATATCGCCTCCGCAGGTTGACGATATCCTGCTTCAGGAGTCTGAAGGGGCGAAGCGGTCCGCCAGCGGCGACACTTCCGCGCAGGACGCGAAATGGCCGGGGAGTGTGCTTGGAGGGCGTGATGATCGAGTGGGCATCGGGATCTGGGTCGTCATCGTGCTCCGGGAGATTGGATTGTCGAGCTCGACGATGACTCCTGTCTGGTCGGTGGCGGAGAGACGATATGCGAGCAGATGGCGGCCGAAAGGCCGAAATCAAAGACATTGGAATAAATAATGCCTGGGAAGTTGTATACTAATGTGTATTTTCGTGCGGGGAAATTATCGGTGTGAGATAGATGTATACTAGGTAGACGAAAGCGGTCTAACAGAAGGCATCGATGGATCTGGAAAACAACGGAATATAGATATAGTTCTCACCAGCGAATCCATCTTAAATACCAGCCAATGGAGTGCTCGAGTATCGTCTTCACCAAGTGCATTGCATTCGACTTCTTATCTGCTGGACGATCTTCAGCAATTATTTATTGGCTGGCATCACGTCACGGGGAAGACTGCTCACCGCCTGCCGTTGCGGAACATCTCAATTCCTCCGAATTTCCTCTCGTGTTGACTCTGTTGATTTCCACAGATCAGCATCGGGACTGCCTGATGCCTGTCGCTACAAGAATGGCCACTCGCTTCCTCTAATATGCTATGCCCTTGATGCCGTCTGGTCCAGAACGCTTGCTGTCCGTTGCCTGACCATGGCCGCCAAATTCATCCCGCGCCAGAGCTTCCCGCACTATGGATCGGTGCCGCGGTCGTACTTCCTGGGCCATCACCGGGCCGGCCTGGAGAAGATGAAGAAGATGCTGTCGTCGATCGACTACGTCATCGAATGCCGCGATTTCCGCGCGCCCGTCACCTCCATCAATCCCATGTTCGAGGAGGCTCTGGGCGACAAGTCGCGTCTGATCGTCTACACCAAGCGAGATCTCGGAGCCGAGTCTGACGCAGAGGCAAGAAGGGTGAGCTGCGAAAGAGAGAGAGGGATCCTCGATCCAATGCGGAGTTGGTGCTGACGAGTGAAAAATACTAGAATAAGAAACTGATGCGCCGCCTTGACGAAAAGAGCACCGTCTTTTTCACCACCTCCACCATGGCGCAATCCACGGCCCCGATCATCAGACACTTGAAGACAGATGCCTACGGCCCGGACAAGCTCGTCGCATGCCGGGTGCTGGTCGTCGGCATGCCGAACGTGGGCAAATCCACCTTGATCAACGCCCTCCGCAACGAGGGCGTCAAGAAGGCCAAGGCCGTCCAAACGGGCGGCCAGCCCGGCGTCACGCGGAAGATCGGCACTCCGATCAAGATCGTCGAGAGAGAGCACGGCTCCGACGTCTACGTGCTTGACACCCCGGGCGTCTTTGTCCCCTACGTGCCCGACGCGGAGCGGATGCTGAAATTGGCGCTCTGCGGCTGCGTCAAGGATTCAGTCATCCCCCCGACCATCCTGGCGGACTACCTCCTCTACCACATCAACCTGCACGACCCGCGCGTCTACTCGCGCTGGTCCGAACCGACCAACGACATCATGCCTCTCCTCGACAGTTTTGCGCGTCAGTCGGGCTACCTCGCCAAGGGGGGTGTTCCCAACACGGACCTCGCCGCCCTGAGTCTCGTTCAGAAATGGAGAGCCGGCGGCCTGGGCAGGTTCATCCTCGACGACATCCAAGCAGAACTCCAGCGACGGAAAGAGGCGGTTGAAGAGGCGGGTCAAATCAGCATGGCGCAGTTGCTCAAGGCCGAGAAAGCGGCCAGACATGAAAAGCAGAGGAGAAAAGAGGCTTCCTGATTTGAGAAGCACATTGCACTGTACTATTATTACATGCATGTATGATATGATGACGACTACCTAATTTGTATAGTAGTGAACCCGTGTACATTACAAATAGAAGGGAAAGAAATAAAGCAAACAAGCTTATTTATGGGTATCAGGACACTTCCGGTCGCCCATGCAAACAAAAGCAATAAATAGCACAGCGTATAGTTCAAAGGAGACAGCATTGGAAACGACACATCAGCATCAGATAGCAGTGGCAGTGGCAGTGGCAATGGCGAGATCAGGAGATCTTGTCCAGTAGTCTCCTTCTTCGTCTCTCCACCAGCTCTTCTTGCACCTCTTCCAGCGTAGGCAGCCTCCATTCGACGCCATCACCGGCATCGCCAGGCAATGGCTCCCAGCCATCCTCGACATCGTCCTCACCACGCCTGAGCATGTCCTCGAGGGCTTCCTTTTCCCGCTTCTGCTCGTACTCCACCAGCGAGGCCTCCTCCTCGTCACGCCCATACCCGAAGTAAGCAGCGTCCACGTGCTTGCGAGCCATCTCAGCTGCCGCTCGGCCTCCGCCTCCCGCATCCTCATCCTCCTCCTCCGGCCGCCGGGCCTTCCTCGCAGCGGCCTCAAACATCTCCTTGACGCCGGGCAGTTCCCGCGCGCGGCCAAAGTACCGGTACCCTTTCCCGCCACCGGGGATTTCCCTCCCTTCGTCATCGTAGACGCGCCCGCCGCCGCGCATGTAATTCGGGCCCCCCAGGTTCCGGATCTGCATCTCCCACATCCACTTCTCGCGCATGAGCTTGTTGATCTCGTCGTTGAGGTCCCGGATCTGGTAGTCGCTCAGGCTCGGGTCCTGGATCCGCGACACCTTCCGCGAGATCTCCTTCAGCACCTGCCCTCGCCATTTCTCGCACGTCGGGATCGAATCCACCGACGTGATCGCCTTCGGGCGGCGGGTTCGGCCAATGTCCAGAATTCCGACTTCAGCGGCCTGGGCCGCTCGGAAGCGGAAGAGCATCGACTGTGCCTTTTCGCTGTTGCGCGCCTGGCCGTTTTTTGGTTCGCGGTTAGTCGAGTTGCAAGGGGAGGGAGAAAAGAAAGGAAAGAAACTCACCATTGTGACGGAAGGAATGCAAACCCAAGTACAGTGGATCAGATACGGAAAGGAAAAGGATGAAGGAGGAGACTGCAGGAGAGAGAGGAGAGAGGGGGAGAGGGAGTCGGTGGTGGCTGAGGTTGGAGTGGTTGGACGTGGAGGAGTTGAGGTCGGAAGATTTGATTATCAAAGCTTGGCTTGGCCGATAAGTTAGGTTAGGCTGGCTGCTGGCTGCTGTTAGGGCTGCCGCCGTCTCCGCTTGGCACGATCGCCCCGCGTGACAATCCAACGTCTGAGTTCTGTTTAAACAATTGTACTGTATACACTTTTAGCAGAAATTCGTATCCTTATTATCATATCCTTATCGTGATATAGCTTACATACAGGCCGTGTCTATTCAAGTCTTATTTACAAGTAGAGATTGATTTACAAATAGAGAGAACAATTACTTCATACCATACTCGTAGAATGCAGTCACATTCAATACATACAGACAGCATAACTCATGAGCAGCCGTAAAGCATAAGGAGGTACATACATCTCGTCGTCATCTTGGCCAGTCATCACATCATGAACAAAGGTGGTCCCCCTGCCGCCAGTCATACGCCTCAACAGACAAATCAATAACGTACCCAAATGCAGAAAACGAAAAAAAAAATCCAACGAAAAAAGACCACCGCCGAAGAAGCTCAGCTCAGCCTTCACAAGAATCCTTTGGTGTTGCTGGTCTTCCTCTGAGGCACCTCAATACCACCGTTGGCATTGGATCCAACAAAAACACCACTGCCCCTGCGGCTTCCGACATCGCTGAACCCTGCCACACCGCTGGGCCGTGTTCCCCTCTCGACGCGGAGGGCTTTCCAACCCTCCAGTTCTCTCTCCAGTCGGAGACACTTCTCTCGTTCCTCCCGGAGCTCCCGTTCCGCCCGGCGGGCCTGGAGCTGGTTTTGTGAGTCACTTGACTGGAGCTCTTCAATCGTCTGGAGAAGCCGTTCGATCTTGTCGCGGGCCTTGTTGATGTCATCGTTGAGCTGGGCATTGATCTTGTCCCGCCGTTCGATCTGAGCCTGAAGATCCTTGACAGTGCGATCAACGTTCCGAACAGAGCGCTGCTCCGCATTGCGTTTGTTTTCCTGCTCTTCCAGCTGCGTTTCGAGCTGTCGAGTCCATCTGGGTTAGCATGCAGAACATCGATCAAGTTCCCAGGGTGCAAACAGAAACTCACCTCTTTAACTCTCTTGTGCAGGAATTTGATGTCTTGACTTGCTGACGAGTAGCCCTTGGTCTCAAGATCCACACATTTCAATTGCACCTCCTTGAGCTGCTTCTCCAGTGCGGCCTTCTCCTTGAAGAGCTGTGCGTTGGACTCGCGCTCGGCTGTCAGCTCCTTCTGCATTTCCGCAGCCAGTGCCTCCGCTCGTCTCATCTTGCCAACAGCCGCAGCGGAAACATCTTCTTGCTGCGCAAGTTTCGATTTGAGCTCCAGGATCTCCCGATCCATACCAGCAGCATTACGCATGGATGGGCTTTCTCCTTTGGCGAGGTCCTCGAGTCGTTCTCCAGCCTCAGTAAGCCGGGCTTCAAGCATCTTCTTCTCCTTGAGCAGCATGTCTCGCTCAGCTGTGACGTCCTCGATCTCCGTCCGCAGATTCCGTACTTGAGAAAGCAAAGAGACGACCTTGCTTTGAGCCTCATTATGGGCATTAACTGCCTCATCGCGCGACGTAGACACATCTTGGAGGGTCATCTCCATGCGAGCTTTCTCCTTGGCCCAAGTCGAGCTGTTGAGCACTTCATTGTCCCACTTGCTGCGAAGATCTTCAAGCTCTTCGCGTAGTCGGGAGTTCTCTTCGCGGACGTGGAGCAGGTTCTCACGTTCGATCTCGAGCTCGTTCGTCAAAGTGGAGAATTCTCTCTGGTATTTCTTTCTAGTCTGCTCCAAAGAAGCTTCCTTCTCCTCAATGTCCATGGCGCGCTGGTTTCTGTAGTCTTCCAGTTCGTTTTGGAGCCGCCGTTTAGCTTGAAGAGCGCCTTCCAAGTCCGCTGAGAGGTCTTCGATCTTTTCTTCGTACAACTGTGTCTGCCGTTGGAGATCTTCAACAAGTGCATCCATGCGCTTGCGTTCAGCCATGATGTTGGCACATGTCTCCTCCGCCTCTTTAGCTTGAGCCTTCGCGAACTGTTCCGCCCGAGCGGCCTTGAGCACAGCAATCTCCGCCTGCTCCAGCTTGCTGAAGTATTCGTCGGCACGACTCTTGTACAGGTTCAAACTGGAGGTGAGATCAATAACCTTCGACGACTCCGCATCGAGACGGATCTGAAGATCGGAGAATTCCTGAAGAAGCTGATTTCTGCTGGCAGCGTCCTGTTCTCTAGCAAGCTGAAGTTCCTGGAGATCAGATCGAGCGTCTCGGAGTTCCACCTCCAAACTTGCTTTAGCCCTCTTCAGCTTTTCAAATTGGGCTTTCGCTTCCGTCAACTCCGCCATGGCATTTTTGTGCACATTGAGCAGGGCTTTCCTTGATTGTTCCTGGGAATTCAGCAAATCGAACAGTTCTTCGTGAGACTTGGCCTGCACGTCACGCAAGGATAGCTCCCCAGTCTGGATCATGCGTTCAAGAGCGGAGACCTTCTTCGCGGAATCATCCAACTGCTCGTGGAGCCGGCCATTTTCGCGCTCCAGCATCTGCATCCGCCGAATGGAGGGACTGTCATCCTGCCACATGTCCCGGTTTGGTGTCACCATTTGCAGCTGATTCTGCAGATGCCGGTTTTGCATTTCACTCATCTGAAGTTTGTTCTGAAGCTCTTCGATCTCCGCCGCCATGTCCATCCGCTTTTGATACGTCGCGGTATCGACAGTGCGATCAGATCGACCGGAATCTTGAGCTGACTCATTGAAATTGAATCGTCGATTAGGCGTCGTGGGATTAGAATATCTCTTCACGGTGTCCGAGTTCTTGCGCACATGGTTAGGGGAGCGGGTCATGGCCATTTGATTCTGGTCGATTTCCTCGAGCAGAGCTCGTTTGGATGATGCATAACGTGCGTCGAGTTCCTTCATTTCATCTGCGTGGCGGCGGCGCATCTCAGCCAACTGGCTTTCTGCTCGGGCATATTTCTCCTCGGCCACACGCAGCTCGTTGTGCGCCATTTCCAGAAGGTGTGCCAGATCGACTTTCTTGGACAGGTCTGGCTGGACTGCTTCCCAGGACTTAGGGTTCTCGTCAACCTCAGGATCGAAAACTTTGTGCAAGACCATTAACTGCTGGTGACAGTCTTCTATCTCTTTGTTCGCTTGATCTAGAGCAGCTTGCAGCTTGCGGGTGTTCGCCTGTGCCTGAGTGCGTAATTGTCTCTCCGTTTCCAGGTTCCTGTTGGCTTCTGCTAGTTGAATGCTGGCCGTGGAAGCGGCCTTCTCGGCATTCCGACTGGCTTTGTGCTCTCGTTGCACTTCATGATTGAGATCTTCTAGACTCAAGGACAGTTTCTCCTTCTGCTTCTCCAGGGATGTGATGGTGAGTTGCGCATCTCCCAGCTGCCGTTGCAATTTCTTGCACTCCTCTTCCAATTTGGTCTTCTCCTTCTGAAGCTGCGTTATGCGCTGCCGTTGACTCTCCCCTACCCTAGAATTTGACCTTGCGACTTCCAGGTTCTTTTGCTGGATCTTATTCAAGAGAGCCCGGTTGTCGTTCTCAGATGCTGCAAGTCGGCCTTTCAGGGTCACAAGTTCGCGCTCCAGTCGCTCCTTGTGTTGGTCGTGACGCAAACGGAACGCCTCAGTATCCGCGATGGTCTGAGTCAGTTCTTGGACCTTCGCTGACAGACGTGTCCTCTCTGCTTCGACTTCCTCGAGCTGTTTGGATTTCGCTTCGAGATCCTTCCGCAAACTTGCCTGTCTCTCATTGGCCTGCTTCATGATTTTTTGCTCAATGGCACTTTCAGCATCCAGTCGGGCTTTTTCAACGTTAGTAAATCGTTCACGAAGCTTGATGAGTTCATTTTGGAGCTCTTTGCGCGCCTGTTCAGCTGCATTTCGGGCCTCTGTGGCGCGACGGAGGGTATCCTGCTGAATGTACATCTCCTTCTCAATGATGATCTTGGCTTCATTCAAGGAATCATATTTCTCTTTCAATTCTGCGTATTTATGCTCCCCAAGCATTTGAACGTCATCTCGGGATTGGCGCTCCCGGCTCAGTTCTGCCTGAACTTGGAAGAGTTGCGCCTTCAAGTCCTGAATTTGCTGTTCGAGGATCTTCCTGCTTTGACCAGCCTCAGCATCTTCAGACATTTTGGCCTCCAGCAGTTTCTTCACATCTGCAGCCTCGCGTTCTAGATTCGACTTTTCGGCTTTCATAGCGTCCACCTCCGCTTGGAGATCGCGCAGTCGTTTCTGCATGTCATCGTGTCTTCTTGAAAGCGATGCCCTCTCGGATTCGAGGTTCTTCTTGTCTTCCTCATGTCTTTTGAGATCACTGCGCAAAACAGATAGTTCACCCTCCTTGCGACGAAGCATCTCTTCATATCCAGTTGAGGTGGCGGATAGTTCCGAAATTTCCTGTCGGATGGCCTTATTCTCCTCGAAGAGATCCTTGACTTGCTTTTTGGAGGCCTCAAGCTCCTTCGTGGTTTTCGCCAGCTTGATATCCAGTTCCTGGTCTGATTTTAACAACTTGGCTTCCAAATCATGTAACTTCCGGTCCTTTAAGCTGAGGTGGCTTTGGAGCATTTTGATCTCTTGATTGAGGGATTGAACCTGGGAGTCCCGTTCGCTGTGTATAGCTTCCATCTCCTTCAACCGAGAGTCTAATACGGTAAGCCGTTCCTGCAGCTCTTGCTTCTCGGATTCCAGTCGTTCGATGATTTGGCCGGCTTGTTCGAGTTGTTGCCTTCTGAGATCAAGCTGTTCCTCAGCTTTCCTCTTGGCCTCGATAAGCTCGTCAAGTTGATCTTCAAGCTTCTCTTGGTCTGCAGTTGCTTCAGCCAATTTTTCGCTGAGTTCGATTTCCCGCATTTGAAGGCGCTTAAAGATTTCCTCCTTATCGAGAGCAAGAGCCCGCTCACTCTCTAGAGTCTGTTTCATGCGCTGAAGCTCCAAATCTGTCCGGCGTCTCTCTTCTTCTAGTCGTTGGCGATCAGCCAGATCCTTTTGCATCTTTGCTTCGAGCTGTTGAATCTTCTCGTCTCGTTTCTTCACTTCCGTAGCGGTCCGAGTCGCCCCTAGAAGTGGCTTCATCCTCGTGAAGAGTCTCCACCACGGGTTGACTTTAAGATCCAAATAGACGTGGAAATTTCTCTGTATGATGCGAGTTGCCTCGGCCCGGTAGAGACGCTTGTTTGCGATACGGCGCTGAATAAAGCCCCTAGCAACTGACTGGAAGCGCGTCATGATCTCTCGAATCAGGGTATCGCGTTTTTCTTCCAGCTCGGCTAAAACCCCAGCTCTGAAGAAGACTTTGGTTAAGCCGACACGATACCACGACTTATCCATGCCTAACTTGTCTAGGATCATTTGGGTAGCATTTTGCGCGTCCATATAACCCTTTGGCAAGTCACGGCAAAGCACTTCATAGCGTTGTCGGAATTCGTTAAAAAGAAGACGGTTCGGGAACCCAGTACGAGCGATTCTGATTCCCTCAAGAACTCCGTTACAACGCAACTGATCCAGCACTAGAGGCGCATTAAACAACTTGGGCCGCTTTTTGTGGTTGGGCAAGATACAGCGAACGAAATGAGGATGGGTTGAATGCAAGTCGTTCATCAGACTGGCCAACTGATCCTTGTGTCTCTGGGCCACGGTCCTGAAAAGCCCCTTTTTCACAAGGCTCCTAGAAGACCCTGGCTCATCATCTGGATCAGCGTAGTCGGAGAACAGATTTGCAACGTGCTTATCAGTGGATGATGCAAGGAGACGAGTAAGATTATCGTTCAGTGGATCCTTGTTCTTCTCAAGCCAACCTTCCGTCGTGTATTCCACTTCAGCGGCGTAGTGTGTGAGGATAAAGCCTTGATTCAGGCGTGAGGCTCGATACTTTGGCGATTTGCGATCCCACAAAGAGTTCAGCTTCTCAGTGAAAGACTTGTCCGTGGCCTTAGGCATCACGCAATCTTCGTCCAGGCACGAGAATATACCAATAGGGTTGGTCAACTCAATCAGGTCAATCGTAGGTTGCAGGTCTTTGCCGAAGTCGATGAAATTCCATTCAATCTTTTCCCTGGCATACTCTTCCTGTTCGAGGACGAACATGTGGTGATTGAAGAATTGCTGTAGTTTCTCGTTTGTGTAGTTGATGCACAATTGCTCGAAGCTGTTGGTTTCAAAAATTTCGAAACCGGCAATATCGAGCACACCGATGAAGTAAGTATCCTCAGTGGTTATACTACTCCTGTCCAGCTGGTTGTTTATCCGATTGACAAGATCACCAAAGCCTCGTTCATAAATACCCTTGGCCAAGGCGTCCAGCGCCGATCTCACCTGTTCAGGAGTTTGGACCTTTTCGACCCATTCCCTCCCTGCTTTGACACGAGGATGGAGCAAGCCTTTGACGAAATCCTCGGTGTCTACACCGAGAAGACGGCATGCCCTGCCCACAATCTCGTAAGCTTCTGGACTCAATGCGGCTTGATCTCCGCGGAGACTCTCCTTGGTCACAGGCACATTGCCCAGATGAAGAACTGCGGCTACCGTACGTAAGATGCACATCTGGTCCTCCTCGGTAAAATTCATGATGTGGAACGCTTCCATCAAGGAGTTCCATTCATCAGCGTCTGAGACGCCGGCGATGGAATCATTTCCATCTTTGGTATAGGCGAAGTCTTCAACTTGGAGATCGCCAAGAAGAAGGGCATCTCTCAATCCCTTGTCAGCGCCTTGGAGGAGTTGATAAAAGATGTGGTAGTTTCGCTCCTGAGGATTTGGTTTCACAACCCTGGATTTTTCCAGCAAGTACCAGTTGATGGATGCTCCGGATATTTGACCAGAACGGGTAAATTCGATACGGATGAACTTTCCGAATCGCGATGAGTTATTATTCCTCACAGTCTGGGCGTTTCCGAAGGCTTCAAGGATGGGATTCGCCCTGAGAATCTGTTGCGATAGATTGGAAAATTGTTTGGTTCCCGGCCGAGATGCCGGCGTATCTGTCGTGGCTACTGCAGCGAGATACTGAATGACCTTCTTCGTATTTTCCGTTTTCCCGGCTCCCGATTCTCCGCTTTCCGAGGAGTCAGCATGTCAAATATACCATCCAGCAGCAATGAAGATAACGTACGTTACAAGTATACTCTGATTTTCGCCTTCTTCCACAAGACTCCGGAAGGCTTGGTCCGCCATGGCAAAGATATGCGGTTTTGTATCTTCTCTGCTCTGACCTTTGTACATCTTCACATATTCATTGGTATAGATTGGTAGAGAACAGTAGGGATTCACGGTGACCAGGAAAAGGCCTGAATATGTCTGTAGACTGCATGTTAATACCACGTCTGGGCTACAAGCAAGTCTCCCTGGGTCCACTCACGTAGATCAAGTCTGCTTGATACCGCATATGCAGGTTGTGCACGACCGACGCCTCGTTTAGATGAGTGAGCTCGGCCATGTCATCAGCTTTGTCGAATTTGGCGGGGTTGACCTTGTCAACGTTTTCCACATTGACTTCACGGCGCTGAAAACAGGGAGATCAAGGTCAGAGGACATCCATCCAAGTCACGGGTCTGAGGACTGCATACACTACCGTCTTCACATTGCACCAAAAGCTCTCCATTGTCTCTCTCCTCAATTACTTCGGCCCTGATAAAGGCCTTCTCGGGATCTTTCAGCCACACGTAACGCTTCCCGGAGAAGTCATTGTCGCCCTCTCTTCCCTTGATGTCATCAGCCCCTCTCCGCAGTTCCTCCGACTTGATGAACTGAGGAGCGAAGGTCCCCGATGCCTCGCCATTGTGCTTCAAGGAACTTGATCGCTCCCGGCTGTGGGGAGATGTAAGGGTTACTGATGGGAAATGTGACAACGATGAGTTCCGCGTATGTGATTTCTTCTCTGGACTGCCGCTAGATGGCGGGAAGACCATCGATTTTGGTCGTGATGGCAGCGCCTGGGGACCTGGCGAAGGCGATGGAGAGTGCCGGCTAAAAGGATTAGCCCGCCTTGGAGAACTGTTCAATTGTGAAGACTGCATCGTTGGATCTATTCAGAACATCACGACTGCGATGATTTCATTGCAGACAAAACCCAAAGGACCGTCGAATGCCTATGTGAACTGCGCCGATACTGACCGAGGGGGGAATTAGAAACGGCGTAAACAGTGGTCCAAAACAAAAGAACAAAAAGAAACACTCATTAAAGAGGACAGACAAGTGGGAGAAAGATGTTAGATTCAAGACAGGGTATCGTCATCGGGCTGTAGATATGGTGGCCTGTGGGCGGTGCTCTCCGCCCTGTTTGTTTACCTGTTGCCCTGCAGCTCCACAGCGACAGCGATCGGTTACCTAAGCTTATCTCCAGACGAACCGTGCAACGCGCTAAGCCAAGCCTGAGGCTGCCCGGCAGAACCTCGCCGGCTCCACACCGCCCAGTCACGTGCCGGTGATGTGCGCTTCAATCTCGACGGAGGCGCCAAACTCCGCGATGAAATCCATCGCGCTGTCTGTTCGCCTTCATCGCACCCAACTCTTACATGTCGCTCATGTCTTAGTTCTCCTCATTCAGTACGTCACGAGACTACTTCCGCTTCTTGTCGCAAGTCAAGCTCCGCTGACTCGCGCAGTCTATGACCTGGACAGTCGAGTCACGTCGACGGCGCCTAGCTTCGTGATCACACAGTGCTGCTGTATGACTATGCATCTACTTGTCGCACTGACTACATCTCTCAGTGATTCATGAGACTGTACATCTTACCAGCAGCTGCACATAGTTTCCCTCTCTAGTTTTACTAACTTCTCTATCCTATCCCGGTCTCTCACCGCGCGGAGACTCGCCCGCTTTTGATAATAATGTCAAACTACCCTCCAACCCCCTCGTATGGAGGTCCATCCAGCTATGTGCAGCAGTGGCCGCCGCCCCCGCCTCCGGCGTCGACGTCCTCCCTCCCTCCCTTGCCACCGAATTTCGCGATGAGCAACGCTGGCAGAATGCACGATCTCAACGCCCCGGGGTCTTTTAATACCGAGTCGCACCTTCCTGGGCTAGGCATGCCTGGCGCTTCGATTCCCCCGCCATTTTTTGTGAATCAGCTTCCAAATAACAACTTCTCAGCTCCGTTCTATCCTGCGCCAATGAATCCATTGGGGTATCAACCAATTTCGTCGCAGCCTGCGCACGTTAGTTCGCAACCTGGAGTAGCCTCCACCCAGGCCGGGGCTCCGGCGTCTGTTCAGACTCAAACGAATCATGCGCTTGGAAATTTGCCCAATACTCAAAAAGCTTCTAGTGATGAGCTGGATAGGGAAGAAGGCGAAGTGAGCGAGAAGAATGGCGAATCTTTCTCCGGTCGTCAGTATAACGGTCAGAACTCTTCTCGATCACCTGTGCCTCATATAGCTGATCAAGAAGGCACCCATGGAGCAGACTCGACTTCCAAGGATCTCAACGGGCTGGAGGCAGGAAGAGATTCCTCGTCATTTCAGCTTCATGAGACGTCACGGAGGCACTCCACTGGAATGGCGGACGCGGGGTCGTCTTCAGCGACTCCTCAGTCAAGAAGAGATGCTAGTGAATCCCGTATGGATCTTAAGGTGATAAAGACTTCCAGAATTTATGCTAACATTTGCCAGCTTATAACCCTCCCATGTCCATCAATGTCGACCATCTGGACGATCATGTCCGAGGGGCATCTGACAAAGCAAGTCAGCCGGCGGCAGAGTCTCAGTCCAATTCTATCGATAGCAAAGACGGAAGACCTTCATACCTTGCTGGAAAGACACCTGCTCAAATGCGTGTCCTCGCTCAGGGGGCTCTGCTAAGTCTTGCGCCCCACAACATCCGCTACAAGGAGCTTGTGGAGGAAGACATAAACCCTACAATCCTCAGGCAGCTCTACGAGGAGATCGGTATCAAAATTACGCCCACAACGCCAGACTCCAAGGCTGCCGCTCAAGTTGACTCCGGTTCTACTGTTGCGCCAGCTCAAGCAACAAACGGTGATTCTGGTCCCGTAAATGGCCAGGTGAATCCCGTGAAAAGTCAGGAGACTGTGCCTCCTGCTCAACCATCGCAAACTCAGAATGCTGGGTCAACCACAGCGGCTAAGAAAGCTCCTGAGGTTGCTGGGAAGGAGGCTGTGCTTCAGACAGAAATGGGCAAGCCTCTAGAGCGGAAAGAAGTCATCGCTCGGATGCTCGCCGCTAAAGCCAATAAAACTTCCAACCCCCCGAGTACCACGAAGACGGAAGCTCCAAACGTTCCTGCAGATAAGGCGCCCGAAGCTCCAGCACGAACCGCTCCATCCGGTGAAACGCAACCCAAAGAGAAGAACAAGGCTCAGACAGAATTAGCACGGCAACGAATGGAACAATTAAAGAAGCAGGGACTTCAAAGATCGCAACCGTCAAACCAAGGCACCAGTCAGGCCCAAGTTTCGCAAAGCTCTGGCCAGTTACCTGTGACCGTGCCATTACAACACCCTCTTCCAGAACGTCCACCTGACCCCGAACCAACACCCGCCGCACCTGCCGCCCGAATTCCCGGGCTTTTTATGACGCAGGCTGAGCCTTCTGATGCCGCGAAATCTCGTCCTCAGAGTACTCCAGTAGCTGACTCGGTCTCCACGGAGACCAAATCTATGCTTCGCAAGCGTCCTCGAGCGTCCGATTTTGATGAACCGACCACAACATCTAAAAAGCCATTGCTCCCTGAGGATAGACTAGTTATTGATATCAGCGAGGATGAATCGCTTTACGGAGAGGACGACGAAGGCAACAAGATGGCAGTTGAGACAACGTCAGGATCTTCGCAAGCTCCAGCAACAAACCAATCTGCGACCCCTCAACCTTTACCGCCACACAAAGTAACGGGGCCTTTGCACCAGCGGTCATCAGTGTCAGCAACTCCGCAGACTCCTCGGTTGACTGATCAAGAAACCCTCAGGCAGAAAGATCTGGAGATTCAAGCTATGCGCCGCCGCATTGCTGAGTATGAAGAGCGGAAAAAGGCTAAACTAGCTGCGAATCGTACACAGCCTCCAGAGTCTGCGAATGGGCCTTCTGCCACATCGCTGCCTGGGAATAATGCTGAAGCTCAACCTTTACCGGAAGGAGCCCCGGCAGCCCCGGCGACGGATGCAGATTCCCAGCCTATTTCCACAGCTCCGACAGACTCCAATCTCCCCAGCCTCCATCGTAGGCCCTCTATTCAATCGCTGGCGTCGATGGATCTTGCTCAACTGGAGAGGATCCGTCAAAAGATTTTACGGAAACAAGAGATCGAGTCTGGACTTCCGGCTCTGGATGCTAAATTGTCGAAGTCGGAAGCCAAACTTGCAGAATGCAAAAGAGAGGAAGAACGTCTCCTGGCTGAAATTGCGAAGGGAAAGGAAGGGAGAAAGCAACTTATTGACGAACTGGAGAGTTTGGGGGTTGAGACTGGGGGTCTCACTCTGGAGCAACTCCAAGCGGCTAAGAACGAAGCAGAACAAAGAGAACGTTACGAGGCTGCTCAAGGTAAGCATTATCCCCGTCAACGCGTAGATAGTCTCTGCGCATACTTTCTTCCAGAAGCACAGAAGAGTTCTGGAATATCGTAACTCACTTTTTTCGATCTGCTTAGTTTCAGCTTCAGTTCAACCACAAGAACATCCTGAATCCCCGGATGCTGTTGCAACCGATACGTCCATATCAAAGCCAGCGTCCGATGAAGAACCACAAATAACTACGTCGCCTCAGTGTGTTGACAGCGAGCAAAAACCGAATTCCGATATCGTTGCAGTCTCACAGATGCCGCAAGAACCTTTGGACGCGAGTGCGGTAACTTCTGCTAAAGAGGACGACACAAGTGTCGCTGTTGAACGCGAGAACACCGGCTCCGTCTCTTCTGGCACATCAATGGATGAATCCATCAGCAGTGCACAATCCACGTCGGTCGATCAGCCACCGCAGTCGGATTCGGGTGCTTTAAGTCAAGCCACGGTCCCGGAAGCCCCGGCTGTATGCGAAACAGAAGCGCCGACAGACGCTGGATTACCGGAGAAAGAAGTCGAGAGCACGTCTCAGCCAGTGTGCCTTCCAGGTTTAGAAGCACCTTGTCCCGCGGTTGATACTGTTTCGGACAACACCAAGAGCGTTCCTCCTGAGGAAAATGTCAACCGTTCCCGTGAACCTTCGGTTGCATCCGACGTTTACGAGCCTCCTGAACCCGAGTACAGTCCGGACGGCGCCGCTTCTGACTATACTCCTCCTTTCAGCCCTAGCCCTCCCGATCACGTAGAAGCGGAAACTGTTCCAGCCCCTCCATCTTCCTTGCCCGAGGCTGATGAGGCACTAACGAGACACGTTCAGGAATCAACGAGCGCTCATGAACCTGAGTTTGATATACTTGGCGTATGTTGTGTGGCTACACAATTACTCTGACCGTTCCACTAACATGGGTGCAGGATGAACGACGCAGGGACGACTTGGCGTCCAGGTTCTCGCCGTATATCAGTCCTCTGAGATACTTTAAGTCTTATCGCTACCACCCCAAGTTTACCGAAAATGTTTCGGGAGGCTATCGTTCGTTGACCTACAGCCATAACATTGATCCTATGAAAGCACTTTGTCCTTATGAGGCTGCTGGCGGCGTTTGCAACGACAATACGTGTGAATTTCAGCATTGGCGTCACATGGTTCTAACCGGTGCGTTGATGGGCTCGAAGAACATAAGAAACCTTCTTTCCGCTATCTCCCCCAACCCCAACAACCCTATTCATCACTGCGGAATTTCCCTCTGTGCATGAGATCCTGCGTCATGCCTGGTTCGGATGCTGACCCTTTTCGGTATTGACTTTTGCAGATGACAAGATTCTGGTCCAAATGGGCTCTCTCCGGGAAGGAAAAACGCCAGAAGAGCGAGACAAGTACATCGAGGGTCTGAAACAGATCATCAATGACATGCGGCGCGATAAGGTGAAGGACTTCAACACGGTGGCCACCGAAATTGCCGCATACCGTAGACGTTTCCTCCAGGATCCCTCGCGCGTTGTCCCTCTGTAGCACTGCTGTGGACCTTGACCTGCTCCGGACTGTTGCTCGACAAGTCTGATCCTAGGAAGGTGAAAGTGCTGATCACTGTATATGCAGCGAAGGGGCGAGCCTTGCCGCCGCAAGAATTGAAGATTGAAGTGAGTCGTAAGACCTCGCCTTCGATTTTCAGCGCTGTCTTTACAGCTTTTTCTTTTCCCTTTTGCCTTGTTGCCGTTTGCCTTAGCTTCTTGCATAGCTCGCTTTCCTTTCCTTTCCTTTTCTTTTCCTTTTCTTTACTTGCATCGACTCAATTTGTTTGGGTCTTCCGCGTAGCATTCAAGGCGTTTTCCCATCTTTGGCGTCGCATATACGGCATACTCTGCATTGAGAGTCAATCTCCTTGACTGCTATTTTCTTCACTTGGTATAACGGTGGGAATTGACAGTTGGATGGATCTGGTTTCCATCAAGCAACGTAGGAAAAGAGAAAGGGAGAGTTCAGCCATTCTGGCGTTCAGTTCAGGGCAAAACGAGATGGCTCGGATGGTTCCATGATACAGATTGGCTTGAAACAGCACCGTACCACCCTCATTGTGGTGAATATGCGCGTCAGCCGGGGGTTGTCGCGTCAGTGGCAGCTCTCCTGTATAAGTCCTAGATGTGAATGCATTGACTTTGAGTCATAATTTTCCATGCAATCTTTGAATAGAGTGATATTCCCATAGTTGCAAAGCTAAATAATGCTGCATCGCTCATGTGCAATGATCTGGTATAATGTTTATTCTTCATATAAAGATAGGCTGATGGTAGTTAAGGCCGAGGCATGATTTATCGGCGTTTATATATAATTCAAATATGAGCGGGCGATACATGTACAGTACAGGAGCATGTCAGCACCTCTAATCTGGGCAAGCAAACAAGCAAACGAAAATAACAATTCCTCGGAAGTAGCACGACTTAAAATTGCAGACTAGATGGACGGATCTCTACCCAAGCTGGCTGGTGATGAATGCTGTAATACGGAGTGTAGCAGTAGGAGCATCGTTCGGAATCGGAACATTATAGAGATCCGTCGGCACATGAATCCCCCCGGTCGCACCTGCTCGGCATGGAGCTGGAGATGGGCCCAACTTGCACAAACGGGCTAAGACCGCCTGCAGCGAAATCCTGGCGATCCTTAACGCAATTAAAGTGCTTGAGCCTCGGCAGTCTGGGCCAATTGCAACAGAGCTTTTCAATCTAAAGGATCAATAATCAAGAACTTTCTTCAGGAGCGTTCGTTTGTCATCATTAGAAATATAGAAAGTTTACCTTTTTACGCGCATCCTGTTCTGCCTGTTCTGTTCGCTCGTGTCCGCGAGAGACGGCTGCGCAGAGCCATTGCGCACTCTATATTACTACTCCTGCTTGTACCTCCTGATTTTATTTATAGCTTTGTGTCCCGGGTTCGTGGTGTTAATTCACTGCAATTGAACAGAAATCAGACACGATTCTGACTCGGAATAATTTTTTTTGATCCTTTTCTCCCTAATTGACTTGATATTAGTCCTCCACCATGCCGCTGGCTCTCGCAGAGCCTGTCAAGCTGCCATGCGGGCTGATACTGCCCAACCGCTTTGTCAAGGTGAGAGAAATCTCTAACCTCGCTGAATGAGTAAAAATCATGGCTGGACAGGACTAACGAGACTTCTCCAGGCCGCCATGGCCGAGGGAATGGCTAGTAAAAAAGAAAATCTCCCCAATCAGGATTTCTTCCAGGTCTACGCGAAATGGGCCGAGGGCGGCTGGGGTGCCATCCTGACGGGTGAGAGAATTTGTCGTCTGGCATTGGAAAAATCCTCAGCGCTGAACTTTTGGGTGAGAAAATAGGAAACGTCCAGGTAGACCCTGATTATCTCGGGAATCCGCAGGATCCCGTGGCCGGCGAATACAACGAGAACGACACCAAGACTCTGGACCGCTGGCGCCAGTATGCGGACGCCTGTCAGAAACATGGCACCCCGGCCATTGTCCAGATCTGTCATGCAGGCAAACAGTCCCCCCGCGGAGCAGGCCGGAGGGGCCTGTTTTCCCCGACGATTGCTCCCAGCGCGATTCCTCTGAACCTGGGTGATGGCTATCTGGATAGATTCTTTCGATGGCTGGCCTTTGGATCTCCTAGGGAAATGACGGTCAAGGATATCGAGAAAGTCGTTCGTCAGTTTGTGGACACGGCGCGTCTTATGGCCAAGAGTGGCTTCGCGGGTGTTGAGCTCCACGGTGCACATGGCTATCTTCTCAGTATGTTGGCAAACAGTAGACATGTAAAAACTCTGGAATACTGATTGATGTACTACTACAGCCCAGTTTCTCTCCAGCAAGGTATGAGCGTTATATCTTACGCACTTTCAACAAGACTAACTTCGACAGTCCAATCTGCGCACCGATGACTACGGCGGAACCCCCGAGAAGCGAGCAAAGATCGTCGTGGACATCATCCGGCAGATCCGCGAGGCCGTGCCCTCGAACTTCTGCATCGGAATCAAGCTCAACTCGGCGGACCACGACTCGGCAGAGTTTGAAGACACGATGCGGCAGATTGAGCTCCTCGTTGAAAGCGGGATCGACTTTTTGGAAGTTAGCGGTGGGTCGTATGAAGACCCGAAGGTGAGTAATCCACATCTTATGGCATACGATTGAAGAATATCGACGTAGCTCACCTGATCAATTTGAATAGATGATGAGCCAAGACTTCGTCCAGAACACCGAGAAAAGCCAGCGCACGTTGGCCCGCGAGGCCTTCTTCCTCGACTTCGCCGCTGAGATCAGAAAGCGGTTCCCCAACCTCGTCCTCATGGTGACCGGAGGATTCCGCACCCGCAGAGGCACCGAGGCCGCCGTGCAGAGCAAGGCGTGCGATCTCGTAGGCATCGCGCGTCCCGCAGCCGTCAACCCTAAATTCCCGCAACTGCTGCTGGACGAGACCGTCCCGGACGAGGACGCGCAGCTCGTGCTGGCCAAAGTACGTCTTCCGGGTTGGATGAGATTCCTGCCGCTGAAAAGGGCATTGGGTGCGGGGGCAGAAAGTGTAAGTTACCCCTACCTGTAAGTTGCTGTTTTTGAAATGGGAAATCGACTGACGGTTGCGACTGCAGCTTTATTATACGCGTCAGATTCAGAGATTGGCCAAGGGATTGCCGACTTCTGGACCTCCTGCTTGACAATAAAATAATAGGCGGGATGTACAGTACATCATTGTCGTTGTTTTTGATTTGATCCACGTGTTGTATAAAAGAATTCTCTGTAATATAAGTTCTCTTCAAGTAAGCCGTGTCTTTTACAAATTGTTGAGAGAGGAGCTGGCTTAGCGGCTATAGTAATTACCTACAATACTACAGAGTGGGACCACTGTCACCTGTCAAGGACGGCCTGAGCAAACAGCTCCCTCAGCAGATCCTTGTATGTAGACTCCTTCGACTTTGATCCCTTTTTTTCCTCGATGACTTTGACGACCCGATCGAACGCTCGCTTGGTGCATTTCTCCTCGCAGAATATGCGTTTGGCAGTGCTTTTTAGCCGTGATTGGATGTTGTCGATGGTTATCCTCTAATGAATGCATCCTCAACGTGATAGGGGGAGTCGGTTATCATTCTTGGTGTCGCGTAGGTAGATTCAGTCAATCGACGCGTCGAGGATGGACGCGTTGCGAATGCCGACGATCAGGTGACCACGGCAAGCATTATTGAGAATTACTCCGTATAATAACGACAAGGGAATTGAACAGTGAAAGAATTGTTCAATTAGGTATTTGCATCTACGGAGTAGTTTGCTCTGATCAATGGAAGCTTTAGAGTTTCGGATCTAGCCGTTGCATTCCTACTGTCTATTCATGTACCCAGCAAGCCATCCAATAGTCATTTATTCGACTTATTCAACAGAATCCACAGGCTAATAATACCTACCTAGTTGCGGGGAGGAAAAACTTCCTCACCTTACCCAGGTATCTAGGTAATCTACAGAATAGGCAGTGCACCTACTAGGTATATGGAATACTGTCCCAACATGGCCTTTCCTCCCCCTCACATCCACCCCCCTCAGCCCACTCACAGGCACACGCACACCATCATTCTGCTTCACGGCCGCGGCAGCGACGGACCGGAGTTCGCCTCCGAGCTTTTCTCCTGCGCGACGTCCGCAGCAGATGGGCAGAACCTGCCTGCAAGACTGCCCAGTTGGCGCTGGGTGTTTCCGACTGCGCGCGAGCGACAGTACCCAGAATTAGACGAGGAGGAGCAGGAAGACGACTATGTCATGCGCGCCTGGTTCGATGCGTATTCGCTGAAAATGGACCATTTTTGCTCTGCTCGAGACCATCTCCCTGTGTCGATACAATGTTGCACTACATGTACTGTACTGTACTGTACATATGTGTATTCAGGTGGCATGGTTTATTTACCTCTAGTCTGCTGTCTACCTAGAAGAAACAATCCCAGAAAAGGGAGGAGATCAGTCAGCTGCTTTCTGCGTGGCTCTCTCCTCATGTGACTGCGTCTTGATTACAATTAGCTGCTTTTTGATTAGTTCGTTCTTGCGACCGCCCTGCGATCATTTGTTTGTTTTTGTATATTTCCCCCAAGCGGATGCGAAATTATTATTATCAGATTTGTTGTAAATAAACGTAGCGTTGCTTGGATGCCTTGTCCAAGTCAAAGAAAATGACAGAATATGCTGCCATTGTGACTTTGGCTATTGATTATGCCTATCAAGAGATATCAGATTCGTCTGTGACTGGTATATTTCTACACCCTCATAGAACAAACCATGGCAGCCTGCTTCTCAAGAAACCGAACCACATCCTCAAACCCCTCTGGCTCCTTGATCCAGTGCCCATCGCCCTCTGCTCCACGGTACTCCCTCCACTCAGCCCGGATGCCCATCTGCGTCAAGAGCCCATGCGCCTGACGACCCAGGCCAACGTCCACCCAACCGTCATCCGTCCCGTGACTCAGCATCACGGGCGTCGACAGCACGGGCTCAAACTGGATGTCCTGCACCTCAGACTGCGGATGGCCGATCGTTTCGAGGAGGAATCTCGATACCAAGACGCCTTTACTCGTGCTGCCGCCGCCGCTGCTGCTACTGCTGGTGGTAGTAGCTGACTGGATGATCTCCTCAATCTGCCGCGCAAACGGCAACCATCCGGAAAATCCCAGCAACCCTCCCAGTCTCCTCCTCTTCCCTCCTCCCAGTATCTTCCGACTCGGCCAGCACAGCAACGCCCACAACGCCGTCGCCATGCCTTGACTGAACCCCCCGAGAAAGACCCTCTCCGCACAGCCCTCAAGTCGCTGGATCTCGCTCTCGAGGACGTCGAGAACATGCTGCGCAGACTCCCGCAAGCCCTCGACTTGCTCCTCCTGCCGCTCGTGGATGTTCCTTTCTGGTCATTGCGCTGGAGCCGTCGTGTGACTTGAACAACCTAACTTAAGCAGACAGACCCATCTTCTTCTGTATGTAGTCTTCTTCTAGAAGACGGCAAGTATGTAACACAATCAATCAATCCAACAGTGAGGGTTTATTCATTACATGTAAGTAACCACATGCACAGCACTTCCCAAGTTTTCGCTTTTATTTATTTATTCAACTTTTATTTACTCTGTAAGCAAACAAACCACTCACTGCATGCTGCAGCCCGCAGGACCATGGATGTTTTCTCCGTATTACTATATCCCAGCAGAATCTCGGGTAAGGCGCAGCGCTAGAACGCTTCACTCTTTCTAGCAGGCTTCTAGTCAGGTGCACAGTGATCTTTCAGCTCAATTCTCTACCAGGCAACGAGGGGAGGACGGGTGGTCAATGCTGCGCGATTTTTTGCTTTCACGTGGATATACTTCGTACACTTCTTGCCTCGTCTTCGATCGCCAGGGTTCTCTCAGAACGGATCGCACCGTGGCGCAGCAGTCGTGCACGGATCTGGCCTCGAATTCTCAAACAGTTATTAGGTATTTACTCCGTAACTGATCGTCGAGTGAAGGAATTCTGACTGTTTGCCTCACTTTGAAGACAATGCTGTTGTTTGTCAGGTCAGGCCATTAAAATATCTCTAAAAGAAATTCCCCATGTCTGCAGAGATGGATGTCGGACAGGGGTGATCTTTTTTTTTTCTTTTGCAAAACCTGATAGGGGCATATGTCTCGAACAGTGGAGAAAGACCGTGGTAACCACAACCAGGTGGATAGATAGATAGGGACTGCCTATATTTCAAACGATCAGTACGATGGCTAGAATCGAGTTTGGATTATGCATCTGCTCCTGCACGTGCTTCCTGTTCTGGAGATACAGATCTGTTTAATAGCATGTTTAGCGATGGGGTGTTTCAGGCCCGCTAGTTTAGTGCCATGCAGCAGGAGCAGCACAGCCTCTATTGGGCGCTGTCCCAGAGCTGCGGGCAAAAGCCTACCTAGCCTAGGCTCGGGATGAATCATCAAGGAACCAAGTTACCAAGTTACCAACAACAGCTCGATTGAGATCGGATCGACGACATGGGCAACAAAAAGCTTTCAGCGCAATACTCCTCTAAATGGACTAACCACTGTTGGAACGGCACACCGGGCAAACGGGGCGCGCTCATGCTAGTAGTAATAGGTATCGGGTATCGGGGACGGAGAATTTTATTTTATTTTATCACTCTGAAAAAGGATGTTGGAGAAGGGATGGGAATTTGCACAGAGATGTAGTAGTGTAGCTGTTCAGGCCTGTCAATTACAGCGCTGCAAGAACGTTAGCAGGTGCATTGCGGCTCATGCTCATGTGACAAAAAACACCTGACTGACAAACGAACACCAAACAGTCGCAGACCTAACTAGCAAACTAGCAGACAAACATCATTCGTTGCGGATCATGACTGAATGATCTACGTGCATCTGCATGCATTAGGACAGTGAATCTGGGAGTCTTGATGAATCATCCCGGTTACTTGCGGAGTCCTCTTCCGCGCCACGGCTGCCTTGGAATTAATTCCAGGCAACCAGGCCTGCCTGTCTGACTCTGTACAGTATACGACTTGATTACAAGCTCTTATAGATTGTTATTCATTCGCGTGACGCTAAACGGAATTGAAGTGACTCGTCGAGTGGGTCCTCCAGGGCTTCTGTTCAAGGCAAGGCATCAAGGCTAGGCGGGGTGGATCGTCGCCAGCGCCTTGAGAGGTATTCTAGATGTGATGTAAGGTGAACCATTCTGATCTTTGATCTGAAGAAATTCAATGAAAATTCAATTAAATGTATTCAAGAAGAGCCCGAAACTAATGATACATTAGCAGCAATAATACCCTGAAATCCCTCCACGAAACAAATCGAAACAAATCGACTGATATGTGTAACACACGCCGCGCTGATGCGTCCCGAAAATGTCTATCGATATACCAATTAAGAACCATGATTAGAATGATGAGTATCAGAGAAAATGATCTATGACGCAGAATCGAGTGCTCCCAATGACCGTCCAACTGTCGAACCCGAAACCCTAAAAACGAGGAATGAATCTCTGCCAAGACTGATTGATGACTCCAATGCACAATGCAATGCAATGCATTCACTTTGCGTAACCTGCCAGACAAAGTCAACGTCAACGCTCGGAGATATGCATGTACAGTACTGTACTGTACCTCGAGTAAGTAGGGTACTTACCCAAACCCAATTTTTCCTCCAAAACAAAAAGAAAAAAAAGTTCATATCCACAGATTCACCTTTCGGCTGGAATGCAGTTGTCGCAGACAACGTGGTTACAATTCACACACACAACTTGGTGGTTGTAGACTTTCGGTCCATCCCGGCACTGGCAACAGTAGTACATGAATGTCTTTGGACCGTGAGTCACGATTCCCTGCCCGTGCTGTCGGCCTCCACGCGTCATGTCTCGAGCGCCAGACCGACGGAGGAGAGATGGAGCAGGAAATTGCGAACTAGATGCTAGCGACAGAACCTCGTCTGTCGCCGCGCGATGACGGTGCTCCATGTTGCTGTTGGAAGGATCGAAGATGCTGGGCACACCGGGATACGGCGACGTGCCTTCGTCGTCGCCGCCGCAGAAAGCGTACTTTGGGCAAACCATCTCGACAGTGCAGCCGTCGCAGCGAGGGGCCTGGCAACTGGCGCAGGCGGCGTCGATGACGATATTTAGCGGGCCGTAGTTGCACTGGCAGCAGTACCAGACAGGGACGGAGGTCGGCATTAGCGAATTGAAGGAGGATAATGAAGAAGAAATCGTTGGTCTTGTGGCTTGAGACGAAATGATAATGATGATGATGATGATGTTGTTGGTTGGTGTTCAGACAGACCAAACTTCTTCAAAGATGATCTGGTCTGATCTGATCTGATCTCTCTGATCTGTCTAATCTGAAATGACTTGATATGATGATTCTTGTTTCACGTTGAGGTTGTTGGAAGATAAAACAAGGAATTGAGCAGAAAGAAGGGGCCATTATATAGACACACTCTCTCTGAGGAAGGGAGAGCAGACAAGAGTCATTGATGAGAACCATCTCTGACAACAGGCAACAAATCATCTACAGAAGCAAGCAGTGGCTGTGATCAAGAAACAAAGCATCCAATCCCAGGCAGTAGGCATTGAGTCGAGACTCCTCAGGAAGGGCAAAACAGGCGGGAATGAGTAGTCTGCAGAGGGTAAAGAGGGTAAAGGTGAGAGGCAGGCATGATTTCTCTTTCAAGGCAAACATCCAGGCACAACACGAGCCAATCGCAGTGAAGATAACTGCAAAAACAAAGTAAAAAGAGATCACCGCCAGGGACAGGATTCTGCCTGATTCCTACATGTACCTTGGTTTAGCAGGTTTGCCTAACAGCGCGAGCGGGTTCTAGATAGGAACCCGGTGCCCTAACCTAAAAGCCAAGCCCCCGCCCCGTCCTGCATTCCCATTTCTACATCCGCTCATGTAAGTTTGGTCAGAAAGAAGGCGCGGAGAATGAATCAGTAGCCNGTTTTTTTTTTTGGTCGAGCATGGCTGTGGAGTAGGGCAAATCGAGTCATACATGTATGCAGCTCGCAGCTCGTACAGTACCTAGTCTAGTCATCCGCTAGTAATGTCTGCACAGTACAGTACATACAATACATGACAGTCAATTGGATGCTGTGGCAGCGACAGGCTTGTCTGCAATAGCGGAGACGACCGGTAGGAGAGCCAGAAATATTGGAGTACAAGGATTTTGCCCTACTGAAGGATGGAGTAATGTACGGAAGATGGCGGGCCCCTGGGGTTCCGCACCGGTAACTTGATGGCGGAGAGCGAGCCCGCGGGCGAGAGGGCACAAGGCACATTGAAGGCTTGTACTGTACAAGGGTACAGGGCACACAGGGCACAGAGGCTTAGACGCGCCCGGTCAAGTGTACTGTGACGAACGTTGACTGCGCTTATTGCTCTGAAGAGAAATGCAGGGCCAGGAGCGTTGTGATCCGTGCCTAGCAGTATAGGCGTGACTTGATTACATCATGGAGAAGGACAGCAAAGCGCATCAATAATGATAATGACCCCAGCCTATCAACAAGAAGAATCGTCTTTAGCGAGAACTACCTGCTGCGCCTCCGGGTTGAGTAATAACTCTCCAGGTTAATCGGCTGGATAGGCTGATAGGCGCGAGCGGGCGAGGCTCTTTCATTTCGGCCCCTAGCTCAGCTAGCCTGCTGGGACTCTGCACAGTCGGTGACGACAGATCACTTTTTCGCAAGGGCTGAATAATGTTCAAGGCAACTATCTGCAGGCGCATTGCACACTGCACCGCCATGAAAAAGAAGGTGCCTTGAAGAAGTACGAACGGGCAATTGACGAAATCCCCCACCCGTTCCTGATCTCCGCGTCTGCCGCATAGCATGGAGCATGGACGGAATTTGCCCGTTTGGGCGCCCGGGGCGGCGGCTCTGCTGCCTAGCCGCCTGGTCCTAGAAGCGAGCCCGCTGTCGATCGTCGATCAGTACTTAGTCATAAATTACATAAGTATCCCTGTAAGCACCTCTCATGGTAATCTGTGATACCATGTAGATGACTCTGCCAGCGATCTTTCCCTCTTGGCGCTATATGCTAGGCATGGATTTTTTCCGCTTTTGGTCGTTTACTGCCTGTCTGCATTTTCACTTATATGGACTTTACGAATGTACTATGTTTACGTCAGAGATGATAGTCCTCAGCGTTAGCAGTATGTACATGTAGTATATGGTCCTTGTCTTATTTCTTGTTATATAGGAAAAATGGTAAATGATGAATAATGCTGGAGCCTTGGCTACATGTAGCTTTTTTTACTCAGGAGCCTGAGCGATGAAAAATAGTAATATGGGACTGTGTACTGTACATATCTAGTATAAGGTCTATTGATCTATACCCTGACTGGAGCTACTAATACACCGAAGAAGGATAAATCAGGAATAAAGAAATGCCCGAAAGAAAAGAAAACAATAGACGAAATCCCAATAAATATCCGTCTACAAGAAAAGAAAATAGTAAATTAGAAACCCTCCTGTTCTCTCCCCCTCCGCAGACACTCATCGCATCGCTTATGCTGGCAGTGAAGCTCCACACATTCGGTGGTCCAAGCCGAGTACGGCCCAGAACCGAATGAACAGTTGCAACAATACCAGACGTCGGTCCGGCGTCTCATGGGGACGGCGAACTGGGGATGCTGTCCATTCTGCTCGAAGGCATATTGTAGACTGGCAGCATTTCCCGCCACGAATGGAGGCTGATCGGTATTCTGGGGAGTAAAAGACTGATGTTGTTGTCCTTGAACGGTTCCTTGTTGTGAGTGGAATCGCTCATATGGATTCCCGTTTCTGTGCTGCTGCCGCCGCCGCTGCTGTCCCCGCGCGGTATTATGCTCCTGTTGTGCCGTGCGTTCTTCAAGCTGACGGAGCCACTGTTCACGGTACGGGACATCCTCGAGGGAAGCATACTGGAGCATAGTATGTTTGCTGGGTCTGGCATTATTGGGTGCATGCGGTAACTGGAGATATACAGGAGACGCTGTCCGGGTCATGCCGGTCTCAAGCCGGCGGCCGTCATTAGATTGCTGGTAGCGTTCGCGGTAATAGCCCTACTCCAATTAGAAAAGCAAAAGATGCAGTTAGACAACAAGTACCTGGTTGGACATTTTGTCAGTGATAAGATTCGCGTGGATTGAACGAGAGAAAGTAGAGAACAGGAATACCACAAAACACCAATGTGGGTGTAATACAAATATACCGGAAGAAGCAGTGGAACACAGAGAAAACAGAGTCACCATCTCTTGCTCGTAGATATACACGGAACGTGAGCAGGTTGCCTTCAGCGTCCTCAACTCTAAGCCACCGAGAGCAAAGAGAATGATGGGATGCGCCTTGAACCGGTGAAGACAGGCCAGGCAATAGAAAAGCAAGACGCAAGAATCGCAGGCCAAGGGAGACGTATCTTGCGGACAGCGCCCTTTGACAGGCAAAAACGCTCCACTTGGTGACCATTCTAGGAGACCGCTCAATTCCGCCACTGGTGAAAGTATGATAGCCGGGGCATATTTGCCAAGGTAGGCCCGGGATACGGGCACTGAATAAGTGCACCCGCAGCTACCTCTAAGCATCCAAGCACACATGACTGAGGTTTCTTTCAAGGTCACCGTCGAAATATCGCGCGGTCAGAATTGCAATAGTCATCGTCGATGGAGAAAGGCGCCAAGTGCACGGCCACTCGGAGACGAAAAGGGAGCCGAAACGAGGCGGTCCGGAGTGGACACACCTGCGCATCATGGCAGGGTGAAACGGGGGAGCAAGGCTGACTCGGCAGCGGATTTCTCAGACCGGAGTGAGGAGGACGTATTATTGAGTCTCTCACAGCGCAGGGCAAGTGGACACTGGAAGATTGAGATACGGTACATGTCCTGATCCATAATTGGTATAGCGAGACCTGGGCGAGACATCAGTTACCCTTTCTGGGTCCGCAATACACGAGAAAAGTTGAGAAAAGGAAACAGATAAGAAAAACAGTGCAAGAAAAAGGTTCTAAAAAGAATGGAGCAAAATGAAGGACTGGAGAGGCCGAAAGGAAGAAGGGAAAGAAATTAGGCTATCAAATATAGAGGAGCAGAAGCCCTCTTAAATAGTAAAATCCTTCTTTGATAACGCACGCATTTTCAGCCGCAGATTGCCGCGGCTCGTGCGAGGGGCGGCATCGATGCTACTATGTCCAGGACGGGTAAAGCTTGCAGCCTTGTTCGCCATTTGTGCGGCATGACATTCAAGTGAACGGTTATTCGGCTTATGGGACTGGTCTGCCTTGAAGAACAGCCTAGTCAAGTGCATGTGTACTTCCAATTATGCTCCTGGTTCATGTTAGTTAGTATGCCATCTACCCCGCAGCTGAAGGACACTTACAGAAACTGGTGCTGCGAATCCATCTAACGAAAGACCACAACGAATGGGAGTCAAATGGCTGAGTCTCTGCTGCTATACCACCAAGAAAAGGCAAATGTTGGCTTCGTTGCAGCTTCCAAGTCGTGCTGGAGGTCAGATGGAGGTCGACAATTACTGGATTAGGCAGGAGCCCGGCAACAGTGTCGGGATCCAGGCTATTCCTGTTGTGGACATGTTATGTCACGTGACATGCGCTGACTTTCATCCCAATCGGGAATGACGACTGCATTAGCTCGTTGTTGGATCTGGCATGGATCATCATGCCAGCAGTCCTGTGCGTAGACAGGCTGGCAATGATGGCTCTCTCCAAAAGTCCGCATTGAAGTTCTATCCCTCATTACCGAAATCTATTGCCATTTCTTGGCGCGGATTCCGATGCGGATCGCTTGCGAGATACCACTCCGATGGCTCTTGACGAGAAAGCCGCGAATCGTGCTATATCCAAGGTGATCCCCGTGTTGCTGTTGGGGATCATAGCTTATGCTAGCTTTGTTTTGACCAAACCTCTGTGCAGTAGGTGCCTTTTGTTTTTCCCCCTCTCCCTCCCCTAGATGTCTTTGCTAACTTGTCTAAGTCGACTATCTTATCCATCCTTCACCGTCCTATGATAGGAGCCCTCGAGTCGGCGCCGGCGTCGTCATCATTGTCGTGTACTATGTCCTGCTGTTCATCATTCTCACAACTTACCTCCGTCTGTACTACCAAGTCATCTTCAATCCGGATTACATCCCTCTCGGGGAGCAGTGCGCAGCGAACCAGAATGAAGCGAGAGGATCAGACGGTCGTCAGCGGAAGAAAGGTCGGAGGACAACACGGGCAGGAAGGCCGCAGGATGGCCCTCGAGAGAAGAACAGTCTGAACTCGTCGAGAGATGTCGAGGGTGGAAGAGATCAAATCGGCGGAAAGGCATTTCCCCTGGATCCAGCTGGCCTGGAGAGCTTCTACATGAAGGAGGTTTTCGTCTGTCAGGAAGACGGGAGGCCCCCATACTGCTCCAAGTGCTGTCAGTTCAAGACTGATCGGGCGCACCACTGCCGTGATGTGGATCGATGCGTACGGAGATTAGATCATTTTTGTCCTTGGTGCGGTCCCAATTGGCGATGCTGCCGGTCAAATATGGGCTGACTGTGTTCAGGGTGGGCGGCGTTGTTTCGGAATCATCACATAAGTTTTTTATTCAGTTCGTTTTCTATACCGCAATATTCTGCGGTTTCAATCTCGTTGTGCTCTCGATATTCACGGCTGAGCTTCGTCAGGTGCGTGCAGTCGCAGCCCTTTTTACGTGGTGTTCAAGGTGCTCATCTGACCTAAATTGTGTTGCAGAGAGGCCACGTGAATGCACATTGGCTTGTCGCGTTGGGGCTGTAAGTGGACGGCAAAACCACCTGGTCAGTCTCCATGCTGATTGAAAATAGGAGCTGTATCTTCTTTCTTTTCTCTGCCGGGATGACAGGGACTTCACTTCATCTTGCCGCAACCAACACCACGACGATCGAGAACATTACTCGCAAAACCAAAGTGTGGACTCTGGCCATCCACATAAACCGTCCCAGCAACACCGAGTGGGCCCGAGTATTCCCAACCGTAACCTATCCATCGCGGCCAATCTCTACCCCAGTAGACTCATCCGACCAAGACTCTCCCAAGCAAGAAGACAGCCGCACTTTCGCGATCCTCCGGACGCAACCGGGGGAGAATCCATTTGACCTCGGCAGCCCGCTGAAAAACCTGCAACAGGTCATGGGCTACACGGTTTGGGACTGGCTTCTCCCGCTCAAGCCCAGTCCGTGTGTCGATCACAGCAGTCCCGAAAGTGCCTATGCGATGGGGCCTGTGGTGCAGCGATTGAAGCGCGAAGCCGGGCTGATAGACAGTACGGCAGAGCCGTCCGAGCCTGGGAAATCTGATCGTCGTCGCCACCACCGTCGTCGTCGTAATCGCCAATCCAACCATCGTCATCGTCCAGAGGTGTCTGATGCATCAACTCCATCAGGGCCATCTGAGCAGGATGAGTCTCAGCAGCAGCCTGCGGGACCCGATCGGGAAGGTGACTCTAATCAGTAGTCAAAGCTCGAACGATAGACGAGAGGGTTAGAAAAAAAACGCTCTTATTTCATTAATTAAAAGTTGCCAGTACACAATAACTCCCCAGTTCCGCGATGACAGTTGTCGTACTGTACATACATAATTACATGCATCGATTAATTACATGCATACATGCATACATACATAGACACACGGATTTATTTTATCCATTCGTCATCCTAGAACACATCTCACTCATTGAACCAACAACAGTGACTTTGCACGAGAATCGAAGCAATGGCGCTTACTCCGGATGTGTTCATGGGCCAATATACTCGGGATGTCTATATAGACGGTGACGACTGACGACGGGTTTGGATATTCTATTTCGTTTGCAGACGTCTGTCCAGACGTATTGTCTGCATTGCATTACTACACTACATTGCATTACATTGCATTACACTCCAAACAAAAGGGGAAAGAAAAAATATGTGTACTTGGTAATAATAATGTCTATAACTAATCTATATCTAATTCTTCTGTCAAATCCTATATTAGACCCGAAAAAAAAACGAAGATGGATAGATGGATAGATCGAATTGACAAACAAGGAAAAACAAAAAAAAGAACACAAGAACGACAATGCTATCTATCTATCTATCTAAGCTGGGGGGTATATAGGTAAATAATAATAGGAAAGGAAGAAAGCATAGAAGAACAGACACTGTAGGTGCTATGCTACATTGTAAGCGAGGAAGAAAGGGGGGAAATGCATGAACAAGGAAGTGGAATTATTATTCAAGATGAAGAAATGAAGTCCGAAATGCAAATGAAAAAAGAAAAAAAAGGAAGATCGCAAGGAAACGAGGAGGAGTGAGGGTTTCCTTTTTGTCTTGTCTTGTCTTGTCTTGTCTTGTCTTGTCTTGTCTCTTTCTTTCCGATATTATACTGATCTTTTCTGCCTCCTGGTCCTGTCATGAGACAGACAGGCAGACAGCCCCGTCATGTCGCACAATTTCTTCAAGTGAGTGGAATTGAATTGAATTGCCGGGGTATACTTGTCTCTGTCGATCAGAGTAGCAACACTAAGCTGCCTGACAATAGCTGCAGAACATGTGCCCACATTCGAAGCACATCTCTGGGCAGTACGCAGGGTTGTTGAGCAAGCCGCATTGGCAGCAGTTCCAAAACACTGTCGCCCCTGGTCGAGTGAAGGGGTGTCGTTGTTGGCTGCTGAAAGTAGTGACGTACTGTGCGTCTAGCGGTGTCGCAGAGCTGCTGCTGCGGTCGTGGGAAGCAGAGCGATGATGATGCAACAGGGACATTTGTTGAGAGAAATGGCTGAGGCCTGCTTGCTGGCAGCAGCCGACATTTTCATGACCGCAGATAGGACAGCGAGGAGCGATGGCAACGACGTTTGTGCTACCACAGTTGCAGCAAATGTAGATGTCTCCTCGCTGTCTAATGGCCATTTTTCTTGACTCAATTGTTTTTGATGAAGCCAGACAAGAGGTTCAAAGAGGATTCAGTTTAGCGAAGAATGATTATGATGATTATGGGCAAATTTCAAGAAATGCTTGCTTCTTCGAAGGACAGATACAGTTGATTCAATTCAATGAAACGAAGGGAATAGTCGAAGATTCTCGACCCTTTTATATCCCTTATATCCCATTCATGCTCCGGTCACAGCGACCGGTGTTGGTTTATAAAGATGCAATTGCTTTGCATTGTCATCTCCGGTTTCACAAATACCCTCAGAGATATATGGTGGAGACATGCTGGGTGCAAACCCCTTGGCCGGGCATCGAGTGCCCGATACTGGGACTGTAAACATCAATTGATTCCTGGAACTATTAGCAACAGTCAAAAATAGGACCAAAAAAACAGCACAGCTCAATACTTCCGCATCCTCGTTTGGCAATATCATCATCATCCATATCTTGTTCACGGAGAAAGCCGTAAAATGAACAGCTCTTGCAGGCTCAGTAATCTCCTTCTTGAACTCAGGCGATTCACCCAAAAGACCGGAAACGCATCTCAATGCCAAAGCTTCAATTGAAGGCCTTTGGGTGAAGCGGATGAACAAGAATGTGCCTCCTGTGGCTGTGCATCCCCGGGTTAGATGCCATCACCGCGGTGAAAGTTAGATTGCACCCGCAACACCAATATCAGTCTTGAGAATCGCAGGGAAAACGTACCTCAAAAAGCAGTGTCGACTACTCGATGATGTGATAGCCCGCCAGGGGAGCAATATTTTCCCTTCAGATCAGCACACATCGAGCAATGCCAATATCAAGGTCAATCGGGACCAGGAGCTGAGGAACATTCTGTGCAATCCTTTCTGACTATATCAACCCGCATTCTGCCGCCGGTACACTCATGGATCCAAGGTTCACATTGGCAATGTCCGACGTGTATACCAGCGCCTTGGGGCACTGCACCCAGCTCCCTGTCCTGAGGTACTTGGGCACAGGTCCCACTTGAGGCCATGCCCGGTAGAGAGTTCGTACAACGCTGGGGAATACATGTACTAGACGCCGAAGCGCCCCAGTGATGCTGACTCTGTGTACTCCCGTGCCGATCAGTCGGTAGGGCGTCAAGTAACAAGAGGACCTTTTCATTGGTACCTCAAGTATGGTTGACTTATGCTTTCCGTTAAGTTTTCATGAAATAAGCAGGGCGCGCCACGTGCCCAGGTTGAGGCTCTTTGACCGTATCCACGTTTCAGCTAGACCAGGGCACACGGCAACATGACTGGACAATTGGCATGGCAAATGACGTAGTCTGCAAAAAAAAAAAAGAGGGAGAGAGAGATAACAGTAACAGTTTCTGGCAGGAACCGGCATTGTTCACTTTCCAGTTCCATAGTAAATCCATCTAGTAGAGAGTTGGAAGGTGAGCAGGGTTCCCTTGGGTTTTCAGAACCGGATGCGGTGCAGGTTGGGGCGACGACACAACGGCCCCAAACTATACAGTTGCCCTGTTCTTGGCCGGGCGACATATGATTATTATTCTGCTTCAATCAAGATCGAGCTGATATTGACGTGTTTGCCGATCCGAACTTATGATTACCGGCAGACTCCACCTCAGGAGGAACCTTGATGCACGAACTCGAGTTTCAGAAAGCAACCTGAAACTCTTGATCTGCTGTTTCATGTTTAACTGACCAAATAGCGGTTCGCGTGCTACTGCAAAGTGATTCGGAGTCGGTGGCGTAGCGTAGATGCCCAACTTACACGGCGTTTCCCAGGCGTGGATTTTGCGATCGCGGAAACGCTACTGGCTGGCACGATGCACACGCCACCTGGAGAGTCCCCAGCTGTCGAGTCTGATGCCACGTCTGCGCCTGAACAGCTAATAGCTGGCATACTGTTCGCTGGATACAGTTAAGGCTGTAAACGTTGTGAACGTGTCAGAAGTGCCCATATGCATGAGTGAATCTTGTTCGCAGTGCAACGACATGGTAGCAATATATAAAGTGTAGGAGAATCCCAGCGATCTTCGCAACAGCCAGGAGCCTTGTGTATCGAACCTCTGGAACAGAATCTTCCCAGCGTTGATCCCGGACACCAGACGGATTGAAGCCGTGGATTGGGCATACCCGAACCGTGGAAAAGATCTCGGAAGCCCTTGTTCGGAGCCAAGGAAAGGACGCCACCAAGATCACCCGGATCCATGGCCAGCTTTCTCCGCACGGCCCAAGCACAGGAAACATGCAATGGATCATTTGACTTGCTAACGTGTCTGAACTGACGACACAGCCAGGCAGCTTGCCGACAGCTGAGGTCGGCAAAACTAGCTGATCTCGCACCTGCCATCAACTCTCATTATCCATTGGATCTTTTTCTGTGACGTCGTCCATTTGCGCCCCAGGAGCTTTGGATATGGACCGTCTTGTGGCAGCAATCACCGTTTCAGACATAGTGGCATGCCAACGGCCGAACTAATTCCTAGTTTCAACACCGCTGGCCTCAGGATCGGTGCCATCACCATTAACATCATCTCCGGCGGTAACCATTCTGGAAGCGGTGACTGCAGCCCAACCGGTGGGGTTCTTCAGTGTCACCAGCACCCTAGCCTGGCTTTTCTTCTCGTCCCCGACGGAATTGCCCTGGAATTCTTGCCTGTCAGGTTGATTGAGAGTTAACTGAGACGGGACTGGCCCACCTGGCGTGAGGCTCTTCGCTGCGTTGCACGGCGCCTTCCTGCATAAGCACCCCTCCCCACCGCTGGAACTTTGCGTCACTCGACAGAGCGTTCATCCCTGCTGGCAGGGAAAAATAAAAGAAAGGCAATCAGGCGTCAGGCGGAATCCATGAAGGCCATATAGCCATTCTCTCCTGGATTTATCCTGCAGTGAACCCCCAAGGCCACCTCGCGCTGTCTGCCATTTCCTGGCAAGGCAGTCAGTCCAACCGGTTGGGCGGGGAAGTCGCCAGCGACAGCCCATCTGCTCGCCCATCGCTCCTTCCCTTCGCGCGCGCCCGATTCGGCCCCGTTCCTTCCCTCTTCGCCTTTCTCTCTTAGGCAGGCGCTTCCCCCGTTTTCCATCGCTGCTTCCTAGCGTCTGCTTCGTGTCGCTTTGCCTCTGGCCCGCTGGCGATTTCGTGCTTCTCTCGCTGCTGTTGGGAGGGGCCTGGTCCTTGGAATCAGCTATTGATCGCGCCTCCAAAATGAGCCATTCGGGCAAGTATCGCTCCTCTTCTCCCGGGGGCAGACGCATCGTGGACCCCATGCGCGCGTCCACGGGGACGGTAACCCTTGGTTCCTCCGGCGATATCTACAATTCCCCCACAAGCTATTATGGATATGATGGATATCTCTCTACCCAAGTTGCAGAGAGGGTCTCGGACTACAGGAGCGGCTACGAGCCTCGCCGCATGCCCGACCGCAAGCTCGAAGCGCAGCCCATCTCCTCAGTGACCTACAGAGATGCCAGCCAGTCCACGAAGCTGAGGACGGAATACGCCATCCGCCCACGGCCGAGATCTTCCACCGTCGACTCCAATCGGTACTCTCTAAGTCTAGTCATACCTACGTCCAAGAGTCGCCAACCGCCCGTCATCACTTCTGCCTACGAAAGATCTACGAGTCCTCTCCGGCCGCGATCTGCATATGGGCGGGAGGACGCCGAGCGCTATATCACACCAGCGTCCTCAATCGCGGGTCGGAACCATCGACGCATATACAGTTCCGAATACAGGAGTGACGCTGCTCGGTCAGATAGAGCGCGCCGGGACCGGAGTGTCTACCGAGTCTATCGACCAAGCGGCGTGTCAGCGTATTCCGACTCCAGGAAACGGGATGACTCGGATTATTATGACGCCTACTCGTATACCAGCCCAAGAGACCTGTTCGAGAAAGACTCGGCCGTGCGTAGCTCGCAGCGGGGCACTTATCGGACAGGGCGCCCCTTGAGCATGACGGGTGCGGAGGCATATCTCGGGCAAAGTTCCCATAGGAAGGATTCCCGGTCCCAAGGTCCACCGCCCTCCCAAAGGGGTTTCGATAGAATCGTCGAGGACAGGTTGCGCCGTCGGAGCCGTAGCCGCGCTGACAGTGACGCCAGTCGTGATCCGTCCGGCTCTCGTCGATTGTCATGGCAACGTACCCCGGTATCTCTTCACCAGGATCGAGACGATGCGTATCTGTCCTACCCTGACGACCTTAAGGAATCCCGCCGCCATCGTCGTCGCCATTATGATGAGGGATCCCTCAGTCGACGCCATCGAGACCATCGTGACTCCCGCAGGCACACCACGGATGACCTACTTGAGCCCGTTCTGGGAGGACTGGCTACTCTGGGCTTGGCCAGCGGATACTCCGAAGATGCTGATCCTGACCGCCCGTCACGGCGCGAACGAAACAGGTCTCGGGGGCCGGATCGCGGCCGTGAGCGCGAAAGTGAAAGCGATTCTGAGTCTCGAGATTATAGAGATGGAGGCGCCCAGAGCAAGGGCAAAGGACTGACTGCGGACGAGGTCGAATACCGCCGCCGGCGCCGGAGAGAGCGATCAAGACTGCGTGATCACAGCGACTCGTATGAGTCTTCCAGCTCAGAGGAGGAGCTGCGGAAGAAGCGGCGTGAGAAGGCGTCTCGAAAACAGTATGATTCCGAGAGCTCCGACAGCGATCCCGACCAGCGGTCCCGTGAGGATGCTGACAAGCCAAAGCGTCAGCGCAAAGATGATATTCCTGCCGACGCGGGCAAGCGATCTCCTGATGAAGATGCTAAGGATCGCGCTGCTCGGAAGCCGGCGGCGGTCGAACCAACTCAACCAGCCCCTACCAAGGAGCCAGAAGCTCCGCCTAAAGGGATTCTGAAGCCACCTCGCGATAAGTTTCCCGAAGACGAGAATCCCATCAGAGAGGGAGTGGCGCCCCCCAAGGACGCCCAGAAGAAAGGAATTCCTCCTGGAGCACGATGGACGAAAATCGATCGCCGACTGGTCAACCCGGCGGCTCTTGAAGCAGGGCACGAGCGGTTCGAAGAACGGCCGGAGTATGTCATCGTTTTGCGGGTGTTGACCAAGGAAGAAATCCAAGCCTACGCTGTCAAAACGCAGGAAATCAGAGGTGAGTGTGGAATTGTGGTGGTCGGAGAGCACATTGACTCACTGTGTTGTCAGATGCCCGCTATCGAGCCATGCGAGAAGAGCGCCGCAGGCGTCGCGAAGAGCGACGTCGCAACGGTGAAAACGATTCTTCGTCCAGCGACGATGAGGATGACGATGATGATACACCTTTGGCGATCGAAGCACCTCCGGAGAAGTCGAAGTAGGTGGCCAACAGAACCTTCGAAGGGCGAATGATGATGTGAGTGTGTTCATTATGTTACAATTTCGGGTCTTTCAATTGTTTTAAATGTGTTGTATCAGTACTTTTGTTGAAATCTCTGCATATGTTACGACCGGACATGACAGTGATCTTTTTATTTTGCATGACTGAAAGTTATCACGTTGATGATGAGATGTCACCATTGTTATACGTGTACTGACTAGTCTGTAATTTCATTTGTATTGAAATACGTCTTGTACGTCTAGTTCATGCTATACGAGGTCTAGAATATCAGAGCGAGTACGTGTAGCGAGTACGTGTAGCCCATTTCGAGGTCAGATCTGGGCAAAAGAGTAGAAGCTTACATATAAACCGGCACTATAAGCTGTCGTAATGTTTCTAAGTAGTGGTGAAACAGGACTCACAAGCCTTCTTTTACGATTTACTAACTCGCAGCTGTGGAATGCACCGTAAAAGGATATCAAGCCTAGGAACCTTCCGACTGCCCAAAGTCAGAGTTTCCAACAACGGCAAGTCGAACCTCGATCCATCCACATACCGAAGCATCGATATTTGGACCAGTGCAGCGTATACCTTAGCCCCAGGAACAGAACAAAATTTCCGACTGATTGCAGGTAGTAGTGGTAGTAGTAGTATTTCTGTCCAGTCCGAACTGCAATCAGTCAGTCAATTAATCAATCAATCAACCCTCTAATTATCCCTCTCGCAAGTACAATGTACGTACTGTATACAATACATACAAGTTCAAGTCCAGCCTTTTTGCGTGAGATAATTAATATCACGTTGGGACCTGAAATGAAGTAAAAGTTGCTTGCTTGCTTGCTTGCTTGATTGATTGATTGATAAATTGTGTGTTTCACAGGATGTTGAGTTGTGTTTCTTTGCTTGAACTTGTGATTTCTCGAACTTGTATGTATGTACATATGTATGTACTGTACAATACCTCGACCTCGACTGTTGAGTGAGTGAGTGATTGACTGCCTACACAGCCATCTGTCTTGATTATCGGCAAGTAAAAATATCGAGAAACAATGCAATTCCTACAAAGTAAAGAACCCCGATAGTGGACAATTTCTCGTTATTGGAAATAGTAACTCTAACTCGCTTAGTGTGCGCACATGCAGATAAATGAATCCCTGCACCACGCACAGAACAAGGCCATGGTTCAAGGCTCAATCTTCGTGTGTCTGCTATAGCTATAGCTATGGCGACTGCGTCGACCGGGTTCCAGGTTCCGCAAGGTGTCCAGGACCAGGGCGTGGTGCTGTATGTACAGTATGCTTGCGACACGTGTGAGAACTCTCCAACTGACTTGGATATGGATCTAGGGGTTGTTTAGGTATGTTCCTGGAAAGATAGTGCGTTACTTTGTCTTGCTCCATGTGTCGAGAATATCAGTATCGGACATTTGTGCTTGCGAGTACGCCTACAGTATAACTGTATGTACTGTATATATGTACGTATATTCATCACTGATTGAATAGTTATTGACAATATAATTTCCTATCACACCACATGGCTAGCTAATAATCCATGACCCTTCTTCGTATAACTGACTGACTGACTCCAAGGCTTATCAAGCAGCAGCATCATAATCACCACCGCGGCACCGCCACCCCTGCAACCACAAACCACATACATACAGTACCGAATAAACAAGATCCATCACCATTGGACCCAACGCATTTACCTACATACTAACGTCTTGTACTGTACATGCATACATTAGTGCACTCACCCCTCATCAAACAGCTTCTACAGCAAATCCTAGCAACAATACTGCAGACTACAGAGTATTACCCGTATTACTTACGTAGCTAACACCGGGGAAGCGGGATGGCTTGCCTAGTAAGTAAGTAGTTAAGTAGTTAAGTAGTAGGCATGCTGCATCGCATCCATTCGTTCGTTAATACTCATTATTCAGTTTCTTCTTTTCTTCTTTTTTCGCTTATGGCGAATGATTAAATTAATTGCTCAGTCAGCCTACCTACCTGCTGATGGATGTACTGTTCTTGCTTTATGTTGTGTAACCACCGCCACCCACGGTCAGCTCAGCAAGTTGTGACTGTGACTGTGACTGGCACTGTTTGAGAGAGCTATTTTCTTTTTTTTTCTTTCAAAAGAAAGAAGAAAAGGCCCCATCGTTTTATTCGATTATTAATTGACTGATTACTATTGGATGCATACATACATACTCTATTAAACAGTGGAATGTATGACTCTTCTCTTCTCCACTCCACTCATTTGCAGAGTCCTCAGCTGAGAAAGTGAGAGTGAGAGTGAGAGAGTGATTGGCCGCCTCGTTGAGTGAGTTTTTCAGCCTCGTACTCCGTCTGACTGACTGACTGGCTGGCTGACTGCATATTAGCCCCTAAAGCTGAAGAGAAGAGAAGAGAAAAAAGTTCCTCCTCTTCTTTCTTTTTTCTTCTCTGATTAATAATTGGCTCTTCTTGCTCTAGCCCTGAGCTGAGTACTAAATAATAATTTCCATACATCTACTGCATATAATATACAGAGTTTGGGAAATATTCCGAGATAATTAATTAACAGTAAATAAATATAGTTCTCGGGGGGGTTTTTTTTTATCGAGGATTGAAATTATGTTTTTTCTTTTGTTTCCCCCCTTCTTTCTAAGAGAATGAAGTATGAAATACTTTTTTTTAAACGTTACTTAAGATAAATAAATGTCTGTAGATATATATTACCCCGTACATACACACTACATAAGTATATATGTATGTACATAGTCACTAAATGAATATTTTAACAATATATCAATACCTACCAAGTGGAACAGACATGAAGAATGATACACCCTGATTATCATCATTAACACTGATAGGTCGAAGCAACTATACAGAGTAGAGAATGCATCACACCCTAACATCAAGCACAACACACTATTGGCGTATGTATGTACTCCGTATAATATACATCTGACTGACCTCTGTGGAACAGTAATCCTCACATGTGAGTGAGTGAGAACCCGTCACTGTGACTGTGACGGAAGATCTCCGGGCTGGACTGCGGCCTGCCTGACTCGTGGGATCCCCTCCAAGGCCATGTGGCTGACTCGCAGGGCGCGCGTCGCAGACGCAGAATTCATGGAATTGCCTTGGATTTGGTCATGCCATCCCAGTCCAGTCCAGCACTGTAGTGGACCAGTGATTACTGTATTTATTTACCCAGTATTAGAACAGATTTACTGTAAACGAACTTGCTTTCTTTCTTGATTGATTATTGCCATTTTGCATTTGCAGAAGAACTCACAATAATTATTATTAATTCTACCGAACTCTTTTTTTGTTTTCGATCGATCGATCGATCCCGACCGACCGAGTCTGGGCCGGACACAGATTTACCTAAAGCTACGCGACGTATCACAAAAGTCTCCCTGATTCTGCAAGTTACATTAATTAATTAATTGATTGATTGCATTAGATTAGATTACTTAACCGTTTTTATTTACTTCGTAACTACTCTGTATGGATCAATCAATCAATGAGAATCCTTCCAAGGTTCCGAGCTTTTCCTCCCAATCAATCGTCAATCAATCAATACGGAGTATTAATGAATGAATGCACTTTGCAATGTGAAGGAAAATTTGTTTTTTTTTTTGTCTAGAGGGTAGAAAAAGCAAAGCAAGTCATCTTTGCTGCTGTTTTGGGAATAGTTGCTGGACTATAGGAAAAAGAAAAGAGAGCCCTAACGTTGACCAATATGTACGGAGTACTCTAGGTAGATAGCTGTTATTCTTCTGTTGCTGCGTTGTGCAAGCCTGGCTGGCTGGCTGAGGATCCATTGGCTGACGACATGGCTCTTCTGATTACCTTAGGTAGGGCTCGGAATGCTCTGTCCATCCACATCCATGACTGTATGCACAGGATTTAATTACCCGAAAGCGCGTTGCGTACGAAGAAGTACTCCGTACGCCGTCCTCCGTCCTCCGTACCTAGCTAGAATCTCGCTACGGAAGCTGCCGACACGAGCAGATAGATATCTACCTCGGTATAAAGTATAAACGGATCGCCTAGATTCTATCCGGAGTTTGCTATCCGCGAATCTGGCGATCAGACCGGCAAAGCGTGGATCGCCAGCGAAAAAACAAAAAAAAAAGCAAGCTCAACGGCTGTCGCACTGCACCGTCTTTGGCGTTCCGGGGATCCCCTAGAGTCTAGAGAGCTAAGGTAATTAGCTACTCCAGCCGTCAGTGGGCTTGGGCGTGGGCTTGGACAAGGCCATCGGTTGGCATGTGCTCGACCCAACGCCGGAAAGCCACGAGATGGGAGCGAACGAACGAACGAATGAACGGACGAACGAAATAATAAACTCAACAAGAAGAAAAAAAAAACCCCAATTTTTGAAGTCTTCTTCTGCGGGCCGTCGGGGAATGTTCTTTATCGAGACAAGATCCGCCTCGTGAGATGAAATCAAGTCAATTGTAGAGAAGGAAATTGCATAGCATAGCATTGCACTGCATTGCATCAAGCGATACTAGACCATACTCCGACGACGGAGGCAGGTCTACGCAGTCTGGCCAGAGGCGATCGTCACCCGGGGGTGGGCCGCAAGAGTTCGCTCGCCGTGCCCAACAGGCCCTTATTTGATCCAACAGGGATTCGATTCAACCTTTTCCGAGCGCCCAGCCGGAGTCGCGCAGGAACAAGGTGACGGAAAGTCCAGGGTTTTGTTGATCCTCTCAGGGGTGGGCTCGGAACGGCTGCCGCATGATCCATCTTGCTGTCAGACAGTCAGCCAGGTTGATGTTGCCGTGCTTCAACTGCAGAATCAATCTAATAGTATGTACAGTACATACGATAATTGGATGACGACTCTGCCAACTGTAAACACTGTCAACTGTCAGAAAAGCACTCTCGAGTGGATGCTCTGCTCGTCGAATGATACAGTACCTGTCCGTAGACGCGGTGGGGCAGATCGATGATTATTAGCCCACGGCGGTACACGGGGAGCGCGGAACAGTAGCCCTCAGGCAGCCGCCAGCCAATGGTGACGGTTCCCCGGGGTTGCATGTACGCAGCCACGGACCGCGGGCCAATGGGGCGGCGGGATGAAGTAACCTCCGGCCGGACCAGGCAGGAGGCACTCCGGAAGGGACCCGCCAGTCCACTCGCCGGGAGGGTTGCCGCAGCCGGAAATTGGCCCCTCCACCCCCCGTCAGGTGGATCCGGCTGGATGAAATTCCGGAGGCGCAAAGGGCTAGCCCCCTTCGGGCAGCTCCCCTCGGGCTGCAGCCTGCAGGGCTTCTGTCTGGTCCCGTCGGAGCACCGGATCGTGGCATGTTCTCGGTCGGGTACGCGCATTGTGCACATTCAGCGCAATCGATATTGTTACTTGATGATGATGATCGTATAAGCATTACAAATGCAGGCAGTCGCGACGATCTCTGCTGCCGAAATCAATTAATTGATGAATGGATAATAATGGTCCTGTTATGTTACCTTCGATTACTGTCCGCTGCGGCGCAGCAGTCTCTTTCTTCTGTGTTTGGCCATTCACAATTCTTATTGAATGCAACGGCTCCAGCCCGGGCTAAGCTCCTTGGGGCCGTTGGCTGGCGGATGCCTGGCAGCCTGGCAGCCTGCACCGTCCTAGTGGCCGCTCGCCATGTCGCTTCCAGCTCGGTCGTCGACCGCCCCCGCTGATTGGGCTGAGCGCGTCACCTGGGCTGGTGCGGGGCTGAGCATCCTCGCTCTCTCTTTTTCCCTTTTTCTGCTCTTCTGGCTAATTGCGGCCAGAACGAGCTCGATGGCGATCGATCAGCCGCTCAGCGTTCTCGCGGATGGGCTGGGGTTACACAGAGGGGACGAGCTGGCCGAGATGGGCGCCGTTAGACTGTTTCGAGTTTATTTTCCAATCTGCCCGGGGGCTTCGGGAGGTGGGCTTGTCCTGTGGGCGCTGTCCACTGGCGTTCAGGGGCCCTTTGACCGGAATGGAGCGAGCCTGAGGGACGTTCTGGAGTCTGGCCATCTGCGCAGGCTGTTGGGCTCAATCTGGGCAATAAGATGGAATGAATCACTCTCAATTAATGCCCTGAGCTGGGAAAATCTCGGGCGGCCAAGTGGAGGCGCCATGGCGGGCCAGGGCGTGCCCTTAACGCACGTTCGGGGCTCGTGGGGCGCCCATGAAACCAAGGCTGACAGCAGCAGCAGCCAGATCGCCTGTCCGGGCTGGTTTACTTTAGATAGCTGCTCCCCTACCGAGGCCTTCCATTCGCGGCCAGCTGGCCTTTGTAGGTTCGCCGCCGGAGGGCCACGGCAACCTAAGGTAGCTCACGATGGATGATCTGAGAAGGGAAACATTGCTCATGTCGTATTGTCAACTGTTGGTTTGTTTCAGAGGTGGGTTCGCGATCGCAACAGCCACTACAATACTGGCCGAACTCGTCAGACCTAAAGGCTACCAGGCTCCTCAATTCCCAAAAGATGGTGAACGAGCTGATGATGCCAGTGGCGCGCCAGGCGTCCAACATGCAGCTGTTTTTCAACCTCGAGCAGGCTGAACAGCATGTCCTCAATTCTTGGTTCTTTCGATAAGAGTCCCCTCCGCGACGGTTCGAGCCGGTTTCTGAAGGGAATTGACGACGATTCTCGATGTATAGACGCATCGTTTTATGGTGCATGCATGACAGACAACGAAAACGAAGGCAATCTGTCTTCTATAGGCTGGTGAGGAAGACCCTGAGCAAGGGGGACAGGGTCAATCAATGCACCTTGTTCAAACCCATGCCCTGTGCATGGCCGGCAGCGGCAGATGTGATGGATTCTTCGTCAGACGCCACATCCATCAGATCGAGCCGGCACAATGCCTAGGTACGGAGTCCTCGGTACTCCATATTCCCATAAGGGACTTGGCATCACATCTCGCATAATAGTAACAAGATGGTAGCGACAGACGAACCGCCTCAACGTGACCTGTGCGTCCGCCGTCCTGCCTAACACAGTTGGTACCGTGCCCTCTAAGCTCAAAGGAGAATTGCTCCGGAACCCACTGCAGTACGTCAACCTCCTCCGTCCACTGTCAATAATCCTCCGCGAAAACGAGCACGAGATCAGGCTTCGGAAGATCATCGCCACAAGTGTTCGAGGGCCCTTTTTCTTTTCTTTTTCTTTAACCCTAATGGACCAAACCACAAACCCCCCCCCCTCCCCCCCTCCCATCCAGCGCAGAAACGGCCCGCTGTCAACAACGTTTTTCGGTTCCCTGGTTTGTAAGCAGCTCTGTCGAATAGCGTCAAGCGTGGGATTCTATTAATACTATTTACTGATTGCTTTGCTTCCTGCTTTGTTCTCCGGCTAGCTTATCAGGTTAGCCCGTAGGCCATTCCCTCCTTTGTTTATACCTGGGTCGCTTATTGCTCCTGTATTGCGATCCTGATTATTATCGTCGTATCGACTCATCCGAGCTGGTCCGTCTTCGGTTCCAGCTGGCCCTCTTCTCTTTGCCGTTCTGTTCTTTTTTTGCGAGCGTCTCGACTCTTGTCCACGGCCAGGGGGTGGGCTCCTTTTCCACGCACCGTCTGCTGCACGCCTGCTGCACATCATCTCTATCTGGCGTCTAATAGCAATAGTCAGTTATTTCCAGCTCAGCTTCTTCCAATCTCGGCTCTTGCCTGCGCGTTGGCACCTGCTGCTGCCAGCCTCGACTGCTCTCTCTTGTTCTCCCCCGTGCTGCATCCTGCATCTGGCCATCCATCAACCATCCCATACAGTATTATTATTTATTATTATCTTCGGACACTACTCGTGCCGCTAAATTTACCACTCGCCAACCCCTCGTATCCCCACCCTTCTGTAACTACTGCTGCAGTCCTCCGGACTGCTGCTGCTACCTCCTGCTGCGACTGCTGTTGCTAATCAGCGCGTGTCTTTTTTCTCGCCGTTGTTACTGCACCCCGGTCGTCCTCGGTTTTCCCCCCCCCCCCCCCCCTCGTGTCGCTCGTTCGTGCTCTTCGCCCACCATTCCGCATCTGGACGGTGCTGGGCTCTCCCGAACTGGCTGTCTGCCTTTTTTTTTTTGGCTGTCCGTCCAACTAATAACTACCCTGGACCATCCACCTTGGACAATGAAGTTGGCACTGGCATCGATCCGTCCTGACTTCACGCCCTAAAACCGCCTTTTCCCCCCTCCCCCCTCTCCCCGAGGTGCCACCCCCATGCCTGGCTCCCGCCCGTCTCACCCTATCGGTTGTGGAAGCCTCCTGGTCTGGCCAGTGCTACTGCCGGTGCTTGCTGCTCCTCGCTACCCGGACGCCAGCCCAAAGCTACCGATTGATGCCGCTTCTGGACTATCAACGCATTCTGCAGCTCTGATCGCATCGCGGTACCAGCAGGCACGCAACTTCTTCACATTGCCCATTGTCATTCGAGGGAAGTGCCCTTCAGGACCATCGCGGTCCAGCCATGACCACCATGGTCCAAACCGACCTTGGGCCTCCTCCTCCTGCATCAAAGTACAAGGCCGATGCGACTGACGATCCGGTGAGTGATGCGCTTTTCGTTTGTTCTCTTGTCTTGTCTTTTCTTGTCTTGTCTTGTCTAGACCCTGCAGTCGTTCAGTCTGTCCGCCTCTGCAGACCCGGCGAGCAACAACAATAAAGACCCCGACTGACTCGCTCGACGCACATGTAATTCCTTGTCCTGCCCTTGTTGTCCTTGCTGTTTGCACGTTTCCTTGCCTGTGCTGTTCCTGTCAGAACCCCGTCTGCCGGTTTGCCTTTCAATGTGGCTGAGCCGTTCATCTGTGGCCATCCGTTGTTGGGCGCGCGTGACTCGCGTTGATCCTGCTCTACCCTTGCCACCGCTTTCGCAAACGGCTTGAACGAAACAATCCTGTCGAGCTGATTGCGATTCCGACCTGCCAAGTCCCCATTGACCCATTACCTTCTCTTGACCTCTTGTCTCGCTCCCTGGGCGGCTCCAAGGATCGTTCTGTATCTTCAATCTATATCTGTGGATACCCGATCCTGTTGTGTTGGAGAGCATTTCCCAGCTCCACCCCACAGTTGCTGTGTCCGTGTGAATTTGTTGTCAGTATGCCCCTCATGAGTGTTGGTTGTTCGGTGACTTCCCTGTCAATAAAGACGTCGGTGGGCCAGGAGCCAGGAAGCCGGTCGTCATACAGTCCTCGAAAGCAACATCGTTCTCTGTGCGAAGCAGTCTCCCTTCGACGTGGCCGTCAACGATCCATCATTGCGGTGTTAAGAGTCCAATTGCAGTCGCATTGGCTTAATTGATGGGTTCATGGGCCGAAAAGCGTCGCATGGCACAGATGAACCGGTTGCCCCTGCTTCAACATAACAGACTTCATTCCCCAGATAGTCGTGTACATTCACCATCGCTTTCCATGAACCCCCTGCAAAAGTTGCTGCTTTCTGTGGATTCCACGTCCATACTCCTCAATCGCAGAGCCGCACGTCGAGGAATATCCAGAAATCTCACCTCATAATTTCCCCTTCGCCTCGTTCTGTGCACTTGCACCTCCCTATTCTCCTCAAAATCCCTGAGTGATTGCCATTGTGACTGGAACACGAGGGTCTCGGATTCTGGGTCAATGGAGAATAAACTGTCGCTTTCACACTCGTGCATCATGATCTCAGGGCAAGCAGGATGCAAACGAGTCGTTGAACAGTCGTCGCATTTTGTTTCTTTGAAATTTGGCAGTTTGCGAAGAGTGATTCACTGACAAATCTGCATTCTGCAGCTCCGCCACGTCAACGCTGGGAACCATAGTCAACAGCAATCTCACAGCCTGCAGCAACATCCTAGGCCGGCCTCTATTGTCCAGCAGCAAAAGCAACAGCCAAGTTCTCCTCATCAATCAAACACGCCCGTTCCTTCCGGTACCTACACGGCACCGCACGCCCTAAACGGCGTTTCCCTGACACAACACCCCCAGTACGGACCGCCGACCCAAGACCCGGGTTATTACGCGTCGCATCCCAATCCGTACCCTGCAACAAGTACTGCTGATCAATACCCTTCCAGTGGTAAGTTTCCGATTGATTCTTTCAACTCTCCGGTCTTTTCTGGGCGTAGCGGCAGTGAGAAGATGGGACGAGATGGGATCAAAAAAAAAAAGTATGGAAATGGAAAACAAGTGTAACGGCGCTCAATTGCGCGTTGGACGTGGGAGACATTAGTGCTCGGGGTTTTGTCTAATGCAGATTTTCTTCTACGCCAGCGCGGCTGAGACTGACGCGAAATAGGACCTCCGGATCTTATGGCAGCAACCGCGCAGATGCAGAGGCCATATCCTCCAATCTATCACACCCCTCAGTCCAACTCCCCGGCTTCAGTAGCCTCCCCACAACCGCATGATCAACATGGACGCAGTATCTATGCGCAGTCGCCTCAGATGACGTCGCAGATGTTCGGGTACCAGCCGTATTCCTCGATGAACCCGGTCCACCCTTCCCCGTACACGCCACATCCGCCAACACCGCAGCATCCTCTCACAACGCAGCCTCTGTTGATGCCTCCTCAGACAAATGCCGCACCAATCCAGCATCCACATCAGCAGTCGCATGCGCCTGCGATGACTGGCAGTCCGCGATCCAAAGTGGAACCGATCCCGCAGCAGCGCCCGCCGGCTCCGAGGCCAGCCCTGACTCCTCACACGGCTCCCTCAATGTCGTCAAGTACTACGCAAACGAGTCAGCCACCAACCACGAGCGCGAATGCTGCCCCTGGGCCGATTCCCGCAACGACGCCGCTGGTGGTCCGTCAAGATAGCAACGGAGTTCAGTGGATTGCCTTTGAATATTCCCGAGACCGTGTCAAGATGGAATACACGATCCGCTGTGACGTTGAGTCCGTGAACGTGGACGAGCTTTCGCAGGAGTTTAAGACGGAGAACTGCGTCTATCCCCGAGCTTGTTGCAGCAAGGAACAGTACCGGGGAAATCGACTGGTCTACGAGACTGAATGTAACGCTGTGGGTTGGGCGCTTGCCCAACTGAATCCGCCTCTGCGAGGCAAGAGGGGACTGATCCAGCGAGCTGTTGACAGCTGGCGAAACAGTAACCAAGATCCTCGACTTCGCAGTCGGCGTGTCAGGCGGATGGCCAAAATGAACCGACGAGCAGCAGTCCAGGCTTCCCAGCAGAATCATCTACCAGGCCCGACAGCTGCTGTGCATCATGGGCTTACAGCAAGTACCGCAGGGTTGACAGCACCCAGTGTTCGCCCTGCTCTCCCTCTAGGCGGCCCGCCACTCCACCACCATCACCATTCCCAACCTGATGGGAATACAGGGAATGAAGAAGTCAGCGGTATGTTTCGTCGGTTTTAATGCGTTCCTTCTCCTGAGCAATTATCCTTGTGCTATTTCCGCTGGAGGAAACGGTGTTTGAGATGAGTGGGAGTGTGTAACGATCGGAGGAGTATTGTTTGTTTGCTCTGGTTGGACAGGATATAGGTCTATTCACTTTGGGGACTATTTTTGTTTTGTTTTCCTCACTCTTTTTCCCTTTCCTCCCTCGATTCTCTTCTTGGTTGACGGGTGAATTTTTTTTCTCCCCCCCCGTATCATTTCATGTGCTATCTGCCTTCTGCTCCACATGCGTAGGCTAATTTTCAACTCAACATAGGTGGCACTGACTATACAAACGGTGCTCACCGTTCTTCTGTCGTTGCCACTGGGCCACCGTCGACGATGCATGGGACGCCCGATCTCCGTACCGGACAAGTTTTCCACGGTCTTCCAGTATATCCACCGCCTGCTAGCGCTTCAGGGGCACCGGGGGGTCCGTCGATCCCCCCATCGCTTCAGGGAAGCGGGTTTGATACCCTTGGTCGGCATTCTACTGTTGCGACATCGTCTAAACAAGATGGACGTGATATATATGAAGAGGATGCCGGTACACGCGATCCAGATAATAATGCTCTGTTCGGAGGCCTCCCTGAGGGAAAACGTCGCAAGTTCATTCTTGTCGACGATCCACAACGCGGATGTCGCGTCCGGGTTAAAGTCATGTTGGATCAGGTCGACATGAATGAGATCCCCGACTCGTACCGATTGTCCAACGCGGTTTATCCTCGAGCATATTTCCCCGTGCAGATGAAGAGCCCTCCCGGGCGCGTGGTTCCGGGAAAGCGATATTTTGAGGACGAGAGCGACGGTGAGGATGACGATGCTGCGACAGTTGGCAGAACCTTGGTCCCAGCGCCGTCGATTGATGGTGAAGCCGACACTGCCGTGCCAAAGTTGTCAAGGAGCAGACATCAAAAGGAAAGGATCCTGAATGATCTCGGTTATCGGATGAGTTGGAGTCAAAGTCGAGTTTTTGCAGGGAGGACCTTGTTCTTGCAGCGGTCTCGTGCGTTTTTCACCCTTGCGTTCCCCACTGCCACAAGCTAGCTAACAATTGGGAAAACAGTGGACGCGTACCGCAATAAGATGCGTAGCACGATGCTGACCACGGGCCAAGACCCCTCGTCGATAGCTCCACATTTCGAAACCCGACGAGGAAAACGCAAGTGGCTCGAGCGGGGAAGGCGAAACAATGCTGCATCCGGGGCAGGTTCCGAGTCTGGGACTGCAGCGGTGACGGCGTCGGCATCCCAGCGGAGCGCAGAGGAGGTCGAGGGCTAGTCGGGATTCTTTCGTTTCGAATCTGATGTCAACGATAGTAATGCGGCGCTTGTACGATTACAACTAGACGGGGGCTCCACCTGACGTTCTCATTGACCTGGGAACGACAACAAACGAAATCTTCGTCTTTGGATATCTGGACGGAATGGTGGAATTTTTTTTTCAGAAAAGCAGTTCTGATCCGCATGATTGTCCTGTGTGAGACAATTATGTGGTTACGCTGGACTTTTTTCTTCCCCATTTTTTTTCTTGGTTTTATACAGCACTCTTCTTTCTGTTCGACTGTCCTTACCGACCTATGGTCCCTTTGTGACTATTACATTTTTTTTCTTCCCTTTCTGCTGTAGCATACTGTCCCTATCGATTTATATACCCCTGTTTTCTTTTTCTTTTTCTTTTTTTTCTATATTCTTGTGTTGTCTACGGATCATGTTGGATACGGGATGCTCTCTGTGCGGCTTGGTTTCTTGCGCTGTTGGGAAAACGGGACCCGATGGATGATTTTGACTAATGGCTGGTTGGTTGGGTGGAAGGGAATTTGACTGCAAGGTATATTTATTGGGGAAATATCCCCTTTTCGCGTGTCTGAAACAAAGCAAAACAAGACAAAACAAAAGAGAAGGGATATGAAAGGGTTTGGTTATGGATACGGACGGATAGGATATATGGGAATTTTTCCTTGATTTATTTATTATTTTTTCCCCCCCCTTTTCATACCGTCGCTCGTTTTGTCTCTCTCTTTGTCTCTCTTTTCTAAGATCTCACTCCGATGGAATGGATGGATGTGTGATACGTCTGATGTGGAATGGATACGGAAATGGATATGATATGGGCTAGCTAGGCTAGGCTGGCTATGCTGGCTAGTCTATCTGGACCTGGCGGCAGGAAATTCTGTCATATTCTATTGTTATTATTGTCAACAAAAAAAAGACAAGAACAAAAAAAGAAGCGTATGTGATATATGTGTATTTACCTGGGTATACTGTATGCCAGTAACTTGCAAGGGAGAAAAGAAGATTTATTTTAAATCTTAGGATTATGGACCTGGATTAGGATACGCTTTCTTTTTCTTTTTTTTTTCTATGATGTACATACTGTACTTTCGAGGCGTCCTTGGTGAACTCTTAAAAATAATTGAAGATAATAAATACAATTTACTTCACCTGGTTCGATTTTGATCCAGAATGCCCGGCCTTGAGAAACCTATATAGGCCTCTGCGAGCCGACCGAGGTTTTTCTTTTGGAGCAGTGTTTGACAGGTAAGATTCTGCCACCAGACATGCTCACCGCCTAGGACACCGCCTTTGATTGGTAGCAAATCATCTTTATTTTACCCCACCTGTCAAATATTGGAACTCTGTACGGAGTACTTGCTGTCTCCCACAAGGCCACAGCATTTTGTGGAAATATGTATGTACAAGAATCCTTGCACAGGAAAGAAAAGATGAGTGGAAAAGAAGCAGAAGCATGCAAGGTCAGAAGATACCTACGTAGGTACCTAAGATAAACAACGAGTCCATCTCAAGCAGCGCTAAACCCGACAGGGCAGGTGCACCAGGTACCGTGACCTAAGTTCTAACCCGTGGAGTACGGAGTACCTGGGCTGTCTACTACTGTTATCGATAGATCTGCAATCCGTTGGCCGAAGCGGCGAGCCATGATTCTCCACCACTGCCAAAAATAGCTCGCCAGTTGCGCGAGCCTCCGGATAGCAGGAACAGAGAATGCGAGACAAGCCAGTAGTTGCGTATATTTTTTTTAAAAGAAAAAAAATAAAAAGATAAGAGGGAGAGAGAGAAAAGAGGTATATCCGACTTATACTGTCTACCAATATATGTATGTACAGTACTGTTCGACAACTTTAAAGAGTCTAGACAGAAGGAGGATCTTCGATTATATTATATGTATTTACTCACTGGGTTATAGAGGAATGAATGGAACTGTCTACGGGAGTGGTTCTCATTATTATGATCCTCGTCTCTCAGATGCTAGAAGGTCGCTAAAAGCAAGAACCAAGGTACGGTCGGTCTGGCACATGAGCCCACGTGATGCGAATCTCGCTGCCCGCCTCGATAAAGCTTAACTACTGAGTGAAGCTCTAGAGGTGATCCAGAGGAAGAGTAGGTTATTTTCTGGAGCAGCTATATTCCTGTATATGAGGACAAGATACTGTATAATTTGATTTAAAATTATGAACACTATGGGCTGATCTGTAGATATAAAATTTTTCCGTATTTTGATTTAGTTTGCTTAATTATTTTGAAAATGATTATTGGACAGTAGGAGCTTGTTTTTTGTAAAACAATAGTATTAACAGTGGATCTTCATTTTATACAGTCAAATATTATGGACAAGTCCTGACCCAGTTGTCTGGGCCAGCCACAGCCACTGGCCCAGTTTGGCACCCGCAACCGTGGGCCAGAACAAGCACGGCGTTTTGGCAGTGTTCTCGCCCCTTCCACCGTGTCTACGGTCTTTTTCTACGGTATCCCTTCTCTGGTTATTTTTTGCTCATTGCAACTGCGTGGATTCGACCTCGGGGGCAACCGAATGAGAGAATTACCCCGCGCCAGGCTAGCCGTTCCTAGGTTGTTGCTGCTGTCTCACTCGGGTGTGTCAGCCTGCCCGCTTGTTTCTGTTTCTAACCAACATCCGCCGATCGATCGACCCGGCAACCCTCACCTCCCCTCTTGGCTGTTTCCTCCACGTCGCTCTTTCCTCACCCTCGCTGTACGTCTTGTTTCTGTGTGCACTTCCGACATCAGCCTCGCTCTTTTCTTTTCTTTTCTTTTCTCTTCCTGGCGAAGGGGATATCCGACGGCTTCATAGGACCCTCCCTTGATTCCCGTCTCGCAGCATTCCTGGGCCCAGTGCGCACTCCCCACGCCACGCACGTCACCAAATATTCCTTGAAAAGTAAATAAATACGTCGGGAGATTACGCGGCAGCCGCTGTCTCCCCCAGGCATGTCTGTCGGGAGAGATGATCAGAGACAGCAGGCCTGGGGTTCGCCAGGTGATGTCTCCCCCATCGACTCGTCCCAATCGCAGCGCCTCAGTCAACTCTCCCCCGTGTCAGCGAATGACTCGGAAGTCCGCCATTTCCACCCGACTTCTCACCCGGACAGTGACTATGACCGCTTGAGAAGCCAACGGTTTTCAGTGACGGCCAGCGACGAAATCCCGCCTGTCCCTCCGCCGCATGCCGAGCAATCAGCTCCGAATCTGGCTCACTCCAACTCGATCCGGTCCAACGACACTGTCACCCCCGGTGTTGACAATCTCGGACCTTCTGCCGCCGGTGGAGGGATCGGTGGCATCGCTCTGGGCGTCGCCAATCGCAACGACCGCGAGAGCGAACTGGAGGCCATGAGGAGCATCGACGAAGGGGACACCGACCGGTTTTCCGGCTCTCCCGAGCGAGGCCTCAACGCCCCAGCGGATGGCGTGCGAGCCCGCGACTCCTACAATTCGAGTACTGCCCTGGGACCTGCGGCCGCCGCGGCGGGACAAGCGACGCCAGCGCAGAGGACGCCCAATCTGCTGCCCTCCAATCCCTCCCAGCAGAGTCTGGGAGATCAATTTCCTCATCATGGTTATTACTCTGGTGGCGGCCTGTATGATGGGCCGTACCAGGGCTATGGCTCGCGAACGGACCCCGGATCGATCAATCCGGATGAGATCGCCGACGACGGCGACGATGGCTTTGTGCCTGCTCCCCGGAGATCGGCGCTGAGTCTGGGCAAGAAATCCGGCAGTGACACTGGTTCTGCGGCCGCAGGAGGCGCTGCGGCTGGCGGTGTGCTGGGAGCCATCGGCGGCATCTTTAATCGGCACGGTAACAAGGCCGGTGCAGCGTCCGGTCCTTCTTACGATCCCGTTCCGGGATCAGGGCTAGAATCCTCCAGGGCAGAGAAGGACGCGTTGCTGCTTCATGAAGCTCGAAAGAGGCGGAAGAGATGGTTTTTGACCATGCTGATCGGGTTTGCCATCATTGCGGTCATCGTTGGGGCGATCGTAGGCGGAATCTTGGGCAGTCGGAGAGACAGCGGCGAAGGCTCCGAGTCCGCCAACACCAGCACCGCTTCGGAGGACGAGAATTCCAATGGTGATCTGAGCAAGGATTCTCCCGAAATCAAGGCGCTGATGAATAATCCGAATCTGCACCGGGTCTTTCCCGGGATGGACTACACGCCGTGGGGGGTCCAATATCCGTTGTGTCTCCAGTACCCTCCCGATCAGAACAATGTCACCCGGGACATGGCCGTGCTCTCCCAGCTGACCAACACCGTGCGGCTCTACGGCACTGACTGCAATCAGACGGAGATGGTGCTGCATGCCATTGACCGCTTGGGGCTGACCGACATGAAGGTGTGGCTCGGAGTGTGGATCGACACCAACACGACGACCAACGATCGGCAGTTGCAACAGCTGTACAAGGTGATCGATGAGACAAAGGACAAGTCCATCTTCCAGGGGGCGATCATCGGCAACGAAGCGCTGTACCGGGCGGGCCCCGACATCCAGACGGCCGAGAAGAACCTGATCGCGTATATGGAGAGCGTCCGGAGCAACTTCACACAAAGGAACTGGAACATCCCCGTGGCGACGTCGGATCTAGGTGACAATTGGAATTCTGAGCTGGTCCAGGCGTCTGATTTCGTCATGGCCAACGTCCACCCTTTCTTTGGCGGGGTTCCGGTCGACCAGGCTGCCAGTTGGACGTGGTCCTTTTTCCAGGAGCACGACGTATCGCTGACCAAGGGGACCAACAAGAAGTCGATCATCTCCGAAGTGGGCTGGCCGAGCGGTGGGGGGAATGATTGCGGCAGCAATCAGAATTGCCCGAACAGCCAGGCCGGATCGGTGGCAGGAATCGACCAGATGAACAAGTTCATGTCGGACTGGGTGTGCCAGGCTCTGAGCAATGGCACTAAATATTTTTGGTACGTTTTGCTGGAAATCATGCTAGTTGAAGTGATAACTAACGTCAGGATTGTAGGTTTGAGGCATTTGATGAGCCGTGGAAGGTCATCTACAACACTCCTGGGAAGGCCTGGGAAGACAAATGGGGGCTGATGGATGCTGGGCGCAACCTCAAGCCGGGGTTGAAGATACCCGACTGCAACGGGGCGAAAGTGAGCTAATGATGTCATGTCTTTTCTTGTCTCTATGAATGAGGTTGAGTTATGACGATCCATGATTTTGGTCCTTGGGTGTTTACGAGTGTCATGACACTGTCGGGACGGATTGTTTACTTTTAGCGTTGGCTTGTATTCTACCAGCTTCACTGGTTCATGTTGATAGTTGCTACTTGAGTTGCATCCATATGGGGGCTTGGATAATGGTATTGTGTTATTGTGGGTGGACTGACCTGCACTGTATGTTATAACACTATAACGATGTTGATGATGATGTTGCCTGCAACAAGAGTACTAGGATAAGTAGGCACGTGCCATACATGCTGTGGCTTAAATAATTAGGTGCATAAATTTGTAGAGTTCGGGTCTATGACAAGGATAAGGAGGATTCCTGTAACTATTATATTAGCAACTTTGCAGTTAGGTAGGTAGCTATGCCATTTTTTTTCTTGCTGGAACCATTTCTAATCGTAGAATGTAAAATAAATACTACACGAGGGCTTTATATACGCTGATGTTTAGCCTAACTATAGCAGCACTATACTATACTATAACAATATCAAACTCTTTTACCTCACTCTAAACCGAACCCTATAGAAGCTGGACTCTATACATATTCTATTCAGCTACAAATACAATGTATTGTAACATCATCCGGTGACTGTGTATATAGTGCCAGCGCCAGCGCCAGCAACAGCACAACACAACACAACACAGCAAGTCTGCTGATGCGATGATCAACGTCTATTCAACCTCTCGTTCCTCCCAGTACAGTCGCATATTCCAAAAAGCGTGAACATTCGGCTCAAACTGCGGCAGCTGGAGAGACCTCCGGGTCCGGATGAAGGTGGCCAAGACGTCTTGTTCTTCTTCTTCGTCATCGTTATCGGGGTTGTTATTATTATTATGGTCATTATCCGAAGAGACGGCACTTTCCAACGGCCCGCCAAAGACGAGCCCCGGCGACGACGGTAATAGCTGCTCGAGATGCGACCTCTCCGCTCCTGGACAGTACAGAAAGCTATGCTGATTGACTAGGTTGAAGGCGGTGGGGTGTTCCACGACCGTGATCCCCAAGGACTGGAGAAGCTGCTTGTCGAACTCGTTGAAGACGGGGTCTTGAGCGTACACGTTGTTGTTGATGTGAACGCCCATATCTGGCTGGGCTGGATGGAGTCAGAAAAAGAGCACCAAGTAATTAGGGGCAGGAACACAAACCAAGCATATCCAAAACAGACACCAACGCAGCAAGCTGATACAGCGCCACGCTTCGGCGGTCCACCCACCCGCCGCGCACGAAGCCACTCGGACTCCCCAGGCCGATACAGACGACATTCTGCAGGGTCCTGGCGACGGCTCCGACCTGGCTCTGCAGCGCCCGCTGAAGCCGCTTCCAGGTCTGCGAGCTTTTCCATTGCTGGCTGTGCGCTTCGTACTGTCTTTTCAGTTCCGCCAGGGTCAGGCGCGGGGGTGCCTCGGCGGGGAGTAGTTGCAGTTCATCATCATCATCATCATTATCGTTATCATCGCCCTGACTGAAGCCCTTTTTTCCCCCTCTTTTCGAAGAGATCGCTAGATTCCTGCTCGTGATATGCGTCCAGCCACTGGGTTCGGTGATTTCCACGCGCTTACTGCTGTGCGCAGGACCGGGCAGGTTTGTTCTTCTTCTATACTTGCGCGCGGTGTGGGGCATGTTGATTTATTTATGTAATTATTAAGAGATATGAAATCTGCTCTGGAGGAGAGGCATTTTTCATAAGAAAAAGAAAAAAATAATGATGATGATGATGGATTATGAACAGCAGGTTCAATAGCTATTGTTGGCTGGATGTGCCAAAATTATCCAGGATGATTATTTGCCAGGCGGTGAGTGAAAGCCTTGCGGGGAAGGACCAATCGGAGAGTACCAGTAGAATACCTACATCTATACCTACGCTACATACTCGAGCATTGCTCTCTACGCTATGAGAATGACTGCAGTGTCGAGTTTGTGAAGATGGGAAAGATATTTTATAACTCTTTTTCTCTTGCTTTTTTTGTGTTGATCGCTCTGTCGCCTGATGCATTGTGATATGCAGAGGTATTGAGAATGGACCACGTGATTTGTTCTGCTTTTATCACGAAGTAATCGGTGACATATACGAGTCTGGTCATGATGCTATTGCAACAAGTACTCCGTAGCTAGATGCCATAACTAAAACACCTAGCAACAATATAGTGATAGTGACACTCGAAGCGATTGATAGTTGCGAAGGAACACACGTGATCATGCTTCCCCTCCGGATCCACCTTGTCGATTGCCCGATAAGAGAACAACCCCTCCTGCTTGCCTGGATGGGTAGCAATAACAATGCTCCCATATCTAATCTCTAATCTGTACTCTGTACTCCGTCACAGTAGGCATCACAGTGTCAAAGTGTTCCAGTCCGGAAAAACTTGTTATCGAACCACGATCATTTTCAGCAACAGCAACGTCCGTCAGCCCACCTGTCCAGAATGCTTGTTCGCAATGTCACCGTCCGAAGACACTCGCCCAGCCAGAATGCCTCTGTAAGCGCCGACTCCTGACTCGGCGCTGTAGGTTGCATGTCTACGTGCGGGGCGACTGGCAGCTTAGGCCTGCTCTGTTTTCGTGCTAGCTAGGCGCTTGGACGCAACAAATCACATGCCAGAACGGGGATCGGATCACAGCAGTCGAGGTGACGACCTTGCAGATTGCCTTTTTGGCGCCGTCTTCGGTGCGAAGATCTCATCTCCCGTTGGTGGACGGCATGCTCTGCAATCTCGACGTGCGTCCTCGACACATCGTTTATCGAATCGGCTGTGGATATGGTGATCAAGCTACAGCCTGTGGACTTCCTGCTTCTTCTGTCACATCCCAGCCCCAATAATGCTCTTACTCGCCGGCGTCCAGTCCCCGCCGCCAAAGGACCATGCGTGATGCGCAACCAGTGCCTGCTTGCTCCCCTCAAAAAGTCAGCCAAGCCCGCGCGGCATGGAGTCTATCAAAGATGTCTTTGTGAATCCTGCCCGGCCGCCTTTCTCGAATTTTGCCAAGCTATCGTTGATGAGCGTTGTTGAAGTCGATTTAGGAGATAGAGGTGCTCAACCCAAAACTCGAGAGCTGGCGCTCTAGCAACTTCACGCCCGTTTCTTGCCATTCAAGTGTATATTCACACAAAATGCACCTCTCGATATCGAGATGGACGGTTCTGCTAGTGACCGTGCTGTCCTGGCTCGGGTCCGTTGATGCACACACCGTCATCGTCTATCCAGGCTACAGAGGAAATAATCTTCACACGAATGGCACTGTCGAGGAAGCAAATGGCCAGGGACAAGCCTACGTCAACGGTTCCACGATCTACCCCTACGGAATGCAGTGGATGTATCCTTGTATGTTTGATCCCGCAATTCGCTGGCTGGTTGCCTTGCCTGTCACACTAATATATATATATCCACACGCCAGGCGGAGGAATGCCTACGTCGACGAACCGAACCAAGTGGCCGGTGCAAGGAGGAGCGATCGCGGTTCAGCCGGGCTGGTTTCAAGGACACAAGACGGCCTTCTTCTACTTCAACCTGGGTCTGGGTACGGTGCCGCCAAACATGAGCCACCCGATGCTCGCGCCGATTCAGATTATCGGACCGTCGTCGAATCCCTATCCCGGGACATTCTGTCTGCCTCAGGTGCCCTTGCCTGCCAACATCACGGTGAACGTGGGCGATCATGCCACCATCCAGGTGATCGAAACGGCCATTCACGGGGCGGCCCTGTATAATGTAAGTCCTAGCATGAGCATGGTAGGGATTGATTTCAGACTGCTAATTTAATTCTCTGCGATGCTTCAGTGCGTCGACATTGAATTCGCCGAGCCAGAGGACTGCGAAGAGGTCACGCCGGACAACTGCTTCAACTCGTCCGACATCTCCTTCGCGGACGTCTACACCACGGCGTCCTTGTCCGCCGCTCCGGCCCTTCGACCATCCATGCTGACCGGTCTGGCGGCATCCATCCCGCTGCTTCTGATGGGCCTGTTTGGGTTGTTGTAGAGCGATCCGTCTCTTGTACACGTTGAAATATATATATATATACCCTGTCGAGTTCATAATACCCACGACTGTCACTTTCAGTTTTCATGAGCAGGACGTATCCTCCTCCTCTTCTCCTCGACTTTCTGTATTGGCGAGCGAAGTTTGGCGTTGAAACGGATTGGGAAATTTAGCTTCCCTTTTTTTTTTGTTATAATTGATATTGATGGCAAATGGAGGATAGGTCTATCTACCATGTGCGCCGGCGCGCAAAGTTATGATATAACGAGAAATGCGAGAGAGATAGCAGTCAGTAAGTCACTGACAGATGATATCGTTTATAATGGAATGGAATGGGTCCACGGAGTGGAAGTGTGAATCGGCGAAACTGAACTTAGCCCATGGTATCAATTCTAGATGAGTGAATACGCAAAGACAAATCAATTCTAAACGCTTGTACATGTACTTGGTTTTCGACCTTGTTAAGTTCTTTTGACTGCATTTAACTCTATTTGTTTAAACTCTACATTACAAGGTCGAGAACCCCCCTCGACGACCTCCTCCAGTTTATCCTGCGGGATCCAGGCGGATGAGTGCGCACAGAGCGCCAGAGTGACGGTGCCGGCGTGCACAAGCACGAAACGTGGAGAGATCGACGTCGGCGACCCGGCGAAGCGGCGCGTGTCACCCCCAGCCCGTCGTGGTGCGGCCGAAACCGCGCTGATCTGATCGGGGGCGACGCGTCTGCCAGGCGCGAAAGCACCTTGCGTCGCCGTCACGAAAAGGCCAGTAGCAGGACGATGAGGGGGCGGTCGCGTAGCTACATACCTCGAGGATGTGTTTCCGAAAATCAGGCCGCACGAGGAACTTAAAATGACAGGTCGACTTAAGTTGGCGGAGGGAACTCCCGTCTGGGGGCGGATCATGCCGTTTGGACCCAATGATGGGAATGAGAATGAGAATTCAAAAATGTGGCCATTCAAGTCATTGTAACAATAATAATTCCAGCCCTGGATTTTACTACACAATGTAATCAGGTAAGATTATGTCTGTCTATATTTATAAACACTACACTACAGTTATTATTGTCCAGTCTCATGCGAGCAGATGAGTGACTACTATGCTATAACTACTACTGGTGGGGACAATTAATTGATCAGCCTTGTCGATTCGATTAGCCGTGGTGGAGAAAGATTCCGCGATTGATTTACTACTGTATCAGCCCTACGGGTGACACTCCAGCGATGCAAATACTACGCTGCAGCAATGAAATGAGAATGTAACACGAAGTGAAGATAATTTTATTACTGGATAAGGCAATTATGAGAGGAAAAAAAAGCGTACATAGAACAGCCACTAGACGGCATTGTACTTGTATGCACTCCGGAGTAGGATTTGAGAACTACTATACTGTAGAAATGACTAGTTATATTATGCCATTGGAGCCATAACTGCAGGTACCAAAGCCACAGGCTGAGGCAAACGACCAGCGTGCCAGGAATGCAGAACGCGTCGCGGGAATGCGACGGACGGCGGCAGGCGGACAGACCTCGGTAGTCCGTCCTGAGGTACAGTACCGTACATCCAGGTCTGCACTGTACTATGATATAAGTGAGAGTATTAATATCATGATCCGTTTGAGCAGGCGTTAGAGGTATGCGCTGGCGATCACCCAAATTCAGGCCTGGTTGAGTTTGTCCATGACGCAACAAGCCCGGCGGGCCAATTGAGTTGGCTCCTCGGCCTGTCAGTGTCTGTCAGTCCTCCACGCCCATCGCTGCCCAGCCGCAACTCCATCTCTCGTTCCTCTCTGAATCTCGATTCACCACCTTAATCAATCAATCAATCCCTTTCTCTCCTCCTCCCTCGAATCCCCCCTCCTTCCTCTCGTCCCCTCCGTCCCCCGTCTCTCTCTCCCTTCTCGCTGTGCGAGACTCGCTCACTCACTTCTGGCTCGGTCGGCCTCGCCGCTCCGCTCCGTCCGTCCCAGACTTTCCCAACATCTTCTCGCTGCCAGCCGTTTTTCCGCTGTCACGCGCGACCAGCAACCACCTCCGCCATTTCCTGACTTTTCTTCCTGCGACGACATCGACGGGCGCAATTGCTTCTCCCCGCTCAAGAAGCGGGCTTGGTTCCGGGAGGAGGATTCGCATGTGCTCGTGAGCGACCCTCCGTCACCGCTTATAATTGATTAAGCCGCCATGTTCCGTCGCAGGAGCTCTTCTCGCCATCAAGTATGTCGTGCTCCCTTCGCTTCTCAGAGATTCTTGTGATTATGTACCAGGGGAGCACAAAAAGTCATGTTCCCTAGCATCCTGCTTGCGTGCATGGTCACAGTCTGCTATTAGCTGCTAGCTACGGCCTGCTATCTTATCGAGCTGGCTACACATCGCTTTCTCTAATTACTGACGTCGAGCATTCTCACCAGCCCCTCAATACGACCCCGTCCGCGTCCGCTCAGAGCGCTGCCTCCCATGCCTATCTGGCTCACCAAGCGTCCAGCAACAGCCTGTCCTCCGCCGCAGCGGCCGCCGCCCTTCGCAGCCATACTCCCACCCCGACCTCCGTCGAAAATGTCCAGACCAAACGCATGCTGCAGCGGCAGTCGTCCACCTCGTCGCGTGCCAGCACGGGGAGCTTCTCTCGCGGCGGACACCAGCCTGGTCTCCATCGATCCAGCAGCTCCGGTTCCATGACCACGAGGACCTTCCGAGATCAATCCCCTCGCCGGCCCATGTCCAGCTCCGGCGAGTCGTCTGCTCCGCCCGTTCCTCCCCTGCCGCAGGGCTTCCCGCAACGCACCGCTTCTGAGCGACGGTCCTTGAGCGTACAACCGACGATGCGGGCAATGTCGCCGCCGACAAGACGTCCGTCCGCTCGCGGTGGCAGCCTGGATCGAGGGCCCAGCATATACCCAGGTCATCTGTCCCAACGCGGAGCCAGTCCACCGGTCAGGAATTTGGCGGAGCAGGATCGCCCGAGTAGCAGGACGTCGATTAATTTCTCTTACCCAATGCATGCACGGCCGAATTCTCCACGCCAGTCCCCCTCAGTGCCCGACTCTCCGCGCAGCCAGCGAAGCGAGACATCGTTGTCCCACCCGTTGTCTATCCAAGAGGTTGCCGAGCAAAGCGTTGCACCCGGAGCTTTGGAAGGAAGTCATTTGACCAGAAAGACAACCGGAGGCCATCCTACCGGGACAGCCCTGGAACCCGGTTTCAATTTCGACTCACCCACAGAGAAAGTGGAGACGGCGGTGACTCAATTCAACGCGTACAGTCCCTCTTCGGAGATCAGATCCATGCATGGAGAGTCGCATTTTCAGGAAGAACCGTCTCCAGGCTCTCCTAGGGAACAGGACGTCGGACAGAGTCAGGCAGATATTGATGGTGCGTCGGAATACGCTGGTGAGTACGACAACGTCACGCAGCCGTCCACACCGCGGCCGCGACCCAAGAAGCGACCATCCACGGTCATGGAGGACCACGAAGGCGAGGAACGTGCGGGAGCGGCGGATAACACGGGAGACGATACCGGTCGAGGTCTGCCCGATCATGTTGTGCCCACTGTCGCTGTCCCGGAATCTGGAGAAATCCGTTCGGGCCATGCCCCTCTGCGCGAGCCTGTTCGTCTCCTGCCGGCTCCAGTGATGGACAGCAGAAGTGCATCACCAGTGCAACAGTCCCCTTCTTCTCCCTCGTCTCCTTCATCTCCCTCATCTCCCTCCGCGGGTAGGCTATCGGCTGAACGCGGAGGTGAACAACAACGGCTGGGCAGACAGCCATCCATCAGTCCCAATCGGTCGACTCGTTTCTCAACCCAACTGACGGTGACGGGTCCTGGCGCACCATTGCACGAGCCTCCCCCACGATCCGTGTCACCGGCAAAGTCAGCTTTGAAGAATCCGTCGCAGCCGTCCCTATCGCCAGATCGACGTGGTAACACCGCCCTTCGAACAGCACAGGCAGCGGGCGAAATTTCTGACGGGATCTCTGTAGCTTCGGATGACGGATCACGGTCAGGATCGAGGAAGAAGATCGCCAAGGTCAGCTTTGACGATGAGGCTGAGATCGTCGGTGTCGCCGCCAGTCCACCAACCTCTCTTGACTCACCCATCGCACCGCCCAGCCCTTCTGAAAAGAACAAGACGAAGACGCACTGGTTTACCTTTGGCAAGAAGAACTCCGGTTTGAAGGAATTCTGCGACGAGGAGTTTGAATCAGTCCTCAAACCCAGACCAGCGCTTCCGTCCTTTGGCAGTATTCGAGGCAACAGGGAAGTTAGCGAGTTGCCAGCCGCCGAACCTGTCAGTGACAACGAATCGACCGTGTCGTCGTCCTTGGGCAACTTGGACTCTGTGAGGATCCCCGTGTCCAGCGACCACAGTACCGGCGGAATCCTCGCCAATGCTAAGGATGAGAAGCATCCGCGTGCTCATTCGACCCCATTGAATGAACCGCTCCCTCCACAAGTGACTTCGGTTGAGGGGACCGGTCATGAGTCGGACTCGGAAGAGAACCGACCTGTCACCGAGGAGGTCGGAACGCAGCCTCCCCCGACTGCTCAAGAAGAGAAAGCAGCCATTGCCGCTAGATCCATCTTCTCATCTTCCAATGACCCTGAAACTGCGGCTTCAGAATTGACCAAAGAATCTACAGCACAGAAACCTCTTTCAGAGCCCATCCCCGTGATTGAGATTCAACCAGCGACACCGGCGCTTGAGGACAAGCGGGCGAGTCTCGATTTGCAACGGATGCCTGGATGTTTCCCGTCATCTTCTGACCCAGCAGATAATCGGTCTGTAACTAATGAAAGGGAGGCGGTGCAGCCGTCGCGTGGCGGATCTTCCGAGACTCCCCAAACCTCTAACGACACGTCCGGTGAGGCCAGTGACAGCTCAGAGTCCGGAGACAGCATTTACAGCGATGCCGCTGAGGATCCAGCCGAACTGGAAGGTGGCGGCTTCGGTTCAATCAATGCGATTGTGCACAGCCCAATGCCCGTCCAGACTGGACTGCCTATGCAACCTCCCGACAGTCCCGCTCGACTGCATGCCCAGAAGATTGCAGGCGTTGCTGCTGCGGAACCCAGGGTGTCTTCTGCTGCTCAACGTCATCCAGCTGCCGACAAGACGCCAGCAGATTCGGCGCCAGAAATCAGGAAACCAGCGCCCAAACGTGTTGATACCGTTTCCGGAGAACGGGGAGACCTTTCACCCACCGAAAAGACCTCTATAAAAGAACCAGAACTCGGTTTCGATTCTCCTTATCCGCCTTGGCCGCTGAAGCCCAAGTCGCCCTCACCAACACGTATCCCTGCTGATCCGAAAAACATGAGATCTGTGTCCACAGGGCCGCGTGAAGGCTCGCACCTGCGGAGGCCTTTGGAAGGTTCTGAGAATCAAAGGATGAATTCAATGAACAGACACTCCGCGGCAGCATCTCGCGTCTCTTCTGTTCCGCCGAGTCAAAAGCGTACCATGTCTCCCAGTCTCCCTCAAAACAGAAACGCTGCAGCGATGGCTCCAGATCAGAAAGCGCCCCTGCAGTCGGTAGGGTTATCTGGCAGTCTTGGCAGGACGAGGTCCAACGATACTGATTCGTCCAGCAGCTTTAAGCGTTCTCAACGTGTCTCCCCATCCGACAGTCAGGTCACGATGAAACGAACTCTGCGGGGAGGGGAGACAAGAAGTCTGTCAACGGCAAATGGTCCGATTGCAAGACCAATGTCCCCGCGAGCGTCAACGATGCGGACTACTCTGCGTGGACCTGGGTCTTCTCAGCAATCATCGATTTTCGCCAGTCTCAACAAGAGGTCGCGATCGCTGTCACGGTCACGGCCAAAGACCTTATCGGCCTCATTCCGATCCCGCTTTCTGGATTCGGACGAGGAAGCCGACGAAGGTCGTCCGCGGAGATTTTATAGCCGATTTGCAGATTCGAGTGATGAGGACGAGCCATTATCTGCCCAATTCCGTCCTGTTCGGGGTATCCCCCGGCGAGGCGTAAACGACGGTGACTCCACCGATCTGGAGGACAGTTCCGATGAGGAAGGCAACCAAGCAGGCCGACCTGATCGAGATGAGCCTCAGCCAGGCTCACGAATGACCCAGGATGAACTGGAACAGTATCTCTCTCAGCCGAAAAAGAGAGGACTTTTGGCCCGGCTCACTTCGACGAGGAGGAAAAACCGATTCAAGGACGGCAAGGTCCGCAAGTCGGATCTTGACAGTCCGGCCAGAAGAGACACGCCATTGGAGCGGTCGCGGGTGGAACTCGAGCAGATGAAAGAGGACGGCTATTTTCTGAACGGTTATGCTGCGCATACGGTCACTACAGTCACGTCCAACCCTCGATCGGCGTCTCCCAAGCTCCAGAAGAGGAGGACGGGAGAATTCCCTCATAACGACGCATCCTGGCCTTTGAAAGAGGCAGGTCCGTCGGATGCTCCTCAAGGTCCGACAGGCACAAACGACCAGACGTCATTGCCAGATGGTAATAATAATGCGGACCGGCCGCAGACATCGGACGGAGTTGTCAATCGCGATGACGTCAACGGGGCACAAGCTGGCCCAGCCGAAGATGGTGGCGGCGGATGGTCGACACGCTTCCCCAAATTCCCCGGCCGTCGGGACACCAACAGCAGCAACGGCGGCACCGTAACGTCGAAGACATCGTCCGACGTGGTCGTTGGCAGGAACGGCCGCAAGAAACGATTTCCTCTGTTGAGGAAAGCCTTCGGGCTGCGTGACTGATCTGTTGTTCGATTTTGGTTTAAAAAAAGAATTTTCTTCTCTTGCACCCGTTGTATTCTTGGATATTCCTTTTTTTTCCCCCTTCATGATGGGCCTTTTTGTCGTTATAATACCCCATGAGAACGCCACGGCGTTTTAATACGTTGTCTTCATTCGATAGGCGCAGGGCACGGAATGGAGTGCTCTCCCCGTCTGTAATACCATGTCGGGCTCCTGATGAGCCTCTTAATGTGTACTGGCCTAACCATTTTCTGCTTCTTTGTTTCGTGTGAATCTTTTATCCTTTACGGCCCGGTAATGTCTACACGAGTCACGCGGTGGAACACGCACGAAATTCGGATACGTAGGCCACGATTGACTCGACCTGTCACTTCTTTGGCGTTCATTTATATAATGGTCCTTGAACATATACCCTTGTTGTTCTCTGGTTGACGACTGTTTGTGTTATCTTTTTCCTAGATTGATGCCTTCAGTTTTCTTCCGTTGACCTTGTCACTCGCCTGGTGAATGCCAAAAAGAGCGAGATTTTTTTTTAATGTATTCACACCGTCATGTTCTCGTCTTCTGTCTTGACCAGGTAAGGTCGACAGATAAAAGCAACATTTTCAGTTGTGTTGGAATTAGGCTGGGATCAAAATCACTACCTATCTAATGATAATGTGGAGTACGGAGTACCCGGTGTGGAGTTCTCCGTCACTATACTCGATATGCTGTGTGGAAGAATGGCTCATGTCAGTGAAAGCACCTATAATTTTGCAATCTCATGAGACAAATAACGCAAGCCGTATATTTTCAAAGAGAAGAGAAATTGTATCAGCTATACCCTATCGCCGAAACGATCATCATAATGATATCTATTAATTTCGAAGCTTTGCCACCAGCCTCTTTGCAGCCAGCCTACGGACGCAGAATCAGCGATAGACAGAAACCCTGCCAGTGCCTGTCTGCCTCCGCTGCAAGGCTGCAAGCCTCCAGTCAGCAATTGGCCATGAGTGGCATCGGCCCCGGTGGCTGGAGTCGCTAAACGGGCGATGTCTCAGCCTCTCAGCTGTCCGATGTCTGTGGTGATTGAGCTGCTGGGGCCGGTGGACCGAGTGGAGTCCCAGCCGTCCCGGCCCTCGCGCGCGCGCGTGTGATAGAGAGAGAGAGAGAGCATGGAAATGGCGGGCGGGATGAAGGGAGGTTGGGTTGACACTGATGAGATGGGCCATTATTTACCGACTGCCAATGAACGGGAAACACATTGGCAGGGAAGCTGGCCGTGGACGAAGCTTGCTGCTTGCTGGCCAGCTCTCGGCTCTAGCTCCCGCAGTCGAAGCTGATGACTGCAGGCCAGCTAGCCACTCACTTTCGCTTCCTGGTGGACATTGCGTACTGCGGACTCCATCGTTCGAGGGTGTTCGTCTGTACGGAGTGCTCTCGAACGATGGAGTCCTCGTCCAGACCACTGCGCGTCAGCACGACAGTCCAGCAGGTGACCTGTGCTGAAGGTCGCTTCCTTCCCACCGCAGCACCGCATGCGAGGAGCGCTTTCCGCCTGTGGGTCCCGCATGCGCCTCCGGATCGGGTCTAGACCGAGGCACCGGGAGCGCGTTGCCATGGCAAATAACCTTGCCAGGCCTCTCTCCTCCCAACCTCCCCGAAATCACGCCCAAGTTTGGTTCTGCGAGTTTCGGCATGTGATGGCCATGAGATGATGCAATTGCTGCTTAGTTGCAGGCCGTTGCGGTGCACAGTGTATTATTATTGTTCTTATTGCTCGAGCTGAAGCGGCAGGGTGACCGTGCCCTAGTCCAGCCTGCCTCCGCTCGACTCCATTCGGTTCCTCTGCGCCCGCTTCTTGTAATGAGAGCCGGAATACATGCAGAATGAAACTGGGAACAGATCGAAAATAACAGATTCAGTCCTGATACTCCGCACGCACGTATCTGCGTCGTATCAGTATCCACTGTAGATGCTAGAGAGTTCCAAGGTTCCTTCCTCGGAACTGCGCGCCAAGCCGATCCCGGATCGGCGCCATGCCCGGAGCGGCATGGTCTTGTTTACACTTGCCATTCTGGGCGTCAACAAACACGCCTGCCTCGGCGTCCACGCAGCCCAGCCCCCCTCCCTCTGCAGCCCATAAACACAGCCTCGCCCCTCCCCTCCTGCTCTCTTCTCTCTTTCTCCTCTCCAGCCTCGACGCATTCTTCTGGCACCCTTCCATTCCATTCCTCTTGTCCGTTCTGTGCTCCGTCTCAGATCTGGCAGCGAGTGCCCAGATAAGCTTGTTTGCTCCGCATTCCACGCTTCTTTCTTCCCTTTTCCAGAAAGAAAGACAGACTTCCCCACAGTCAGTCTTTTCTTGACTCGCCTTTCGAGTTGTTGCAATAACAGTTCGAAAGGCATTCGAGAAAAGACGCCCAAAGGACAGTCACCCTGGACTTTGACGCGCGCGTCCCGATCCCCTTCAGTGTCTTCCCGTCGTCGTACCGGAGTGACGCTGTCTCTGAGACTACTCAGACCCGAGTAGAAGGAGAGGTCAATTTCGATCGCACTTCGCGCGTCGGACGGGAAGATACTGCTGGTCGACTTTCTGACCCCCGAGGCTACGGCAGGGAAGAAGTCGATCTCCGCATCCGCACTGACGACCGCCGTCCCGCTCGTCGCTACGAGGAGTCGGTTTCCTACGAGTCCCGCGAGCGCGATCGCTACCCGGAGATAGAGCTTTCCCGTGAACGGTAAGTTATCCTTCTTTTTTTTTTAATTTTCTGTTTCTTCCGTGCTAGCCACTTTTTGTATTTTTTGTAATGTTTATTTTTGGTAATTTTTTGTTCCCTTTTTTTTTTGCTCTTATCGCGCTATCGCTCTATCTCTCGATTTGAGATCATAAAGAGCGGTGGGCGAGAGTCTGGCCCCACCGATCTGTCGGTGTGAGCCGCCATTTCCGGGGTGGCTCCCCAGCTCGGACGCACGGTGGCCAAACTAGAAAAAAAATATCCACTGGGCTACTGCATGTGCCAAGCTATTACGTGTACCCTCTAAAAAAGCCTTCTCCCCAATGATTGTTTATTTTGGCTTTTTTTTTTTCCTTTTTGTTAGCTCCGCTCGGAGGACATTAATAACTGACCCTCCCCGTCAGCTATCGTGAACCGATTGGTCGCTACGAGGAGCGTCGCTACGCAGAGCATCCCTTGGAAGAGCACCCCCCCGTCCAAGAAAGGCCTCTCGAGACCCAGATCGACATTACTGAGCGCGAGTACCGTCGTCGCATCGACCCCACGTACGAAGTCGACGTGACCTACGACCGTCGTTACCAGCCCGACTCTGAGACCTACCGCGCCGACTCGTACGACCTCCGCGAGGTCAGCCCCAGCGTAAACGAGAGCCGCTACTCCAGGCCCGCCGAAATCTCTGTCGAGAAGGAGACCGTCCGTGACGTCAGCCCCAGTGTAGCTGAAAACCGCCTCGCCAGTCCCACCGAAGTCACCGTCAGCAAGGAAACCGTCCGCGAAGAAGCCCCCAGCCAGAAAATGGGTTACTACGACGACGAGGGTAACTACCACTCTTTCCGCCGCGGCGTGGAGCGTGCGGCTGACCGCCTGCTCCACCCCTTCTCCCACCATGACCACAAGGAGGAGGTTGTCGTCTCCGAAAGTGGTCCTACCCGCTACCGGGATGGAGTGCGTGAGGACGTTCGCATCGTCGAGCCTCGCGGCGGCAAGAGCTCTGCCGAGACCGTGCCGATCCCCGTCCACTTCATCCGCGTCGGTGACCTGCTCATCCTCCAGGGCCGTCCTTGCCAGGTGATCCGCATCTCGGTCTCTCCTCAGACGGGCCAGCACCGCTTCCTGGGTGTCGACCTCTTCACTCGCCAGCTCCACGAGGAGTCGAGCTTTGTGTCCAACCCGTCCCCGTCGGTCGTAGTCCAGACCATGCTCGGCCCGGTGTACAAGACCTACCGTGTCTTGGACGTCCGTGACGACGGCCGTATCGTGGCCATGACCGAGACTGGCGATGTCAAGCAAGGTCTGCCGGTGGTCAGCCAGGGTCACCTGTTCCAGCGCATTCGTGAGGCTTACCAGGATGGCCGGGGCAGCGTTCGTGCTCTGGTCATCAACGATGGTGGTCGCGAGCTGGTCGTTGACTACAAGGTTGTCCATGGTGCCAGACTCTAAGTCAGTCAACATCCTGAAAAGGTTAGCGTCGGAAGTTCCCGTTCCCGCTCCGTGTGTGGAGTAATCACTGACGTCATAGCAGCCGAACCCCATTTCTTATGTGTATGTATGACTCTTTGACGCCAAATTCCTTTTCTACGAGCAAAACGAAAATTGATTTAAGGGAAACTAGAACTGTCTTCTATTACGGGATTATGGCACTTTTGGCTTTTCTTGTACTGATATGATGGGAACGTTCATGAGGGTGAAGCTCTCGGGCTCACCTAGTTATTGCGATGATTTCTTTCTTTCCTGTAACTGTCAATTGTCATGTTGGATGTCTTTATGAAATGAGTGGAGGATGCATTCGATGAGATTTGATGATGGATGTAAACGACCTAGTTGAATGCTATGTTTGCTGGAACTTTTCTTTTTTCCGCGTAGGTTTCGCGTAGATGCGTAGCAAGTGTGGGTAAATATGACTCCGTAGTTGGCACTGTTATTAACGTGAAGGACACATCAATCAGTCCATCTACCTATCTGGTTATCCAGTATCTGGATAAACTGATATGATATGGTCATGGGCATTGGTAAATATATATATATGAAAACTGATTGATCGATCGAGTATCTACATACAAGTGCAAACGAACATATTATCCACGCATAGAAAACAAAAAATAATTTTCTTTTCCCCAATAAATAATTTCTTTGTCCCTGCAATTATTATTACATTTGGATCCAGATTTAGTTCTTTTTTGTTTGCTTTTTTTTTGTTTTCATGTTACGTACATGTTACAGTACATACTTCGTACATACATCAGTCACTCAGCTAGTCAATCACAATCAATTAGCCACATAGAAGAGAAATTATTCCATGTCCATCCACCGTTTTCCTAGACAAGACAACAATAACAACAATAGAAAAAAGAAGCAGAGAAGCAAAGAAGCAAGGAAGGAAGATAAGAAGAACAGAGAAGAAACCCAGTGTAAACTTGAAACCAGAGTGATGAACTGAACTGAACTGAACGCCAGAACCAAGAACCAAGAACCAAAACCAAAACCAGAGCCGAAGCCTTATGCCGTTATAATAATAATAATCACAACCGTTAGTTTTAAATAAATGCCACACCATGCCATGCCCATGCCATGCCATGCCGTGCCGTGCCGTGCCGTTGCCATGTCACGCCATAACACACAGACAGAACAACACATCACGCCGTAGATGAGTAGGTAGTTATACATTTGGTTAGTCAGTCAATCCTGTATGCAAGGAAGAGGGAAAGAAAGAATTTGAGAAAAAGAAGAGGAAGATGATGATGGTGAAGGACAAGGAGGAGTAGGAAGAAGGAGGAGGAGAAGGAGAAGAAGAGATATGGCGATCGGGGTATCGTATGTGCATGTAGATGATGGTTACATCATCTTAGCCTTTTTTTATACAGAGAAAGCGTCAAGGACCTCCGCCACTACTTCTCCCCGTATTTGCCATACTCCTGCTGCCATTTCAGCAGATGCCGCGTCAGCACGTCCATCATCTCGACGCTGCTGAGGTCTTTGAACTCCCTCTCCGATGTCGAAGGCGCGCCCTCGCCGTCCGTCACGGACACGTCCGTGGAAACCGCGCCTCCTGCTCCTCCTTCGCCGGTGGCGGCTTGCGCCAAACCCCCCAGCTGCTCCTCTGCGCCCTTCACCGTTGACGCCGGATTGCCATTCCCGTTTCCGTTTGGCGGCGTCGTGCTCTCGCCGCTGACGGCCATCTCGACCTGCATGCGCGAGATGAATTCCAGAATGGCTGCAACCCGTCGTTTCATCTCGTTCATTGACGTCCGATGCGGGTTCAAATGTCGGGCCTTGATGGGCTTGCTGCCGGAATCGCCTCCGTTCACGTGCACTCCGTTCGACCCTCCGTTACCATTATTGCCATTGGGAGAATCCCGTCCTGTCCCCTGGTCGCGGAGCGGGGAATTCGGTGAGTGGTTCCCTTCGCCGTTGACTTGGTCTCGAGTGTATTGGTTGCGGCCCTGACGACCCCCGCGACGCGCAGGAGGCCGACCGGACTTTCGTGTTGATGGGCGTGGGGCAGGTGGTTCTTGATTTTGAACGGGAGTTCCAGGAGTCTGATCGGTGGGTTCGGCATCATTGGGAGCTGCTGATTTCGTTGGAGACGCACCGCCTTCGTGCTCGGACTCTGTGACGCGGTGGTCAGCCCTACGCCTGTGTGACAGTGTAAAACTTCCATAAGCACTTACCGTCCCCTCTTCTTCTCTCCGAACGTGATTTCCTTCGGTTGGCAGTATCGGGTCGTTCTGGTTCTGCCTCCTCTGTTTCCTTCGTATCCTTATCACGCTGGTTACGGGCGGAAGAAGCACGCTGCTGTTTCTTCGCACCGCCGTTTGTTTTCGCTTTCGACTCGTCATCCGAATCAGGCTGAGACACTTGGTTGCTTTGTTTGGAATGGGCGGAGGGGGAAGGAGAGCTGGTCCGTTGTCGCTTGACAGTCTGCTTGTTACTGGAAAGAAAAAAAAGTTAGACCCGATATTTCCAATGCCCATTCAAAGAATTGAAAAACTTACGCTTCACTGTCGCTGCGACTCCTCTTCGGCCTGCGGGGCCCTGCATCATCATTGCTCATTCTGCTCTCTTCCTTGCTCTCCTCGATGGCTCGACGGAGCTGCTCCTCTTCGTCATAAGCCGCATCCCGGCTGTTCATGGTGGAACGACGCTTGGGATTATTATTCGTCTCATTCTGGCGAGTCTTGGGGTCGCGCGAGCGTCTGGAGTTATCTCTCGAAGAGGCTCGGGAGGAGGAGCCGGGGGAGGAAAGAGCTGCGACCGGCAGGTACTGCGACGAGTTCTGCCTGCGGGAGCGTAAGCGAAATGTCCACATGATAAGTTTGTAGCATGGAATCAAAGAGAACACAAAAACAGTATATTGGTCTTGTGTGTCTGGGTTGAGATTGCGGCGGTGTTGGGGGGTATGCTAGGATGTTGTGCTTTTGGACAGTGGGGGCAGGACAGCAATGAGAGAGGAACAGTGAAGAGTCAGAGAGGTGGCAGGGGATGTCTCTGGCACATAGACAGGGAATAAAGAAAGTGACAGTGACAGTGGAGTTTCTCACGTACCCATTGGATTCAGTCGTGATCTTGTGAAGATCTTTCCGGCACTCTTCACAAAAATACTCGTCGGGACTCATTGCCTCGTCCATGATGCCGACGCAACCCCCATGCTGCCACACCTTGCATGAGTCACACTGAATAAACATGCTTCCCAAGTCATCACTGAGGGGGTCAGATGCGTCTGTCGACGTCCCTCCGGACTCATCCTTCCCCCCAGACTTGTGGTGGCCGTGCCGACCGAGGGCGTCGCGGCGGGAGGGCGGCAGACCCGGATAGTCCTGCTGGCCACAAAGACATCGTGTTATTTCTTCCTCCTCTGCATCCTCCTCCTCTTCGTCTTCTCCTTCGGCTGTTTGGTGCGGGTCGTCGTTATCCTCGTCTCGTGCGCGTTGGCGCTGGCGCGTGTGGGGGGCGTCGTTCTTACTGTCCGGCTCATCGAGGGACTGCGAGCGGTGCGTCGTCGATCTTTGCGGAGATGGGATCTTGTTATTCGATCGAGTGGTTCTTTCGCCGCGGGTGAGCGAATTTCCCGAGCTTGACGAGCTTGAGTGCTGGAGAGCGGGCGAGGGCTGGGTTGTGCGAGCACGAGAGGAGCGACGAGGAGTCATGGCTGCGACCGGTCCCTCCGTGAGATTCTATATAAAAAAAAATTGAGTGCACGAGGATATCGGCCTGTTCGTCGCTGGCAGGCAATCCTGCGACCCCAGGAGCAACACCAGCTGGAGCTACTTTGCACGCGATGGGAGGGAGACAGCGGAATTCGAGCGGGCTTTTTGGTGGTGGTGGCTCGGCCGATGGCCGAGAAGTTCTTCAGAGGGACAATTGCAGAGGGATGGACGAGAAAACGACGGATCGAAGAAGACCGTCTGGCAGCTCCCAAAGGCAACTAGACGGCTACATAGTCTGCAGATTGCGGGCAGGCTCGGGCGGGGAGAGAGAAGCAGAGGGAGGAGAGCAGCAGAGGATGGGGGGAAAAGAAGGGACGGAACGGGATGGCGCTGGCTCACGGCGCCTTGGCTCGCTCACGCTCTCAGCTCGCGTCCGGTCGACGGCGGTTGCATTGGCTCGTCCGCTTCCCCGCTCCAAGCACGGCAGACAGAATGCGCAGACGAGTGCATTGCCGGCAGATGCGCCAGGGATCTTTTCTGCTCTCCATGTCGCCGGCATGCTTCCACTGCCATCGTCGTGCCTCTGTCATCATCTTGACGAGGGCGCCGTTTCCCCCCGACTCGATTGACTCGACTCCGGTTCACGCGTTGCCCTCTCCTCGATCGGACTCGACCCCGCTCCTCTGCGCCGTCCTCGACCTGCGTGCCTGATACCCAACTCCTCTCCCGTCGATAAGAGATTCTCGTCCTTACTCGAAGCCTTGTGCACGTCATCTTCCGACGTCACCGGTAATAGGAGCTATTTTACGCCAGGAGCTTGGGATTTGGCGGTCATCACCCATCCATTGGGCAGACGACAGCCTTACTTTCTATACTTATGGGTGATTGACGGGCAATTCGCCCCGTTCTGCTTGGGAGATAGATAGGATTATTGACTGCGAGCTTATACATGGTCATCTGGTGGAGCTGGCAGGAGCAATGTGTCAAACGGAGCTGCTTCGCTCCGGATGACAGGGAACTGTGCCTTGCAGAGCTGCAAGGCACAAACGGAGTCCTGGAATCTGCAGCAGCCAGTGGTACTCATCCCATATCAAGTGGATTGTGGGCTGGTGCCATCGTCTGATCTCGACAAGCTTACCCCGTACCCTCCGTCGGATCCCTTGTACGCCGTATTGAACACAACCCATCAGTAGGAACAGGTTTAGAGCCGCCGCTGAGACCTAGTCCTTGGTCTACGTAGGCTGCAAGGCACCGCCCTGCCGCTGAGTGCAAGGCTGGAGAGGAGGGCCTCCCGGTCGACTCAGGGACGACGGGGCTTCGGGAGGAAAGGGGAACAGGCGGTAAGAGCGGTGGGCGGCGGTGCCTCTCCCCAAACCACTCTCCAACCCGACACCCAGCGATGTAGACACGTTTCTCTGCCACACGGCAGTATTTGGACTTCCATCACGACCAGATCGTATTCTCTCCTCTCCTCTGGCAGCGGTGATTTGTAATGCTCCCTCTCCGTCGCGCTCCGGGGTTCCGCTGTGCTGGCAGCCCTGACCGCGGTTACGCCTATTGGCGCATCCCCATCGGGTTTAGCGCGGCATACCCGAGCCTTCAAGAGTGGCCGGCCACGCTCTAACGTACTTCTGCTTCATCGCTCAACGCCAGATCGTTCCCATCGACCGTGTTATTCCCCTCCTTGCCCCCATCGGACCCCGTTGCAATTGTGCCACGACGCCGCCTTTCATCTGCTCGAGTTGCGTTGGTTCCATCCTGTCCAAGTTCTCGTTTTGGCTCTCCGGTTTCGTGTTCACTGCCGTTGCGTTTCGTCTCTCCCTAAAAGTCTGCTTTGGGCTGCTGAGTAATTTCCCTGTTGTGTGTAAGTGGGCGTGGACTCTTCTCGATCTGCCATCGACCTCTCCTTGCTGCTCTCGTCTGTCATTATAAGATCCTCCCCAGAGCTGTCTTTCCCACGTCTATTGGCTGGATCCTCCCGACACCCTGTAGTTGGTAACAGAAGTGCTCACTCCTGACGACACACAGTTTTGGATAGAGTCTCCGATCCCGCACCCTCTCTCTCATCTGAAACCCTGCCTATACACCGGACAAACATAAAGATCAATCTGAAAGGGGAGAAGAGAGTTCCAGCCTGGACTATCCATATAACACGTGGGCTGCCGTCGCTGGGAGTGCGTGAGCGTTGTAAACCGACGTGATGGCTGCTACACTGAGTATGTTTTTGTCCCCTTGTGGAAGTCTCAACATCCCGGGAAGCCCCCATAATATCCATATTACACAGATATGTATATGGATGGGGATCTTACCTCCCGGGCTTCGCTTCCCCTGAACCTGGATGAGTCACAGTCGAGAACGTGCCAGCGACTTGATTGCTGATACGGTCCTGCAGGCGGAACGTTTTCTTCCGCTCCAGATACGCCATCTCCCGTCTATCCGGATCGACTGATTAGACCTCTTCCCAAGCGGCCCCTTCGCTCTCGTCTCTCTCCGGAGGCGGCCGAGTCGATCCTCTACCCTCCCGCCCCGCCGGCGACCCAACTCTTTTACGGTTCCTATTCAGAGAACGGGGAGGCACAAGATGGCAAGACATATACGCAGCAGAATTCTGCCGAGAATTACGGACAAGATCAAAGCCCCGATCGGGATCATCGTCATCCATACGAGAATGGTGTCGAAGTCGAGAGTGGTGATGAGGATGGTCCCGTCGTAGTCCGCCGCAGCGCCGGTTTCCGCGGATCGTCCTTATCTCCCTCTACCCCAACCTCGAATGGCCAAACGCAGTCTAACAATCCCGACAGCTCACAGACCAAGTCTTCACCCGCTGGGATGGATGGCTATGATGCATTTGAAAACACCAATAATAAGAAGAAGCGGAAAATTCCCACTTCTGGAAGCTTGAGCAGCCATCACTCTAGTCTCACTGCTGATCTGGCGAATATGGGGATATCTGGCTTGTCCTCAAGTTCTCCATCAGCATTAGGGGATGGCGGCGGTACCGGAACGTACTATGGCTCCGGCAGTCCTGCTTCTGCATCCAGCAGTGGGATTTCTGGACCTGGCCGCGGCCGGCTTGGACGTCATAGCCTGCGCAGTTCTGGACGGAATCCGCTTTCTACTATTCACTCGCCAAATTCATGGCTGGGAGGACGATCAGCAGGGAGCCGCCGCGATCTCAGTTTATCTTCACAGGGAGCAACAGGTAAATCCGACTGCCTCCTTTTCTAAAAAAGCAAATACTGACCTCCTTTCTAGGTGACTCTGGGAACAAATCAGATCAGGGCATTATCTCTGCGGCTATTGCAAATGCTGCTGCTCTCTCCCCCACCTCTAAGGGGCAAGACAATGTCAGCTTGCTAGATCAACAGAATAGCAAGACCTCGCCGACGAAGACTCAGTTCACCTTCACATGTGAATCAGATCTCTCCAAGAGCATAGCACTGCAACCACCAAATCCATATCCACTGCCTCAACAACAGCGTTTACAAAACCAGTCACTGCCACCGACAACAACATCAACAAACCAGCGCGATTTTGCAACACAGGGCACACAGACTAGTCCAAGCATGGGCTCAGGAAACAGTCAGCAGACACAACAGTCAGGACCTCAGCCGCCCGCGGCAGGGACTCAGAACAACGCACCTCCCAAGAAGCCCAAACGGTCTGCTTCAAGCATCTACGCGTTGGCAGCTCGCCAGCGGAAAATCCAACAGCAATACACCAACCTGCATCATCCACCAAACCCAGAAGACATTTGGATCTGCGAGTTTTGCGAGTACGAGGCCATCTTCGGCCACCCTCCCGAGGCGCTGATCCGACAGTACGAGATCAAGGATCGCAAGGAACGCCGACGACTGGCCGAGAAGAGAAGATTGCTGGAGAAGGCCAAGATGAAGGGTCGCAAGAGCAAGAAGGCGACCAAGAACGCGGCCAAGCATGCAGCTGCTCAGCAGCCTGCCCACCACCCCGCCGAACACGCTGCCGTGGATGCCTCAGGATCCCATCCGGATGATTATCTCGGCACCGAGTATGATGACGAGTCGAGTCCGGTCCCTCCGCCCGCCCCTCCCCAACAAACCCCCACCAAACAATCTGCACCGGCTGGAACGGCCGCTCGCACGTCTTCAGCCGCGGGCACCGCCCCATCTAAGGGTGTAGGCGGAGGAGGAGGATCGGGCAAAGCCACCTGAAGCCTCGACCGGGCAGTTCCATGGCACTCGCGTTCGTCGGTGCTCCAGCGTTCTCGCAATGGCTCCGGTCGGCGGTCCTCCCTCAGTCCATGTCTCGATCTGGCTCCGCGATCACACTGTCACGACGATCGGGTGTGCCAGGAGGCTGTCCGGCAATTTGGCTTTGTGATGATTGTCTGGTTTGTCGGTATTTTTCTTGTGTTTGTGTCGTTGTTTCCCCTCGCTTCTGTGTCTGCTTTTTGATACACATTCCCCGGAACATTTCATATCACGGTGTTTTGTGTGTAGTTGGCAGTTGGTATCGTTGCACTCCCCTCTCAATATCTTCTTTCTTTTTATCCAGTATGGCTTCCCCGCATAGCGTCTGGAAAGTTACAACGGCATCAGCATCACTCTGGTCTCAAGAAAACTTACGGTCTCGGTTTTGGTCGGTGTGTGTTGGAGGATCGTGGCGTGGATGAGGTTATTGTGACAAGTTCGGTCTTTTGTTTCCCAATTCTTGTGAGTATGGTGGTGGTCCACCAGCTTTGGCATCAGCATCATATACGTATACATGACAGGGGCCCCACCACTGAGTGAGTTTGGATTCTTTTTGTCTTAGTCCCTGTATCTATCTGTGGAATGTCAGTCTTTCTGTCACACAGAGGACGTGCCCATCGCTCGCTGGTGTGGTACTCCTCTGTGTGGCAGTCAGGCTATTTGTCCATAGGCAAAATGAAACGAAACAATGGAACAATATGTCAGAATTTGTTGCGCTGTCGAATTTAGGAAGAGTTTCTAGTCTGTCGAGAGGAGCGTCGACAGCCAGTCAGGCCCCGCCCCCGCCAGGAATCCGCTACAGGCTGCCGCGGGCTTACCTAACCAGGAACGCGGGCGGGCGCTTCCCCAAACCACCGGCAGGAATGCCAGATGGCCCGCAGCCAGACGATTGGCAGACCCCTGCAGAATGACGTCGCGTGCTTGGCGTCTCTGCGCGTCTGGCAGCGGTTGGCGATGATGAATCGGTGTCTGAGGACGACTGCGGTTAGCTACCTCGATGCGTTTCATTCCTCGTCGTTCATCGATGGCCAGCCACTCTCTGCCATCTGCTCTGCTCCATAGCCATGGACATGACCATCGACATGATTGAGTACGCGACAGGGCGTCTTCCTGGGACTATCGCAAGCGGCCCATCGTCATGAAGAGGGTCGTTCCTGCCCTAGTGTATGTACATGTTCGTGCAACCCGTTCCTTCATTTATCTGTCGCGTCTTTCTCTTTTCTGACACTGTCTGTGCGAAGGTTGTTTGTATATTCTTAGCATACGGCGGCTGCCGCGACGAATGACGATTGTCTATCGGGAAGCGCCTGCTCAAGCCGAAACAGTCTCCACGAGGACTCGCTGTCCTATATACGCAACACCTCTAAAAAAAGATCTCCCAAGAACTCCATCCCGTGAAGACGGCGGCTCTGCAGAGCGTTGACAGGTTGATGGTTCTCAAACGCCGAGACGTATCAGATCCAGGTGGAACAAGAGGTAGGCTCTCCAAGAGCTTTATGGAGAATAGCTTGCGCGATCCCCAGGTGGCAGCGCTGAAGAATACGGATCTATAAGATTCGAGGTACGTCCCGTCTTGTCTACGGTCCCTCTGTCTATCTGCAGTTCGTCAATCGTCTTTGTTGCTCATTGCCCAGTTCCTTTGTTTCCCTTTTTCTTTCTTCCTGTTTTGTCTGTCTCTATTGTCCGTTGGGTCTTTCAGTCTATTGAATAGGCGTCCATATTCATTATTCATTGGCTGTTATATGGGACGTCTCTCCCATTCACTGCTGTTGCCTCTGAGTCTATCGTTTTGATTCATACCTCAGTCACGGCAATTTCTTCCCGCGCAGCGCGCATTTTGACGAGTTTTACCTACTTTTTGATCTTTTGGGTTCATATTATTGAAATAAATTCGACGGGGCGTCCTTGGTCACTCATTCTGCATCCACTACCACTACTGCTACTTTTGCTTTCATAGCCGCCAGCATATAAATTCCACCGAAAAGAGATCTCTCCCCAGCCACTTCATTCAAGCCTGTCATGTTGTTCCTCGCCTTGCGACTCTTGAAGATTGGTGTTAACCAAGCCAAAGTCCGCAAAGCCAGAGAAAACCAAGCACAAGACGCCACCGAAATGCAGGCACCTCCCGTGTGTGGTGCTCGCAGCCCTGCTAAAGCGTTCGCCGACCTCTTCCTGCGCTTCTTTCAGTTTGTATTGGGACTCACTGTCGTCGGGCTGTATGGAGTGGATCTCAGCAATGCGCGGAAGAAGCATGTCTACGCCGACCCGAAATGGGTGTACGCCGAGGTGACGGCGGGCCTGGGAGCCCTCACAGCGCTGATCTACCTTCTGGCTCCGTGCATGTTCAAGGCCTCTCTCGTCTTCCGTCCCCGTCTTCACCTGCCACTTTTCATCTGGGAATGCATCCTGTGCATCCTGTGGTTGACGCTGTTTGGCATTTTCGGGAAGATGTACATCAGCGAAGACCCAGAGGGGGACGCTGGAATCATTCGCATGAAGCACGCCGTGTGGGTCGATGTGACCAATCTGGCACTGTGGACCATCACTGCGACGTGGACCGGCATGCGCTGGCGCAGAGGGATGAAGGCCGCCGCTGGTGGTCAGGGACAGTTGGAGGGAGAAAAGGATGTCGAGACTTCTGGATAAGACGGCTACCACCATCGACTGTTGTTTCCGCGAACTGAGGGTCATAACAGGAGAAGGAAACCGGATCGATAGATCGATAATTATTATCACCACCATATTTTCTTTCCTTTCTTTTTGCTTGGGAGTGTTTGGGGTTGCCGCTGGCTCGCGTGTCTGTGTTCCATCATACACATATGCAACGTGGACTTGGCTTGCTTAGTCTTGTTTGTACGGTATGTACTACTGATAGCAACCTTGATTCTGATGCATTACATTGGGTTCTTTTTTTTCTCCCCTTCTCTCCTTTGGAATTTGATCTTGTACATGAATTCCCTCTCTCCCTGACATACCCTCTTAATTCCAGTGCTCATTTTGCATAGAGTCAGTCAGTCGGTCAAATTATACAAGTTAAATAGTGCCAGAGAGACAGGGAGAGATTGTCGGAGTTAACTACATATATGAAACAGAACAAACCCAAAAAATCTCATCGATTAAAAAAATCAATCAATGGTATTGAATTCCAGGAATATTAGATTAGATTAGATTAGGTAAATTACCTAGGTAGGTAGTAGGTAGTAACTACATACACACCTAATTTAGGCAATTCATGCTGAATGAGTAGGTAAGTAGGGAGGTATGTACCTAGGTAGGTAGATACATGAGCGCATGCATGTTATCCTATCCTGCGCAGCATAATATTAACTCAGTAATTTTGAGAAAACCTCCCGCCAACTCCTGATGATGAAAATGAAAAGAGAGACATAGAGAGAGAGAAAAAAAGAGCCATCCTTCCTCCGATCATTCGATCCTTCGTTCGCTCGTTCGTTTGTTCGTTATTCCTTTTCACTTCCACTGAGCAGTTAGTTTATTGACTGTGTTTGTTTGTTGTTCCTATTAGGTCTTTCTGCCTGCCTGTCTGTTTGTCTGTTTGTCTGTCTTCAACTCCGATTCGGACTCTTCTTTCTCGCCCGCTCAATGATAGCGCTCAGATGGTTGCTCGAAAGTTTCGGCAGGGTGAATTCGCCGCTTGCGAACGCGTTCTGGACAGAGGTTACTTCGTAGCTGGATCGATTCTGCTGCTGTTGCTGCTGCTCACCACCACCAGACCGGAGTGATGATAATGATAGTAATGAGGATGATGACCCCCTTCTCCCTCTCCTATTATTACTACTACTACCCCTGGAGGAGGAGGAAGATGGCCGCGTAGTAGGATACTTTGCAGGGTCTGTACTTTCTGACGGTGGTTGTGGTGGTGGCATGATTAAATGTCTTGTCGTCGCTGGGGATAGGCTTCGGCTTGCTCGCCGTGGTGGTGGTGCTGCCTTGCCGATGTTCGACGTTGCGAGTAGATTTCCTAGATATGACGACGAACTCGGGTTGGTTGCACAGGATGATGCATCACTAGTAGTAGTAGTAGTAGCAGCAGCAGCAGCCGCCTCCTGACGCCTGCGTTCCGCGAATCGCGAGCGAAAATCTGGGTCTACCAGTGAGGATGTCTTGGACGTCGATGATGATGGTGGTTGCGTAGCAGCCTGCTCCGTCGAAGGGGGGCGAACCGGACTGGCATGGCGATGGACGCTGCTGGTGGTGAATCCGATTGGAGGAGGGCTCAATCGAGTGGTGGTGGTAGTGGTATTGGGAGCCGGAGAACTGGAGGTCGTCTGGTTGTTTGTATTGTTTCCGTCATCTGGTCGCAGATATGACAGTGACTGCCAGGAAAGTCCCTGGGCGCTGTTGTCCTGTTCTGTTGGATTGAATCGATCAATTTTAGTTCCAGAAGACTGGGGATAGATGCAGTAGTAGTAGTGCAGACGAAGGGAGCTTACCTTCCGGTATTGCTGGTTTCTGCGCAGGACCATCTGCTTTCGTGGTCGCTGCCGCTGCCTCCGATTTAAGGAGAGAGCCTTCTGACACTTCAGCGCTGGGTGAAGTCTGCGATGATTTACGTCTGATAACCACAGGCCTACGTTTCGACAAGGCTGACGTGTTCGCAACAAAAGTTGGCTTTTTGCGACCTGCTTTCTGCGGTGGATCACGGCTGGTCGCTGCTGTCACTGTTGCTGGTGCTCCCATCGCCGGTGTCAACGTGGTCTTAGCTTTCTGGACAGCTATCTCCGGAACCAGAATCCGGGTCGTTTTGAATGATGAAGGCTCTCCTGGGGTCGCACATGGCTTTTCTGCATGGGGCTTCTTGAGGATTGACGGAAGAGGAGTTCTGGTTTGGACACTGAGCGCTGCTGAAGGGACATTCTCAGCGTCACTGTAGTTACTGACAGATGGGTTGTTGAGCGTCTCCGGAGAAATGCGGCTGGTCTTTCGAGGTCATAAAACGAATTAGCAGAGAGCTACGTCCCGACAGGAGACCTACTACCTTCTTCAGGGCCGCCTGTGGAGACTGACGCGGAGTCGTTCGAAGAGGACGGTCTTCGGAGATGTCCATGAACAGCGCAGCCAATGTCGATCCAGTCAGAGTCTTCCGAAGCCGTGTGCTGCCCCAGATTCTCCAGAACAAGTTTTCCAATCGTGACGCGGCTCCATCGCGCTGAACGGAGCTGTGCGTAGTGTAGACTAATAATGAACCGGTCAGCACAAACCATCTCTCTCTTATATATCGGATCAATCATACCCCTCCATAGTTTCGCGATGTCTTCGATAGCAATGTCACCTAAACCATCCAGCTCGGAGCCAATCTTACCAGTGGTGGTGACCAGACCTGCGGGGAGATCCTGCGTCATGGCAGCTGGACGTCCACAAAGGTGGGTTTCCAACGGCAAAGAAAGGAGATGTAGCAACTACATGATCAGCGCACCACGACCGTACGCGTCTGAGATGGGATGTGAGCGGGGATCAAGTTGAATCGAACAAACGAATGTCCGCTGTCGGTCGCAAGTAGGATTCCAATCACGCGTGAGCTGGAGTAATCTTCACTGGCATGACAGGGCGCAAGCTGGGCATGTCGCACAAGGATCAGGCAGTGAGATTATTATTGCAGTGACAAGTCAGCTTGCCTTTTGTATCAGTGACAGGCAGAGGGGAAAGCTCATATTTGATGGCACCGGATATAAGGTCCGATCAGAGGGAGTGAAGACGAGGCCTCCTGTTTGTGACGCTGTGTGATGACTGCAATCCTGTTTTGTCTTTGTTTCTGTTCCTGATCGGACGGCTCTTCCCTGCCAGTTGGCTTTGTTTTAGGTGATAAGACGGCTCCAGGCCTGGCAGGTTTAAGGTGATTGCTCCAAGAAAAGACGCTAAGGATTTATGCCGGCAGGATCTCGCGGTGAAGTGAGCTGGGAGACGTGGGGGGCACGAAGGGTTGCTCCAATGGACAGACCTGAAAGAGCCAAGCTAGTTATAAGAATACAGAATACGGAGTAGGGTGTGACCAGATGAATGGACGTCTTCTGAGACCGCAAAACAACCTTAGAATCCCATCACTGGGTCTAGACTATCTAAGGTTGTCAACACGGCTCGTCATCATTAGGTCGGTGCGGCCCGGGTTGGTCATCCAGTCTGATTTATACGTCTTTCACTCTGCTAGCCCTGTTGTTTTTACCCACAGAATCCTGCCATTGCTGCTAAGGCGATGATCTCCGTACGGATCATCCGGGGAGTGGCAAAAGGGCGGGTCACCATGTTCCCCGCGTTGCAGTCTGGTCCACGCGGGCAACCTGCAGGAATTCACCGCTGGTTGAGGGACAGTTACGGAGACTCCGTACGTCTTGTTGGAATTCTGGTCTTTCCAGTGAAAGCAGAAGGATTTGATTTCCACAGACAGTGGAGAATTATCATCACGATCAAGGACAGCTGACACCATTAAACTGGTACAGAGTACCCTGTGCCTGTGAAAGGCCAAAATAAGATGATTTACTAGCGGAAGAACTACATATACCTATCGGGGTCCAGCAATCGCAACATGTGGTCTCTCCAGGAAAATGCCGAAGCTGCCCTTGTTTCAGATCCGGCATTCAGACGCCAGTTCATCCAGTTTATACCACAATTGGTGGTGGATTATACAAATTAGAATTGTGCCTGGTGTGATTGGCAGGGGTATAAACGTCCTCCAAATCTTGGCGAGCCAAAAGAGTGCTCTAATACCTAGTGCTCTAGTATCTACTCCGCAGTAAGCCGTCGATTCTCCTGGCGTAGCCGCCAAAATTAATAAAAACGCGTCACAGACTCGCAACGCCGCGCTTGCCGAACTTTCTTCGAAGAACGGGCGACCAAGCGTTATTTGTCAGTTGGGCATGAAGTAAACTAATTGCGCCCGATCGGTAGGGAGGTTCCTAGGAGGTACCTAGGTAGCTAACCAAATGTTAGCTTTGTCTTTAGGCAGGAATTAGTCCTACACTCAGTATTGTACAGTACTTACTGTAAGGAGTATACGCGTTCAGTCAGTCAGAGGACCTGACCGGTAAATAATTCTCTCAGTCATATGATACTCCATACCACTGAACTCATATGACAGCGAAAAAAAATTTGATTCGTTGCCTTCCCAGACAGAGGAGAGTCCGGACAAAGAATTCCGTGCATGGGGGTGTATCCCATGACCTGGCAGATGACCACGGAAGCATACCTAGGTACGTAATCTATCTATCGATCCTAATATCTCTCAATAAGGGAAAGGGTTTTCAAAAGGGAAAAGGAAAAGAAAATCCCCGCGGAAGATCAGCTGCCACAAACGGCAAAGGACTGGAGGGGGGGGGAATTGCATTCTGCAAGGGGAAAAAAACGCCCCAACAAACAAATCAGAACGAGATCACGATTTTTGATTGGATTGATTCGGATCTCAATGTCAGGATAGATATTATGGTTACTTTTTAACTTACATGTGCGGTTGCCTAATGCATGCATCTTGATTGATAATGATCACTGTGCATGTTATATCGAGTTAGATGCATGTTACTGTTACTGTTATTGGATTAGGCATCATTCTATAGAATTATGCTGTGTTCTTTCTTCCAGGGAAAATATTACCTATCACAAGCAAGCTTACTATAGTTCCCATTTCCAGAGTATTGGGAAGTTCTTTTGCGAACTCTTGAATTACAACCAAGGATATAAAAGCATATACAGTTCTAGGTAAGATACTTAGAAGGTAGACAGTAATAAACAAACCATGCTTTAATACTTCGAAGGTATGTCGAATCAGACTCTGATGATAATAAATAGGGTTTACGAAGACACTGTCTGTCTTGTCTGTACGATACATATCCATAGTTGTAAAGAAAGGACTGCCAAAAAGCAAGAAAGAGACTAAAGAAAGAGCCCAAAGTCGCAATAGATAAAAAAAAACGGACTGTACTACTGTAGTGTTGCCGCTGCAACGGCGCTATAGCAAAGCTGATCACTCCAGACAAGATCCTGGAAAGGCCACGGTAGAATGGATGGAGTAAGAATGCTATTCCCCTCAGCCAAGATCACCAGATATAGATACAGGACCAGCTGGATAAATTCACACCATAAGAGAGGCTTTAATTCCCACATATTCCCAAATCGATTTCCAACCTCTGCAAGCAAGTAAAAAAAAGAAAAATATTCAAAATTCCAAATTCCTCCTTACCCTGCCTAATAATAATAATTATCCAGGAGTGGGATTTCTTTCCGCCTTTACTCCGCTCATCGCCAAGGACTGACTGTTCCGCCCCTCCGCCGGGCCTTCCTCAACAGGAAAGTACATTTCCTCTCAGAGACTCTTAGACTTAACTTTTGTAGTTTAGGTAGATAGATATCTACTCAGTGAGAATTTATTTATTTATTTATTTATTTATTTACCTGGCAAAGAGACAGCTATAGATATAGAGATAGAGATAGAGGAAATGGTATTCAAGTCGAGTTCGATTCCATGATGTGACACCCTGCACCCCACGAGGTTCATTCAGCATGCCATCATCCCTCGGGGATCTGTCGTCTAGGGCTTCTTAGGTGGTTAATATTTAGTCTTATATTGTACTAGCATATAAGTAAGTAGGTAAATAATGAGGTAGGCACAGTGTAGGGCTTGATATGGAGGCTCGATCATGTAATTAGGTAATTACAATTTTTTTATTTTTGTCTTGGTCCAATATCATCTCGACAAGGATTGTTCTTTTCTTTTTCTATAATGAATCCCGCATGGTGCCGCATGCTCTTCATCTTACAAATTACCGAACTTTGTCTTCTGTGTCTGTAGAGTTAGTAATCTGTCCTCTGTCCTCTGTCTGTCCTCTCTGTACACGCGGAGCTAAGCACCTAAGTCCGTCCGCACGCATCCGCATCCCCCAAATCTTATCTTCTCCGTAATCTAGTATCTGGTCTGGGTATGGATGTATGTATGTGATACGGGTGGCTGCAGATGATGCAGTGCGATGCGGACATGCAGCCGTATTGGGGACTGGCAGTGGAATTGAGCATTATCTCGGTAGTAATATCAGTCAGTGGATCAGTTTCTGGTTACTGTATATAAGACCCTCGAAGGGGAACTATTAATCAACCGATCGATCGGAAATCCATATCTGAACGACTTACATACTCTGTTCCTTGTTAAACGACATGTCAGCGCTCGACCGTCGCGTTCTCCTCACCGGCGCAAACGGCTTCGTGGGAAGCCACATCCTGGCCCAGCTGCTGGATGCCGGCTTCTACGTGCGCGCCGTCGTGCGCTCGCAGGCCAAGGCAGACACCGTCCAGCGCGACCACCCCACAGCCGGACAGAATCTCGACACGGCTGTCGTCGAGGACATCACCGTTCCCGGCGCCTTCGACGCCGTCCTCCAGGCCCAGCCCGCCCTCGACACGGTCATCCATACCGCGTCTCCCTTCCTGTACAGCGTCGCCAATGATCCCCGCGACTTCCTCGACCCGGCTGTCAAGGGCACGGTCGAATTGCTCAATTCCGTCAAGAAGACGGCCCCCAGCGTGAAGAGAGTCATCATCACCAGCAGCTTCGCTGCCGTCGGGGACTTCAGTCAGATCCCAGACGCGGGCAAGACATACACGGGCGCAGACTGGAATCCGATAACGTGGGAAGAAGCCCTGGCCACCAAGGACTGGAGTGTCGCGTACCGCGCCAGCAAGAAATTTGCGGAGAAAGCGGGTGAGTTGGATGCACGTCCATCCAGAGTGATATTAACAAGTCTGGCTTATGTTCCAGCATGGGACTTCGTGGAACAAGAAAAGCCTGGATTCGATCTCGTCGCGCTCAACCCGCCCATGGTGTACGGCCCATTGCGACACACCATTGCCAGCATTGCCCAGCTGAACGAGTCGAATCTGCGCATTTGGCGACTCTTCCTCGACACCAGCAAAGATGCAGACATCCCTCCCAACGGTTTGCCTCTGTACGTTGACGTTAGAGTCAGTCATGCCTCATTGACTCTGTGCAGGATAAGAAGAATGCTGAATAAATAAATCGTGCAGGATGTCGCCCGCGCACATGTCGCTGCCGCTCTCACTCCAGCTGCCCGCGGGCAGCGGTTCCTGGTCACTCCAGGAAGCGTCTCTTCCCAGGAGATCGCGGACCTGCTGCGGGCCAACATCCCCGAGCTGGCCGAGCGCACCCCTGTTGGCAAGCCGGGGGACAAGCCTCCCCCTCTCGCCTTCACGGCAGACAGTCGTCCCGTGCAACAGGTCCTGGGAGTCACCTTCCGGAGCAAGGAGAGCACCTTTGTGGAACTTGCCAAGCAGTTGCTCGAGGTGGAAAAGGCGCAGAGCCAGTGATTTCGGAGCCCGAAGTATGCTAGTATAAATATGGCCGAGAGCTAGTGTCTCCGTCATTGTGTTATATATGCGGAGTACGGATACTGGATGAAAATATGACCAGCGCTAGGCTCGCGCTTACGGAGTATTCACTTCGATCGAGATCTGCCTCTAGTGCTAAAAAATAGTCTATTCCGAAAAAGACAAGCAGCAAATGGTAGGTAACACAAAACGAACAATCGCAGTCCACCACAACCAATGTCTATGGATATGCACCAGTCTATAACCCGACCGAAGTGAAAATCAAAAGCTTGAGATACAAACGTCGAATGGAATGGAACGAGCTTGCCTTCAATGTGGTGCAGTGCAGTCGTGTTATTGATTAGACACGAGGCAGTGTATTGTATTAGGAGGGGTATCAGCCGCAAACAAAGTCCTCGTAGAAGAAAAAAAAATGCAGGTAAGATCCCTCCAGTCTCGACAAAAAAAACCGTCTATGAAACTCTTCCGAATACAACACTCTAAAAACGACAAAAAAAATGGTATAAAGCAAAGCAAATCATAAAGACTCGAGGCAAGACGCTTTAGGTGAGGGTATAGCCTCCATCGACTCTCAGGTCTGCACCAGTGACGTATTTGGACGCGTCGCTAAGCAGGAAAGTGACAGGCCCCATGAGATCTTCGGGCGTGCCCATCTTTCCCTGCGGGATCAAGGAAGTCCACTTGCGCTTCAGCTCGGGGTTCTCGTCGAGAATCTTGCGGGTCCTGTGAAGTGAGGAAGATTAGAATCGACTCTGAAATTCTCTCACAGAATCACTGGTGTCACTTACAGAGCAGTGAGCATGTAACCCGGGCTGATGCAGTTGACCCGGATGTTGTGACTGGCCCACTCCACTGCCAGAGAGGCAGCCAAGTGTCGCACCGCCGCCTTGGCCGCGTTGTAGGGGGCTTGAGGCTGAGGAACGTTGACAATGGCGCCCGACATGCTGCCAATCATGACAATGCTGCCCGGCGCCTTGCGCTCCATCAGGTGCTTGGCAACCCCGGTCGCGAACAGGTAGGTCCCGTCGACGTTGACGCCCCAGAGCTTCTTCATCCGGTCGTACGGGTACGAGATGGCGTCGAAGTTCTCGGTGAATCCGGCCGAGGTAACCAGGTTGTCGATTCGACCGTGCTGCTGGATGATCTCCGCAAGGACTGCATTCACGGACTCGGGATCCGACACATCAGCGTAGTGTGCCGTAACCTTAGGCAGCCTGAAGAAGAAGATCAAGTCTTAGCTGGGACGCGCGGATAAAGAACGCAAAAAAAAAATAGCAAGAAAAACCTACTTTTCCAGCCCGGGGTTCTCCTCTTGGAACTGGGCGACGAGCTTCTTGGCTTGCTCTTCGGCTTCCTCCTCTGCGACGAGTTAGTGAACACGTACGGCCCAGTGCATTGAATCCAGCCAGAAACGTACTGTTCAGGTCGACAATGGCCAGGTCAGAGCCAGAAGCGACCAGCGCCTGGCCCATAACCAGACCCAGACCACGAGCACCTCCGGTCACGACGCTGACCTTGTTTTCGAGGGAAAACAGGGCCAGCGTGCGCTTGAAGTGCATGCCGCCACGGCCCTGGACGATGGGACTGCGCGGCATCTCCTCATCCTTGGGGTACTCGATGACAACGCTCTCGTCGGTACGGGCATAGGCACCCCCGTTGGGGTCCGTCGTGCCCTTCTTGGAATCATCCTGCAGCCGCGATGGGGTCGAAGAGATGCAGCGAGTGTTGATGGTCAACGCTGGCCGCGCCGCTGCCCGGATGGCAGCTGGGCGAGTAGCGGCATTGTTGACAGCCCGAAGGGCCTGACGAGCGACCGAAGGCTTGAACATGGCGGCTCTGAAGGGCGAAGGAGACGAGGTTAACGCAAGTCGGAGAAGTGGCGTGGGTTGCGAAAAAGATGGAAAGAGGGGAGGCGTACCTTGGAATAAATATTAAACTCGACCAGGGGAGGGCCGCAAGAAATTTCTGGATCTTTTTTTGACTCGTGCAGACCGTGGAACAATCGAAGGAATACCAAATATAATAGCTTGCTGTGTCCACACGCTAGCTATCGTGTACCTTAGTGATGGATCCGCGGCCCTAGTCAGGGACTCAGGAATGCGATCGCAAGACCACCAAGCCGTTTGAACACTGAAAGCAGTCTACCCCTAATTCTATCAATCTCTACGAGTAATCTCTACGCGGAAGAATTATTACGATCAGGCGAACACGTTGAGGACTCGAGGCGACAGCTGCTGAGTCTACGGTGCGTGAGCATTGGTGATGTCAGGCGGTGGCAGTTGACGACCCTGGCCAGACCAAACGGGGGCCTCCACCCTCTGCCGGCTCCCCCCCGCGCGAACCGCCACCATCGCCGTCTCCATCGCCTTCTCCATCGCGCGTCCGCCTGACCTGAAAAAATTTCCTATAGGCACCTAGTGCTTGCCTCTTCAGGCGTAGGCGAGTCCCAGCCTCCAGGAGTAACCCCCACTCCACCAGCGCCGTCTGCGTCCGCGCCGGGGAGGATCCCGATTGTCGATCGCCTGTCTGCCGGCCGTTATGATGTGCTGCGGATTTAGGAGTATCAGCTGGGAAATCTCTGTCCCTCACCGCTTCCACAGAGGGATAGAGATGGCTATTCGCCATCTAGTGGAATTGCACTGCCTCGCGAGACACTGGTGGGTGGACACGACCCTCTCCTATCTGTCTAGCTCGGAGATCTCTATTTTACTGATCCCAGATTACCCACTGCAGCTTGATCAACTGCATGCAACAATAACAATGACACTGAAAAAAAAATTCAACAGCATACAGATTACTCCGTAATAACCACCGACTACTCCGTACGAGCCTGAAGATTGGGAGAGATGCTAAACTCTATTAGAACCTGCCATCTCGGTCCGACACAACTCATTGCTATCCTCTCCGCGTGGGCGGTGCCTGACCGCGCGGTTACCGAAGTCTCGAACTGTCTTCGCCCCCGACCGACCGGAGCGATCGTTTTAGTCCCTCCCGACGCTGCCGTCTGTCAGATTGCCCCAAGCGCCGGCCCAGGACAGGGGTCTCGAGTTCTCGGGAACACCGTAAAAGTGAAAGCTCCTAAATCGCGAGGTGGCCTGTGCTGTTGAGGTATCACTGCCGTATCAGAGCTGCCGAAGCTATTTCGGGACGCTGCAATCTGCATGGATGCCGCGCATGCGAATACGGAGGAGATTGGGATCATGATTTTTAAGCACCATCCTCTTCAGCAAACTCGACTAGCGGTGTCCCGCTTTTGCATTGATCCTGCGCAACTCGTGTTAGCGATCGGAGGCCTAGACCCGCAGGGGCGTGGGGTTGGGCAAAAAGGAAAACACAAGAAACGCAGAAGAACCATGGAAGCTCCCACTAAAGAAAATGCTTTCGCGGCAGTGGGTCAACTTAAAAAGAAAAATTGGACGCGTGACCAGCACAGAACAAGTAGGCGAACTATTATTGCTCTTACTTACCCCTTTCTTGTGCACGACCTTGGAGATGGTCCCGTGATGCGGGCTGCGGATGACGGTTTCCATCTTCATGCTCTCAATCACCACCAGCGGCTGGTCCTTCTCCACCACATCTCCCTCCTGGACCTCCACGCTCAGGATCTTGCACGGCATCGGCGCCAGCACGCTGTTGGCCACGTCCTTAATCCCCAGCGCCTTCTCCATCCATTTCGCTCGCGGGACGGTGAAGCGATACTGCCGACCGCGCTGGAACGCCACGATGGAATCTTCTTCCTGGATGACGGTCGTGTCGAGCCGTGTGTGAGGGAAGAAGGAGGTGATGACCCGAGAGTTGCGATCGCACTGGCACCTCACCCGCTCGAAAGTCCGTCCATTGACGGTGACCTGGAACGTGTCGTCGCCGAGTTGTCGAACCTGAACCTCGTGACTGCTGGAATCGTGAGCTCCCGCAGACGACTGCGCCTCTGTGAATGTAAATTGTCGCTGCTGATAACCGGGGCTAAATCCCAGAGCGGATCCAGCCGGGCCATAGGATTTCCCTTGCGTCTCCGAAGCAGAATTCGACCTATTTACCAAGCATGCCAGAGCAACCTGTGCTAGGACTTCGTCTTCGATGGGCTGTTTGGCGAACAGCTCCTCCCGATGTTTTTCAATGTACCCGGTTTCGACCTGTCCTGCGACGAAATCAGGGCTTTTGCAGACCGCCTTCAGGAATTCAATGTTCGTAACAGGCCCGGCCACTTCGTACTCCTCCAGCGCGACCGAGAGATTGCGGATGGCTTCGTCTCGTGTGGCGCCTCTGACAATCAACTTCGAGATCATCGGATCATAGTGAGCGGAGACCTCGTCCCCAGCAATGAAGCCCGCGTCAATGCGGACATTTTCCGTTTCCTTGGGAGTGCGTACATGAAGGAGTCGTCCGGAATCGGGGATAAATCCTTGGTCCGGGTTTTCGGCGTAGATTCTGGCCTCGATCGCATGACCGCTGTTAGCGATCTTGGCCTCGATTTCTTCCTGCGTCAGCGGGAGCGTAGCCCCTTCGGCGACCAGAATCTGCCAGTGGACGAGGTCCTGCCCAGTGACCATCTCCGTCACGGGGTGCTCGACCTGCAGCCGGGTGTTCATCTCCATAAAGTAGAACTCTCCCGTATCGTTGTCAAAAATAAACTCCACGGTGCCCGCACCTTCGTATCCCACGGCCAACGCCGCCGATCTTGCCTTGGCCCACAGATCTTTCCTGGTGGCATCAGGAAGGTGAGGGGCGGGTGATTCTTCCAGGATCTTTTGGTGTCGTCGTTGTATACTGCAATCTCGCTCCCCCAGGGCAACGCAATTTCCATGCTTGTCCGCAAAGATCTGCACTTCGATATGCCGTGGCGTGGTGATATACTTCTCCACCAGCATGTGATCGTCCCCAAATGAGTTCAGCGCCTCAGACTTGGCGGATCGCAGCTGGTCCTGAAACTCCGCCTTGGACCTGACAATGCGCATCCCTTTTCCACCACCGCCCTTGACCGCTTTGATGAGCACTGGGTATTTGATCTTATCGGCTTCACTCTCGAGAAAGGCGGGATCTTGGTTGTCGCCATGATATCCTGGGACACAAGGAACTCCTGCAGCTGTCATGATCTGTTTGGATCGACTTCTTGGCATTAGCGATGACTTGCAACGCAGCCAGGACTTCTGTCACATACCTCTTGTCACCCATAGCCTCGATGGCCTTCCACGGAGGGCCAATAAACACCAACCCCGCTTCTGTACATTTCTGAGCGAAGGAGGGATTCTCACTTAACTGCGCAGATGGTCAGAATCGGAAACCATTTGCAGATATCAGGTAGGGAGCTTGCGAACAAATCCGTAGCCTGGATGGATGCCTTGGCAACCTTCCCTCTTGGCGATCTCTATAATGTGGTCGCCGTCCAAATATGCCGACGTTTCTCCCAGATTGAAGGCGTACGGTGAGCTCAGTGCATGCTGTGCGCGGCTATCGGGATCAGTGTATAGCGTTGTTACTCTGATGCCATGTTGTGCAGCCGTCCGCCCAACTCGTCTGACGGCAGGGTGATTAGCACTGGGCCGCCAGCGATGTGCTGGAGGGAAGGGAGGAACTCACAGCGCAATTTCTCCACGATTTGCAATTAATATAGAGTTGAGAACGTTTCGATCTCTGACATTGGAGAGAGTCGACGCCACTCTTTTTGACGACCTGGACGACGGCTTGAGGCGTATCGCCCCCGGACCCAGGCGGGGACCCGTGCGGAGAAGGGAGGACAGAGGCATTGAGACTGCAGCAGTGCACGATGAGACAGAGGACTCCTGAGAAAACCTACATAGAGTAGAACCTAATCACTGCGTATAATAAATGTAGTGGCGATAAAATAAAATCCTGAGCAAGGAGAGAGGGAGGATTGTGCTGTCCTGCCCGAGGCTTTGATTGCCCTGTATCTGCCGCGGAATGGCCGACGCCAACCGAGCCGGAAACCGCGGGGAAACGAAACCACGTGACGCGGACCTCGTCCAGTCTTGGCACCGGCAGCTGAACGCGTGATTGCTCAGCCAGGAGTCAGGCCAAGTAATAATAATTTCTCCGGCCTTTTTCTCGCGCTTGACCCCCCGCACCCCCCGAGGTCAACGACAGTGTAGTTGTCTTCAGACCATCAGCCACAATTGCGGATGCTCCAGAGTGGCCCGTGATTGCCGCTAATCATATTTTCTGTCACAGCCTCATCGGGAGACTCCACTCTTTTCGTCCCTGCAGCAGAAGGGAGACGAGCACTTCCGAGTCCCGACTGGAACCATATCATATCATATGCATATGGTCGGATGATTTACGAATCGAGATCCCGAGATTGATGATTTTATACGGGATGATATAGAGCGTGACCCGGTCTGCTTATTAACGAAGAGTCTGCGCCCATTTTCCGCCAGTTTATTGATCAGCTTTTCGCTGCCGTTCTCACCCCCCTGAGCGGGATGAATAATTGACCATGTCCGACGAGGAAGAGTACTACGAAGATGAATATGACGATGATTGGTTGTGGTACGATGACGCGAGCCTGGGCGTTGCTGTGAGTAGCCCGTACATTGCATACGAATTGTGCCCCTTATCCGTTTGCTCGGAATGAAGAAGAAAATGTCAATCAATCAATCTGCTCTATGAGCTGTGTCTTGCTGACATTTCATGTTGGGGGCAGGATGATCTCGCCGAGGCCGCTACTTATTCCCCTGTTATAGTTGACGACCCGTCTCTCGATACGGTAGAGAGCTTCAGTGACTGGGAATATTATTCGGACGATTTTTATGATGACGATCCCACGGTTTTGCGGCGGCGACGGGCCGTAAAGGCATTACAAGAGGCAGAAAACCAAATCGATGGCCCCCGAGGAAGAAGAAGCGAACGGCCTCTACGACTGATGGGATTCCTGAATTGTCGCTGCCAGCCGCCGTCGTTGATCTTCCTACAGATACTGCGTCTTTCAAAGGCGTCATCTGGAAAAAGCCGGATAGCGCAGAGAAACAGCCCGATCTGTATGAGCCTGGCCAATGCGAAAAGGTAGCTCTGTTCAAGGACTGGCGGGAAGTCTTCAAAGCTTCCCACTGTAAGAGCAACTGGTTGCGGGAACCTAGTCCACACAACCGGCTCCACCTTCAAGAGAACGGTGTCCATGAGCTCACACCATCTGGCCAAGAGGATGGGGTCATGGGTGAAGATTATTCACTGCTCCTGGATCAGACGTCGGATGGTCCGTACTCTCCGCCGCCCGTGTCGATTGACGAATTAGGAAAGCCTCCTCATGAACCAAAGATTACAAGAGCCCAACCTTTGAGAACTACGTCTCGGCTTAAGGAAGTCATGACAGTTGACGACCAACTGACAAACATGGCGACCCTTCTTACGTCTCCTGAGAGGGAGGAGGAAGTGAAGGAGGAGGAGGAGGAGGAGGAGGAGGAGGAGGAGGAGGCAACAACTCCCGAGAAGCTGGCAGGATATCAGCAGCTTCTCTATGTGGAGATACCGGCAGCTCCACCTCCGTCTTCGCCAATGACCCCTTCGCAAATGACTCCTAAGCGCCGCAGAGCGAAGAAACGACGAGCGTCTGCAGCTGTAGAAGAGGAGGGCTCGGCTGGGAAACGGAAACGTGTTGCTAAGAACACTGCAACAGTGGCCGCTAAGGAAGATAGTAATCGGCGGCGATCAGCGCGATTCTCATTGTCGCAGGAACTGTCAGTCGCCAAAGAAGATGCTAGTCGACGACGATCAAAGCAGTTCTCATTGTCCCAAGAACAGACAGTTGCTAAAGAAGATGGTAATC